ATATTCAGATTGCTGGTACAGAGTTGCATGTTGGAATACTTCTACCTCACACAAAGCCATTCTACACATAAGAATATAGCTTGCTGGAGAAGGATAGGTTGAATACTTCTCCTTGGCATGCTAGCTTTGTATGTTTAGGACTTTTTTGTGGCAGAGCACTAAAGCAAGCTGTTTCTAGTCTGAAGTAGTACAGTTCAGAAGAATGGGTGGCACATGTTTCTACTGAATAGCTAAGTTTGGTTGGTAGAATTGGACAGTAACACTTCAAACTACATGTCTGTTGGGATGTCATACTTTAAAATTATAAGAGGGTTCCTGCTCTTATATTAATTTAATTATATAATTATATAAATTATACTTATTTTAATATTGGGAAGGATGGTCTCCATCATTAAATTAATCAGAGGCTCAACTTTTCAGGAATAAGAACTAAAGCAGACTTAATACTATGAGCAAGCATTTTATTACAATGAAGCTATGTGTTGTTTTCAAACAGATGGGTTCTATCCAACTCTGACTTTCTGCCAGTGACATTGAAACTGTTGTGGAATGCTTTTTCTCTTCCTTCTGTGTCCCCCAAATCTGCTGTTTTTTCAGAATCTGCTTTTCCCCAGAGCAGATTTGGAAGACATGGGGAGGTGGGGGGGAGAGCAGAGCACATGGTAATCCCATGGTCATGTGAAATTTTGTTCACAAGATGTTGGATGCAAGCCTGTGTAACTGTATCCCAACCATCCTTTTTGTTTGTTTTAAAATCTACATTGAAAGAATGAAATTTATGGCATGGGGGGAGAGGGTTTTTTGCTCCAAATTTTTAATTTAGAGCAGGTAGATTAGACAGAGACGCTACCAGTTGTTTCCATCTGAAGTGGCTTTTAAAACAAAAACAAAACAAACAAAAACAGATGATAAGCTATAGTTATATGCATCTGCATGTAATCTGTAATTTGTGCAAGGAGATGTTGTGCCATTTGCCATGTGGTAACGGTTCTAAAATACAGTGAAAGCCAACGCTACAGGTAATCTTTTAAGTGAAAGAACTATAGACCGGTTTGATCAAAGAGGGGACTGGACATGATTGACAAAGAGCAAAACAAGGAAACCAATGGTAACAATTTTTCATACTACAAACAACACCTAGTATCTGGGTATGTGACTGTAGGGACAATTTATAAATCTGTTATGTTTCTGAATCACTTTAAGAACAATTATGGTTGAAAGCTTATATACAGATCTTGTTTAATAAAATAAAATTCCTTTGCCTTTTCTGAAGCAATGTCCTCTGAAACATTCTGTTGGAGGCAAGATGCCTACCTGTAGCTATTAATTGGACATGGGATGCCATTACTCAATAACCCAATGTTTTTCAATTATGTACTGGAAAACTTTGGCACTTCTTTCCAGGAAGACTTTCAGGGGATCCTTGGTGAAATGGTCAATAATGGAAAAGGATAAGCATTTATGAAAGACATTGTGTCTGCTACTATTTTTTTTCTTGTTGTGTGGAGTCTTAGGTGGAGTGCTGCATTTGTTTAAGAACACACTTTCATTTCATGCAAGGCAACAATGAGGCACTGCATGGCTGCCCAGTAGCCCAGATGAACAACATGTGCTCTAGAACAGTGGTTCCCAATCTTTTTGGCACCAGGAACTGGTTTCGTGGAAGACAATTTTTCCACGGACTAGGGAGGGGATGGTTTCAGGATGATTCAAGTGCATTATATGGGTGCCTCATACTTCAAACTTCATTCGTTTCCAGAGGCCATTTGAACTCTGAATTGTTTGAAGTCCGAATGAATTTTCTCCATTAGAAATAATGGAAAGTGAATTAATCTTTTCCCAGACTCTAAAACAATACCCATTTTGATAAATTTAAGCAGCAAATACGGCCTTTTGAAACAAATTAAGGTTGAGGTTTTATATGAGGTGTGATCAAAAAATACAATGAATGTTTAAATAAAAAAATTAGTACAGTAAAAGACACATTGCCATTAATCCCCCTCAAAATGCTCCCCCTTACTTTGAACACACTTACCCCATCATTCTTGAGTGTCTTTAGTTGCACTGTCGTGACTATCTCCATGTCCTGAATCGATTCAAGATGAATGGATTCAAGACAAGATGAATTGATTTAAGCCAAATAGATTCAAGACAAGATGAATCAATTATAGATGAATCAATTCAGGACATCAAGGCAATGTGTCCTTTACTGTAATATATATTTTTTGGTTTGGGCGCGCTTCCGATGAGGTTTTCGTTGAGACCGGATTTTTTCACTTTGCTCTCAGTTCCAACTTAGAAGTATTGTTCAAACTGTGGAGCAATCTTATCTTGACACTAACATTTGAGCTCTGGACCGTTCGAAGTTAGAGTCCAGCTGTGTGGCCCAGTTCCTAACATACTGTGGACTGGTACTGGTCCACAGCCCAGGGGTTGGGGCCCCCTGCCCTAGAAAATACCCCAAGATCTTCTGCAATGTTCAGTGTTCCCACGGACCATGGCAAACATTCAGAGTTTGCTGGGAGACAAAAACATTATCTCTTTTTGTGATATGGAAAACATTCCCTGAAACTAGAACTTTAAAAGTCACGACAATCAACTATTGCCTGTTTCCAACATGTCAGTGAATTGAGAATCATATAAGAATTGGCCACTGACCAAGGTAACAAGTTCTTCAGGACAGCATGTTTGTATTTATCACTCATTCTTATGGAGTATCTTCAGTTTCTCTGGGAACTCTTGTGTTCCAAGTAAATGAAGGTCATCTCTGCTGGATTGTGGAGTTTGGCCTGAAAAGAGATGCTGTGAGTTGATACTGAAGTTAACAGTGCAGTGAGGTCCTTTGGGAAGCATTTTTCAGGAAAGAAATGGCAATTACCTAGCTACAAAGGAGATGAATTTTAACTTGGGAACTAACAAACACATGTTTGTTAGTAGCAGAGACCAATATATCCCTCATCCATTTTTGTGGCCACTTCTGTCCTTGGGCTGCTTTTGTAGGAGTGGAGACTGATCTTTGCAGAAAGGATAACAATGTTAACTTATTTCTCCTTTAGGTGGACTGTTTTGAAGGAACATGATCTATGGAGAATTTGATCTTAATTTTAGATTTCATTATTCCTCTGTTGGCTTCTAAAGAATGGTGCTTTCTTTTAACACTTTTCCTTTTGTTTAACTATTGCTACACAACAACCTGTGTGTAGGTTGATATAGTGGGATGGTTTGCCTTCACAGATGCTGAAAACTGGAGAATCATATTTATTCAACTAAAACCACTATAGTGATGGGACAGTTCATTTTCTTTCCAATTTGTTGCCCAGGAAAGCTAGAAAAGTATACTGCTTGCTTCAGAGGAAAAATCTCATCTAGGTATGGCCTAAGAACTTCTAAGGGAAATGGAAAACATGGTTATCAGTCATTCAAATTGTTTTACCCCCTCTGTACTGAAAGCAGAATGTAGGATATTTTGGGTTATTTGTGCAGAAATCTCATGGAAGGTGTCCGCCTAGTAAGATGCAGGTACGGAACTCTGAAAGTGTGCTTGGCCACTCAAGTAACTGAAATACATGAACTGCACCTTACTGCAACTGTTGGCGATGATGATTGCTGTGATAATAGTAAAATCACTCCTGCAAGAAGTAGAAATTACTTTTTCTATCTTAGAATTATGTATGGACAATATTACATATAGTATTGTACACAGCAGATAAAGCTGAACTGCTTAATTTGGAGCAATGTGCATGCTGCTACTAAATGTGCAATCAGGAGCAATGTGCATGCTGCTACCAAAGCATTTCTACTACAGAATTTATTGATTCTCTATGCATGCTTAGAACATGGAACTGCTACTACTACTATTACTTAAAAATGAAATTAGGACATTGTTTTCCCCTTACAAAAGCAGGCTTACAGCTTTGAGAGGTGGTGTTAAGAGTTTGGATGCTTTAAGTAGGCTATGTTGCATGAAGTACCTTTCAACCAGCTTAGACTAGTGCTCCAGCTATGACATTTCCCAGACAGAGATCACAGTTATTCATGCTCTGGTAACAACCTGGTTAGATTACTGTAATGTGTTGTAGGTGGGGCTGTTGTTAAAGATTGTTCTGAAACACTAACTGCTTCTGAATATAACAGATACATTATTAATTGGAATTTGCTGGTTTGAACACACTCACCAGTTTCTTCCTTTTATTAATTACTGTTGTTTTATTGTACTGCATAAAACCCTAACCCTATACAACCGACTTTCTCTTTCTGCCTCTCGTACTATCTTAGTTGTATGTGGTATGGAAGCATCTATATACTTCCATATATATAGAAGTATGGAATATGAATACTCTAACAGTATTTTCACCTACCTTTTTGTGGGTGAGAATACTGTTAGAGTAAATGTTTAAGGACAGGTAAGTTGCCAAAGCAGCAGAAACTAAGGGCAGGGCTCCTGGGCATACCTTGAATGAGGAATTTGCCCCTCCAGCCCACTGAATTAGAGACACTTTAATTAGAGGGACTGTGAAGACTTAGGAACTGTATATCCATTTTAGATATTGTTTGGTTTTAAGAGTGAAACTATCTTTCACTCCACCATTTTGTGAGAGAATAATATATTGGAATTCTGACAGTTCTGTGGCATTGCTGGTACAGAGTTAAGCAGCAGGATGCTTAAATATTCCTTTTGTGGTTCTCATGGTGTCCCTCATTTTGAAGCAGACTGCCTTGTTAAAGCAAGTGCAAGAATACTAATTCAAATACAGCCTTAAGGCTTCCCATATGGCCTTAAAATACACAAGCATCTGTATAATTAAACACATTTAACTTTCTTAGCTAATACAGGCAATAGTGTATTTCAGGCTGTAAATGAACCTTGCAGAGCAATTTTCTGATGCAGTATGGACTGTGGTTTTTGAGTGGAATGTATTCTTAGTTTCTTTGTTACCCCTTTTTCTCTTATCTGTTTTATTCCTTTGCCATTCATCCTGTTTTCCCCCCCTCCTTTTTAGGAAACATGCCTTGAATTGCCACAGAATGAAACCTGCTCTCTTCAGCGTGTTATGCGATATTAAAGAAAAAACAGGTGTGTTGGCATTTTCATCCAAAATTTGATTCTGAACACTAAGCTTTATAGCTCATGGACAACTGAGACTGGTCTTTAGGTGTTAGATGAACTTGACAATTAATCTGTTGCAGCTCTCTAACCACTTGTGTTAATATCAGTGGGGCTTGGGCTTAATCATACTGACTTCATTAGTATTAAAGCAGCCTCAGTTGCAAGATTGTCATCTAAATCAATTAGAAAATCGAGTATTTCCAGGTTTTATTATAGAATATTTGTGCTTTGCTTCTGACAGTGAAGGAAGATGCGAAGAAATACAGGTCTTGTTTTCAAACTCCTGAAAATGTCAATGTTTATATCTAGGGTATTTCTCATAAGCTAAATGTTCAGGGGCTAAGACAAAGCTGTATTTACACTGGATTTGCTTCTTGCTAACTTTTTAAAGGTGAATGACTTGCTTGTGACCACGCAGTATTTTCTGCTGTTCTGTGACAATCAATGTTCAGTCATTTTTCAACATTTTATTTTGCCTGGTTAAGCTTCTTTTTGTATTTGTTGATTGTTGATTCTATTTGAGAGGATAGCTGAATGTGAAACTAATCTAATTGTAGACAAATTTCTTTTTAAACCACACAGAACTTGTTGAGTGTTGAAGGCCACAGTGGAAATAACTTGCTCTAGAGAGCTTTGGCTAATTTGTATAATTTAATTTCTGAATAATGAATATAATTTGCATAACATTCATATTAACATCATTAACATGATACTGGCAGGTGATGCCTTTTATGCTGTGTCTGGAATGCAACTGTTTAGCATTCTTAGGTGTCATGACATAAAGATATGTGGCTTACAGATAGTTGGCTGTCCTTTTGGATCGGAAGTGTTCCAAAATTCATATAAGCAACACATCTCTCATACTGTTATTTGGCTTTTCAGTGAATGATTCATGCATGCTTGCAGATGAGTACAAAAAGTTTTCTAGCCTATCCTTACATGCTTGTGTGCCAAAGCATGGCTTGAGCAGTAGTACTGGCAAAGTGCTCACCTGGAAGAAGTTTTTGCTTGCTCCAAGAAAGTGGCTACCTGCAAGGTTATGGCAAGCAGTTGGATTTTCTTCCTACCAACAACAGGGTTAAGCAGAACATGCAACTACCTAAAAATGTCAAAAATAGTGACTATATGCCTGACTATTTTTGGCCAAGCCTTGCATTTCAGAGACTTCTTCCTTCAGAACTACCTGAATCATATGATAACATATTGTTATTTTTGAAACATTCACACGCAAAATAGAAAGTACAAAATATAATAGACTAATTCATTATATACAAACACATTTTTTGTACAAGTCAATTTTCAAATTAAAAAGTTGCAGATAATAACCATGCATAAATGTGTTTTCAAATCCACAAAGGTATCTTACTTGCATCAGTTAAATCGATTCATAAGCTCTGCTATAAACCCAGATGCAAACATTTCCTTTGGAGCTTGTTTCAAGCAAATAGAGTATCTCCTCTCTGCAAAGTCTATCACTAAATTTCATTTGTATAATAATTGATAAAATACAGAATTTGCATATCCTCATTAAAACTTCTTGGGGACAGAGTTCCAACTTCTAGAATCCTCTTAATTTAACATGTTTAGCTTCCCAATCCATCTGTTCTAGCAGCCACAATTTCACATCAGAAATAGTATGGCTATTCTCAAGAAAATGTTGTGCCGAAGGGAATCTTTTCCTTCTGTTCCTGTTGTTGCTCAAATGCTCACCTGTTTGTCTTTTGAGAGTCTTGGGAATTTTAGTTACATCAGTATTTTTGAATGGGCACTGAATTATATAAATGACATTCCAACTATTTCAAGTCATAAAGTCCTCTAACAATTTTGGTTGTAAAAGAGGGAAAGTGGGCAAGTGTACCTTCTGAAGTTCCTTTTTCTACACAGCTGCTAGGAACATGGTCCTCTGTTCTTTGCATCTGGTCACTGTAGGACTTCTCTCAGCAGAATTCCATTTGGAAAAGTGTTGGGGGACTGCATTTGAAGGGTGGGTAGAAGATAAAAGGAGTGGAGCCAAAACATGTCTCATTTATTTCATATATTTATATCCCTCCTTTTTTCCTTCCAAAGAACTCAAAGTGGCTTACATAATTCTCCTCCACCACCTTCCCTCCTCCTCCTCTCAGTCTTACCCTCACAACAACCCTGAGAGTCTGTGACTGACCCAGAGTCATCCAATGAGCTGTATGGCTGAGTGGGGGACTAGAACCAAGATCTCCTGAGCCCCAGTCCTGCACGTTTAAACACTATACCACACTGGCTCTTAAAACTATTAATGTTGGTAACTAAGTCTTAGGCAAGGCATTTCAGCCATTAAGAATGGGAGAAAGTATTTCAAAAGGTGGGGAGGCACCATAGAATTGCTGGACAGGGGAAAGGCGTGGGGAGAAGCAGGACCTTTCTGGGGAATTCCAGAGGACCAAATTGGGACCCACAGGGGGCTGGACCTGGGCCTGACGTTCTGCACCCCTATCCCAGAGTGAGAAACTGTCTAATTTTAACTACCATGTTTGCTATTTCAATGCTTACCCTCCCACATAAGCCTCACTGATGTGAACTGGAGCTGCACAGAGTGCTAGTTCCTAAATGAGCCTCATAGGTGGGTTCTGTTTGTTTTCTAGTTTGCTGTTCTTTCTTAAGCCTGAAATCAATTGTCTGAAGTGATTATCTCACCTTGCTCCTTGGTAGGCTCATATCTGTGTAGTATGATTTGAGATCTGTCATTCTATTAAATCTGCCAACACTTGTTCTCTCATTGTGATTCTAAGTAAACATCTGTTACATAGATATATTACTTTCCACGTGGAGGGTCTTCTCAAGTAAGTTTGGGCAATTAAGGTAAGGAAGAAAAAACACCTTCCAGCTCATGTTGTTTTTGTTTTCTCTGGGGAATGTTGGACAGGAAGTTGAGAAGGAGTTGTCAGGAGACAGAAGGTTGTAACAAGTTCTGTCAATTGTTATACTTGCAGTACCCAGCATACTATTATTTTTTTTTCACATACACTTCTCTAATTAGGGAGACTTTTCTTTCCTTAGTACAGTTTCAAGTGTAGTAATATCACACTTGCATTAATTATAATATTAGAGAAGAAAATATAAAGATAATGTTTAAGGGAAAAGTCCAGAATAAAAACAAAAGGTTGAAAATGCTTTAAATATATTGGATTAGATCCAATAAACATTTTACTACATGCAGAAAGTTCCTGCTTGTAGAACAGGACTTTCTTCCCGCTAAAACCCTCTGCGTACCTATCCTTCAAATCTCTTCTAGAGGGTTCTGGATCCATCCTGTTATTTCATTAGTACCTACATCAACTCTGTAAAGTAAGCCAGTATTATTATTACTGTGTAAGAAAGGGAGAGAGAGAAAGACAGAAGGAAGCTTGCCTGAGGCTGTTAACTCAGCTGCTGAGGTGAGGTTTGAATAAGCAACTTTCTAGCTGACAGCTCATTCTCATAGGCTGGAGAAGAGCAATAGGGTTTTTTTGTTTTTTGTTTTTTTTTTTTTGGAGTGGGGGAATCATACAATTAAGATTGGCACTGTTGCCTGTGGTGTGTACCATCTAACATCTCAATTTACAGGTTTTGCAAATTCTTTCCGTTATTCAGAACTGACCATCAACAGCAAAATGACAAAAGAAATGAAAGAATCCACTATGAAAATGGTGTTTGTATCCTGTCCCATCCTCTTAAAAACCAGTATGTGTCCCATAACTCAGCTACAATGCTACATTAGAATCCTGTATATGATTATGATCAAATGCACATCATAGATAAGCATGCAACGTTTTAGTGGCTGGGTTTTCACTGACTTGGTATTAATTCCATTTTCACTGATGGCAGGTGATGATGCTTGTCCCAGGTAACTGAATTATGAGTGAGAAAGAGGTCAACAAAAAAGGTTATTTCTGGTGGGTATCAAATCACCTGCCCTGTTTTCTGAAGCTTTTCCTAGCTCATGAAAACATTTTGGGCATGCTTGTGTTTAATGAGAGCTTTACAAGTAGCATATTCTGCTTTCTTATTACAGCAGTTGCCCTTTATGGCAGGGTAGCTTCCTTTACTATAAGAAAGCTATCTTTTATTGGTTATTTTCTTCTTTCTTTCTGTCTACAGCTGAGAAAAGGCATGGATTCAAAAGCTCCATTTAATGAAATGTATTTCCTGATGGAATTTGCCTTTCTAGATGTTCAGTTTGCCATTTTTTTAAAAACCTGCAAGTTGAAATTCATTTTAACTGGAACATATTTGCACCAAGGGATTGCAGTCCCATAGTTACGCTGGATTTGTTTAGGTCTCATAGGTTTTTGAATGTCTGATGGCCTGTCTGTTCCTTATTTAAATTATGGGGAGCAGATGTTACTGCTTCAAGCAGACAAAGACGTGGTCATACTCCAGCACTAAGGTTGAGGTTTCTGTTTTAACGATTTAGGGACACAAGCTTCATCTCAGCTCCTGAATCAGTTTAAAGTATTTGGCCTTCTGTTTGTGCTTCTCCCTCCCTAGGTTACTCTTTGTTGAGTTGCCAGCATGCGTACAATGGTCCATAGTAAACAATAGGGAAACAGCTAGAATGCAGCAGTTCTATATTGCTAGATGCATTTGAGCAAATCTACTTTTATATTCTGAACCTCCCCTTTGGATTTTGACTTTCTCAGATTTAAATTTCAGTGTTGAGACAGGCAGCTGAACAACAGGGACACTTGATGCCATTGAAATGTATTGTATGGAGTCATAAGGGCGGCCTGATCTGCAAATTTAATGGCTCTTAGTATCTTCCATTGCCCTCATGTGATGATACCTTTAGTAGGAAATATTGAAGAGGAAGGGTGTTGGAACAGTGGCAGAAAGTGTGCTAAGGGCAGAAATGGCAACTGGTGGCTAATGGACCAGATATGCCCCCAAAGCAATTATATGTGGACCCTGACACCCATGCCAAATTTCAGTCAAGGTGTGGTAAAATGTTTTGTCCATTTTCTCATAGCATTTTAATCCTGATGCTGTGAGAAAATGGAGATATTTCACAGGCTAATGCTTGACTGATTCATTCTTTCTCTCTCCCCCGCCCACCCCCAACTGTAAATCTCTAACTGTCATTGGGTATGGGTTCATATTTATTGTATTTCCTGTTTAAAATGCCCTATTTGAAGTCAAGAGTTCTTCAACAGTATTACACATTGTTGCAACAGAACAGGTGAAAAGATAGAATATTTTTTCCTTAGCATGAAAAACAGGCAGAAAAAAAGTGCTAAGCAGTAGAACTGCATGTGCAGGTTCCACCAAAAAATATGGTTAAAGTTATAGGAGTAAAAACAATGCAAACATAAAAGGTGTTTTCTCTAGTTAAATAAGTTTAAAATTATTAGCTTAGAGTGAAGCCAGACAAGATGTGGCTCTTGATCACATATCTACCTTATGCTCTCATAGTGTATATTTGTTTGTGTGTGCGCGCTTGGTTTAGCATTTCTTCATTTAGGAAGTAAAAGGAATGAATGGAATATGATTACTCAACCCTAATCTGTTCTGTTAACATTCACTCACTGTGGCTCCCATTAAGAACTGAGCTGGGAATGGAGAAAGATATCTAGAGCAATGGTCAAAGGGGAAGTAAGGCATAGGAGGGGAGAAGATTCTCTGTCCATCCTATTTGTTCCATTTTACCGTTAAAGGAAGTCATCCCCGTCTCCATGTTATATGTAAATAGGGTGGATTCATGGAAAGAAAACATGTATCTTAGACCCTCATGCCAGTATTTGGCCATTAGAACACTGACTTAACAGGGGAATAATCATTTTGAACAAAAGGTGCTGCCTGGTGGATTGCTTATACTTTATGTGAAAGGTCTGAAAGGAATAGCTGGATGCATGTGAAATGAACAGAATTACCCCCACCCTATGCTGAGATCCCACTCCCACTGTGAGTTTTAAAAAAGAGGAGAACCCCAATCAGATGATTCAAGGATGGCTGACTTCGCATCAAGTATGACTTTGAGATCATCTTTGTTCATGTAAAGGCATGCCTATTACACACACACACACACACACACACACACGCCTGTTCCTGCACATGCTTTTTCACAGATTGGGTTTAGGACTGCACCTACAATCAAGTCAAACCAGAGTGTCCTGCAGCTCATTTTTAAGTGGGGCCATAATTTGAATTGAGCAAAACAGTACTGAGTCAGCCGGTAGAGCCAGAATACACAAATTGCTCTGTGATATGCAAATTAGAGGCCCTTCTTCCTAGTGTAAATAGCAACAGTTGAGATGAATAATAAAGGAAGGGCACTGCTAAACCCTTTTCTGCTGCTCAGCACTTTTGAGGTAGAAGCATCTGAAGAAACTCCTCCATATCTCCCTTGCATGGGAAAGAGCAACTGAGTGGATACCGTGTTTCCCCGAAAATAAGACACTGTCTTATTTTTTTTTTTGGCTCACATAAACACACTAGGTCTTATTTTTGGGATAGGTCTTACTTTTGGGGAAACATGGTAATCTGCTCGCTATTTTCGGACCTATCGGAGATCCAACTTCTTCTCTTTGCAGTAAACTTTAAGATTCTTGCCGCACGAGTCCTCTACGATTCCTTTCTTGTACTTGATGGAATAGCTCTTTCTTTTTGCACTCATCTTGTCTGGGGGTCAAAAAAATAATCTGTTTAATTCTACCATTAAATACGGTACCATACCATAATACCATAATACTGTAGAAAACTTACAAGACATGAGTGAATGGCAAAGTTAAGAAGAGGATGATCAGGGCAATCGGGTGCTGTACCTTCCCAAGAGCAATTTGGTAACCAATCGCTGGCCAGAATGAGTGAAGTGCGTTTTCACTATCGACTCCTCACAGGCGGAGTGCATTTGGTATCACTCAGGCTGTGACAGGAGCCGGCGCTATAGAGGAAGCTTCGGCTTATGTGGCTCTGCTCCCTCCACTGCCTGGCTTCTCTATAGTGCCAACTCCTGTGGGCAGGTGCCAGGTGCTGACTGAAAAGGTTTTTTGTTAATCATCAGTAATCATCATTTGCTAACTGCTACATCCCCTGCAACACTCTTTATTAGCTCACTGTACCATGGAGGGAGCAGAGCCCCATAAGCCGGCTCCTGTCACAGGCGGAGTACATTTGGTATTAATCCGCCTGTGACAGGAGCCGGCACTACAGAGGAAGCATCAGCTTATGCAGGGAGCGGAGGGAGCAGAGATGCATAAGCATGTTTCCTCCACACAGTGCATTAAGTTAAAGTTAAGTTAAATAATAAAGTTTAAAAAGGCTCTTTATGTTCCCCATTGGCCCTGGGAATAAACACAGCTAGGTCTTATTTTCAGGGTAGGTCTTATATTTTAGCAAATACCAAAAATAGTACTAGGTCTTATTTTTGGGGAAACACGGTAGTAAGAGGAAGGTCCTTCAGGTCAGGTGGGAAGTCCATGGGAGAGGGATGGTGCCCTTAGGCCTCCAGTTGTCTATAACTGATTCACATCACATCAAGAGGTAAGGCTTCTAGATAAATTACTTACATATGCTTGTTTCTGCTTTAGGTGGCTTTACAGATAATTCATATGCTTTTGTAGTTCTATATATCCCCCTCAGACATCTCTGAGCTAACTCTTTCAAGTACCTTTTAAACCACTGTTTGCATGTGAAAAGCATTGCTGCTTTTCTTACATTTTTGTTATTCTTCTAATACTAATAGAAGCAAGGCTTTCTTGGATGCTAAAGAGAGCTCAGCATTTAAGCCAGTGTTCTAACTTACGTTTACTGTCCTGTACCTACCTCTTACATATTTCAGTTAATAGATGTATTTTCTTCTCTGAATAGAAATGTTCCATCATAAGACAGGAATATGAGCCCCACTGCTCTTTTGCCACATGGAAGAGAAAAATCTGGATTGGAAAATGAGGCTAAACAAATTGCATATCATTCTTGTTTTGGCACTGGTGCTCTCATACAGTTCATTACAGCACTGCGGCGTGTTAATTAATGATATGTAAATATATTGCAATGATTACATTTGCATATTGAGTGAGGCCTCAGTACCTTAGGTTGTGATGTGTTTTAATTAAGGGCTAATTAGAAATGATGGGAATTTCACTTGACTCAGTCTAATTATTTTCCATTTTGATGAATATGTAGAGAGTGTTATGATTAGGGATCAAAATGAACCATGGCATGTTAGTGTATGTGACTTCATGGGTTCTCAGGGGTTTATGGTGCTGAGAATTGTCCATTAAAACATCCATAAAAATTAGGACTGCCAACCAATTCAAAGGGTTTTTAAAGTCAATTTATTGTTGCACTATTACTCATTTAATTGATTAATTAACTGATAGGGATAAATATTAAAGTAATTTGGCTCAAGTGATATTTTGAGGCTATTTAATGAAGATAACAGTTTCTTTCAGCTAATTAACAGAGACAAATCCATTCTTTGTTTGGAAAATAATTTTAAAGAGATTGCCTGAATGAAGAGGAGCTCTTTTACATGAGAATGCCAGTTAATGTGCAATTAAAAACCTTACTATAAGCTGTAACTGATTTTGATTCAGTTAATGCTTTTGGCCTTAATAAAAAATATTTATGACTAATGACAGGTTCTGCAGAGGGTTGTCTAGAGGTCTGATAATATGAATAGTCATAGGAATGTTTAGTAACCAGGTGTGTGGACTGTCTTAGCATTATACTGCAACAGGTGCATTGCTGTGTGGCTATACCCAGCCACAGAATCAGCACACTAGTGGCCTGAACCTTTGGTGGAAATGATAGCCTATGATTTGTTAGTGTCTTCTCCAATAGGTCCAACTGGTTATAGTTACTTGGTGGTGAGGGAAAAGTACTCTGCATATACTCATAGCCCTTCTACTTCATTTTACCATTTCTGTACATCTTCCAGAATTGAGTCCTATCATTGTCCAGCCACATTTCTTGAATCCTGGATGGTCCAAGTTACCTTGGTTACTGCCATCACTCGGTCTTTAAGCTCTCTAGCAGACATGGCTTCTGGAATACAGGGTGGTAGGAAACATAGGAAAAGGAGGTGACTGTGCTGAGTTGCCCTGCTCTGCTAGCCAGCTCCCACCTTCCCCCTAAAAAGAGCACTGTAAGCTAAGCAGCAGTGAAAGAGATGAATAGAGGCTAAAGAAGAAAAAGGAGGTGTAGCCAAAATGGAAACTTGGAAATCCTGGCTGTAGAAAAGATGCTGTTGAGAAGACAGAGAGCAGGGTTAAGTAAGGACTCTCAGTGGTGATCAAAGGCACAGCTTCTGTCCATCTCTCTGGAAGTACTGCTTCACACTCCATAATATATATATTTAAAGAATTTGTGAAGAATTCATTTTACACAAAGCTTGTATAATGTTGTGGCTGATAACTGGTCAAAATACTGAAGCTTGCAGGAGACTAGATTCTCCTCCTGAGTATGTTGTATGTAGGTATGAATGTGGGAAATGTTATTGGCCTTGGAAATACTTTTAGAAGTTATTGCTCTTGATGGTCATACATAACTTATGGCAATGTTCTTTTTAATATTCTGACCACTGTAGCCTTAGCTTCATCCTTTCAGTTCTGTAGTCCAGTTCTGTACCCTATCAAACATCTTCATTTTTTTGGCCTTTTGTTCAGTACACCTTTGCCTCTGAAGTCATGGTTGCTAAACACTATGCACTGAGAACATGGGGGTAAAAATCAATTCCTATATTTTTTCTGCATCTGAAATAATACTCTGCTCCCTATTTATATTTATCCAGTGTTAAGTATACGTGGTATTCAGGAAGAAGACCCCCCTGATGCTCAGCTAATGAGACTAGATAACATGTTGCTGGCTGAGGGTGTCTCCGGGCCTGAGAAGCGGGGAAGAGGAGGACCAGCGGCCATAGCAGCAACATCAGGTGGCTGTCCAAATGACAATAGCATTGAACACTCTGACTACAGGGCCAAGCTGTCACAGATCCGACAGATATACCACTCTGAGCTAGAGAAATATGAACAGGTGATCTTTCTGCATGGAAGAGTTTTTATCCTCTCAGTTAAAAGCAATTTATCATTTTTCCTTTGTGGTCACAGAGCAGGAAGTATACTGTTCTCATAAAGATAATAATAATAAACTATTTACTGTGGAAAAGTTAAAAATGGCAGGGTGTATAACTTAATTAAGGTTGCAATCTTTTTATGAGCTTTTATGTAGCTTCAGGACTGCAACCTTTCCTCATTCTTGGTTGTCTTAAATAGAGTTGAGTCAACATTCTTAGATGACTTTTCCTTTTTAAAAGTGTCCCATTTGCACAGGTAGTATCCATGCTTGTCCAGAAGCCAACAAGAGTTTCTATGTTCCATGGGGGCATTCTGGAGAGAGCTCCTGTAAACTCCATTTTTTCCTTCCAGCTGTACTTTTCAGTAGGACACAATCTAATTTCCAGGGATTGGAATGGAGCATTTGTGTGTAACTATGGTTCTGTGGTGGAATATATAGAACAAGCATATTTGATGACATAAACCTTGTTTGAAGACCTGTCTGTTAGTTACAAAATGTAGAGGCCCTATGCAGGTTTTCTATGTAGATCATGAAATGTTCACTTATTGTTGCACTTTAAACACAAGTCACCTAAAGAGTTATATCAGAATACCATATATTCATCTTGAGACTGCAATGATTACAAATTCATCTGCTCCTTGTGTAGTCTGTTGAATTATTACTCCTACTTAATGGTTACAGACTATATGTGATGATGTAGCAAGGCTTGATTTGAGAAATCTTTTGCCTTTGCTTCAGTTAAGTGTGCTTATTTTATATTTCTTTCCAGGCATGCAGTGAGTTCACCACTCATGTTATGAACCTGCTGCGGGAACAGAGTAGAACAAGGCCAATTTCGCCTAAAGAAATTGAGCGCATGGTGAATATAATTCACGGGAAGTTCAGCACCATTCAAATGCAGCTAAAACAGAGCACGTGTGAGGCTGTGATGATCTTGCGCTCGCGGTTCCTTGATGCAAGGTAAAACATGATCAATGATCAAGCACCTTCTCTGTTCAGGATGTTGGCAGCACACAACATGGTATAGAACCTCATACTGGGCACAATGGTAATAGCCCCTATAAAAAGTGGAGAGGGTAAAGGGTGGCCTTAGTACCACAAGTGTAAGCCAGCATCTACCCTTAAGGTTTTAGTGTGATCCAGCAAATGCACCAGTTAATTCTATGTGACGTTATCTGTAATTGTGCAATTTGTGTTTTTATGTTTCACTGTTCAGTTTCTGTTTTAAATGGAAAATACCAAGATTAGGTCCAATTTCATATGATTTGGTGAGACCAGGCTCTTGTAATGAATATAAGAGGTTGACTTATATTAAGACATTTCATTGGTCCATCTAACTCAATATTGTCTATCCAGACTGATAGTTGGTTTCTAGGCTGCCAGGCGGAAGCCTTTCCCATCACTTGCTATGCTCTAACATCAGCAGCATGAAAAATTTCAATGTGTTTCCAGGCGTAAGCGGCGTAACTTCAGCAAACAGGCGACAGAAGTCTTGAATGAGTATTTTTATTCTCACCTAAGTAATCCTTACCCCAGTGAAGAAGCCAAAGAAGAGCTAGCAAAGAAAGGTGGCATCACAGTCTCACAGGTACATGGTACATCATGGTAGAGACCATTCCACCAGATATGTTTGATTTCGGACCTTCTGTGTGTTTTTTTCTCTTTACAGAAATGTATCAACAGGTTATTTTAAAAAATTAGTTCTTAAATTTAAGTTCAATTATATTATTTCCCCTTTCCCCCTTTTTCTTATCTGTATCTTTTACTGTTTTCTAAAATAGTAACAAAATGTTGTTAAACATTTGGGCAAAGTCATCCTATGGGATGAAGTACAGAGAATTTGTGGGGGGAAGAACTGTCAAAGCTTGGGCAGACTTGCATCCATGTGGGTAGAAGGTGCAGCATGGAGGTGACATTTCTCTTTCCTTTTTACCATTTTTCTAACCAAACTTTCTTTTTAATATTCCCTTTCATAGTTTCCAGAGTTAGAGAGAATAACTGCATCAGCTCCAGGGCTGGCATAGTTCTTCTCTCTTGTGTGTGGGTGTGTGAGGGAAATGGGAATGTTTTGGATCCAGTGGATCTAAGGTTTCAGCTGATCTGCTTCTTTTCTGCGGCTGCCACCACTGGGGTCCTACAGTGGAGGCTCAGTGACAGCAGAGTCCTCTGCCACCTGAATGAAGACGTTTCTAGCAGTGGAGCTACTGAAGTCTGCAAAATCTTGTGGCTCCTGGGATGCCAGGAGCTGCAGAATTATATCCTTGGAAATTATATATAAAACGTATCTTTGTATGCTAAAGATGATTTCAAAATCAATGTTTTATTTGTTATGTCACAAGTTAAGTCATGCTATTAATAGTTTTAATTTTAATTTAAAGAACCATCACAACTATCTATTTGAAAGCTTGATTTTTAAATCAGTATTTTCTCTTGATGTCATTATTTAAGTACTGATTAAATTATCTTGATTTAAATCAATCCAGCCTGGCCAGAAGAGTGAACAACAGGGCGCTTAATTCTCTTCCAGCTCTTATTTCAGTATTGCCAAATCATTGATCACTTTGTTATCTCCACCAGACAGCAAACCTGACCTGGAAGGGTTTTTAAAAAAATAAGGTTTAGCCCTTACTACATGACATGCTTGGCAGGGTCATTTTTGCTGGTTCAAACAAACAAACAAACAAACAAACCTTCAAAGAAGTTTAGCCATCATAGCTTTTAGTATCTAGCTCCACAAAGGGATTTATAAAGTGATGTTCATGCTGTTGCTTATAGGACATGCAATTCTGTGAACGAAACACTGTTGATATGTGGTTTAGTGCTCCTGGAGATTTGAAGTATGGATTTAGTTTGTTCTTTCTGAGAATCTTTGTCTCTGAGTCTTTCTTTTATGGCTCCTGTTGATGGTATTGATGACACACTGTGATTTGTGGAAGGCAGGACGCGCTGCAATGGAGCAAAGCTCAGGAAACCAAGGTTCCATTTAGATGCCAGGAAGCATTTCCTGACAGTTAGGACCCCGAGGGTGTGGAATGGGCTTCCATGAGAGGTCGTTGAGGCCCCATTGGTGCGGGTGTTCAAAGATAGGCTGGACATGCACATGGTGGTCATATCGTGAGTGGAGCCGGCAGGTGCTGGAGGTCAGACTAGATGGCCTGGGAGACCCCTTCTGACTCGCTCTGTTTCTATGTTTCTATTTGTTCACATATTAATTGAGTTACTGTTTCAGGTCTCTAATTGGTTTGGTAACAAGAGAATCCGGTACAAGAAAAATATGGGGAAATTCCAGGAAGAGGCTAACATTTATGCTGCCAAAACAGCAGTGGATGCAACCAATGTGGTGGCCCAGGGCAACCAAACAAGCTCTCCACCTACCCCAAATTCCGGTGAGTGCAGAAAGACTATATCTGTTCTTGTTGGGAAAACCCCAATGCTGAGAGCCTCTTCTATACTGATTTGAAGTCAAAAAGGCAGAAGTGAGAATTGACCTAACAAGCCTTCCTGAAACTAGATTAGAGTGGCACTATGTATCTAAATTCTTCTGTTTGATTTTTCAGACCCCTTTTCTTTGGTCTAGGAGTGCAGCAAAAAAAGACTACCCTGAGCATGTATTAATTCTTTTGGTTAAACTCAGATTGGCTGAAACAGTTCCAGTTCCTGGGAGGTTTTAAACCAATTGGTTTTCTTCAGGGAAAATTACCAATAGAAATCAGTAGGAAAAAACACTAAGCACAGCTGTTTATTCTTTGATGAACTTGACTAGATTAGACAATTTAACATGTCCACTAAATGATTTTTGTTTAGTGATTTCTATTCTCATGAATTTGATTAAATACCTTTGGAACTGAAATTGCTTCAATAATCCTTGTACACCCACTGTAGTGGATGCTGTTGTCTGCATATTGCTTCATAGCACATTTCATTTCAGTTCCATTTGTCCCCATTATGCCAGTGTTAACTTTCATGATTTTTCTGTACATATACTAGGGAGCATAGTCCACCTTCCTTGGTAGATGGAGTGGTTGTATTTGTAGTTGCGGATTCAAAGAATGGGAAGCCAAGAGAGTGTCTCAATACATTTTAATGTCTGTCAATTGTTAGTGTCACCAGTGTGTTTGATTCTTCGTGAATCACATAATCTGTGATGCTAAATAATGATTTACCCAAGTTTTGATGCTGGCCTGGTCCTTTCTGTTATATATTTCACCCAAATTATAGTCTAACATATCTGAAAGGCACCAGATCACAGTACAACTCATCTGGAGGGCATAAGGTTGGAGAAAGCTATGCAATAAGATAGCTTTTTATGTTGGGAAGAAGCCTGTGCTTTGCTCAAAGAAGGCTCCAAGTTCAGTTCCCAGCATCTCCACTTAAAAAGAACAGGTGGTAGGAAAGACCTTTCTCTGAGATTTTTGCACTTTTAAGGGGCAAATATTATTTGTGGTGGAGGGGAATAATTTCCATCAGGAAAGCAGCATGGGGGAAACCCCCCCTCCCCCGCAGCATTCTTTCTAATCTGTATCTATTTCTTAAAGAAAAGAAAGGCAGATTGACCATGAAGTTTTGGTCCTTACTTAAGGATCTGTGTTTGTGCACATACTGGAAAAGGAGACGTGTAATTTTCTACCTCTGGACTGAAATAGAAGATGTTGCTGCTTCCTGCTATATCTGTCAACAACAATTATTCATTTTGGGATGGAGGGTTATCTATCACTCTGTGCATGTGTGTGTGCATGTGCAGATAGAAGTGGTGCCTACATTTTTCAGGATAGTTGTGTCTGTTTTAAGGTCTGTGTCAACATTTATGTGGATGTTCACTCTTTGGTATTCTTAAGTGCATATGGGAAAAAACAACCCCTTAGCTGCTATGATTGTAAATATAGCGAGGTGCTTGAAAAAAAGCAATGGGTAATAGGGAAGGTTTTTTTCAAGGTGATTTAAGTGACTCAGTTCCCTGTATGTTTTAAGTACCTTCCTCTATTCACTCAGTGACTAAAAAAGGTGGCTCCTTCTTGCTCACTTAAGTAAGAAAGGTGATCTTGAAAAGCCTACACTGAGCCAAAAGAAATCTTGAGCTAGCAAAGCTGTGCACAGGTTAAAGATTTCTTTCTAAACAGCAGCTGTCCAGCCACGTTCTGGAAAACTGATTTTCCCACAAAATGTAGGTGGAATGATGTACCCACTGGCTGCACTTTGGCTACATGCACAAGACTGTGGGGTTAAGGTGTAGTAGATTAATTATTGTTATTGTGAAGACTGCAATTACTTAGATGAGTAATTTTCAGACTTCATTGGAATTCTTTTCAGATTAACTTCTCTTTTAAGAAATTTATGCATATATACTGCAGAACTCTAGAATTCTTGGATGTTGCAGAGAATTGAGGCATTTTTGAGTGGTACATGCTCAGTTTACATGGGACACTGGCTAGGTATATTGGTCCTCACCATCTCTCCATGTAAACAGAGACTGTGTCTAAACACACACTGTCCTTTCCATGCAACCATGGATTGCAGGGGAAGCTCAGTAGCGACAGGCATACTTCTGGCATTGTAGATTATCCCACCACTATTACACACACTCAACATTGAGGGATTCCTGAGAGCCTTTTAAGGAACCCCAGGATTCCCAGGATTACAGTTTGAAACCAGTATTGCAAAACCAAAATATGGAGGAAAACCTTGAGATGCTCGTGAGGAATCCAGGGCTATTTAGAGTTACAAACAGTCCACTAAGCACCCCCCAAAAGGAATGCTACTTAAAAACAATTAGTGATAAATTATGAAATTAGATGCAGAACACAACAGCTGCTTATGCTGTTGTCTGTGACCGATTACGTAAAAATAAGCACGTACAGACATACCCTTAGGTAACTTCTTTTCCTCTTCAGGTTCCTCTGGGTCATTTAAAATGACAAATTCTGGAGATTCCTTTATAAACCTGCAGTCACTCACTTCCTACCAGAACTCGCCAGTGGGAGCCAATGTGCAGTCACAGGTGGGTGTCCAAAGAAAAATGTACAATTGCCCTATGGATCTCAGTGGGCCAAATATTGCAGTCCAGATGCCCAGAGCATCACTCTGATAGATTGGTTTTCTCTTGGGAATGTAATGTTAGAATAGTTACCTGTAGTAGAGACTTGCTAGGAAATAGCTCATTCCATAAATACATTTTGAATTCCTCCACATTCTATCTTCCAGTGCTGGCTTAGACAAGAAAAGTCCTGCTTCTGTACTAGGCTGAAGTGAGGAGCATGTGTTGCCTACCCTTCTGACCTTTGTCTTAATTGAAAAGTAAAAGTCTTCTAAAGAGTTTGGCTATAAGCCTGGCCTGTAGTATCTGTGGTGAGGATTCACACTTGTGTTTGTGCATGTGAGCACTTGTACACAGGGATTTAAAAGATTTAGGGCTAATTAATGAAGGTAGTATATCCATATTTTCTGAGTATAATATCCAAGCAGAGAAAGACAGTTGCCAAGAAATGATTGTAATACCAGGCACCACCATTAACTGCCTTGTGTTAATTCTTCGTTATAATGAGATCAGTATGCAAACCCTAGCTCTTGCTGAATTGAATCAGAATGTTCCAGGTCCCATGGTAATGCAGGCATGTTGTGCCACACATTCCACAGTAAGAGTATTTGGGCCATCTTTTCTTTCCCTAAAATGCTGGGCCCAGAAGTTCACCTATTGTCACTATTTTGCAGTCCTGTCTCTGATGACATTCTTCTCCCTGTGCATAACCCACAATTGTTTGAAAGTGCTGGACAGATGGCATCTGCTGCAGAAAAGTAACATAAATATAGTTACAATCTGAGATTTAGCTTGCAGCTACCAAACACTGATAGATGCAATGTTTCAGTGTTCCATTGGAGACTATATAAAGGGAACTGGAATAGTGGCAGAGGTTTTGACAGTGACTGAAACATTCAAATAACTGAACTTCGTTCTATTTTTTGCCAAATCGGTTGTATTGTTACAGATGGATTCCTTACACCATGTCATACACCAGGCTGGAAGATATGACAGCATTGTGGGAAACCCTCTATATTCAACGCAGCGCATTGATGTAAGAAGCTTCTGATTTTGAGAGTGAACGACTTGAGCTGCAGATATCTGACATGGCAATGGAGGTTAATGCAGAGGCAGTTTGAATAAATTTCTACTCAGCATTAGCTTGTGGTGTTGCTCGCACCCTGTGACAATGCAGTGTTACTCCAAAGAGTGCAGGAAATAGGCAGCCTGTTTCCCATTTAGAGAACCAAGCCTCCCCGCTGCCACTTTAGCTTGTAAGAAAATCCTTTCTCTGTATCATTCATATTACTGTGAAGACTAGAATTGTGAGTGGTTAGGGAAGGTCAGAGAGAGAAATTGGCTTACCTAGCCATGCAGATTGGCCCAGTGAATTAGAAGGAAAGACCATTTTACTTCCAATTCCTTCTCATTGGTGGAGAGAGCTGTCAGTTGAAGGAAAAGACTGCAGGCAGGCAGGCAGGCAGGCAGGGAGAGAGGGAGAGGGAGAGGGAGAGGGAGAGCGCGCGCGCGCGTGCGAGCAAGTTTGCATACACCTACAAACTGGCCAGAGATTGGTTCCCGTCCCCAAATCTGCATTTGGGACTGAAAATGTGCAGGAGTGGCTGTTCTTGTTGCTGTACTTACCATTCCACCTTGTTCTCTGAATTCTGTTTGATAATCCACAGTCATAGGCAGTAAAGCTATATCCATTTAGACAAATTAGCTGGAGAAGTTGGGCAAGAGCAAAGGAGTCCCATTTGGGAAAAGAGAAGCTGTGAAACAGATGCAGCAGAAGCAGCATTCACACAGTACTTTGCCTTCTGTGTCCCAGACAGTGAACTGCAATGTCAAGACTTTTGCTCTGAGGCTGAGCCTTATAGAACAAAGTACATGTCGTGCATATGGGAAATTGTAATCAGAATGGCTTAGGATGCAAGTAACACCTTGTGGACTTAACAAAAAATGCATTTATTCCCTCTTCAGGCTAATGGCAGCTGGCAGGATGCTACTACCCCTTCATCAATTACTTCACCTGCTGGAGATCCCGGAAGCATTAATTCAGATGCATCTAATTAAATTTTTAGGACCTGTTGAGGAGAGGAAAGAGGTCATTAGTGTAATTTGTCAATGTTGCTCTTTTTTTGCCAATATTTTTGATTCTACAACTTGACACACAGCTAATTACCTCAAACAAAATAAAAAAGAAAACCAATAGAAGATTGTGATTATATGTGGACACCTCTCTACCTCTCGGCATGATGTGCTTGAGTTCTTCTGGCTTCTGCCCTTTGGGTTGTAAAGGAACTGGCTTCATTTACCAAACCAAATTCCTTTTTTTAAAAAAAGAAATATCACTTTTATGCTTAAGGATCTGAAAGTGTTTCTGCAATGAACTTTGGAATTTGTCTTCGTTTTTCCAGTTTAAAAAATAGCAACTGATTTTAATTTCTATGTGTTTTTATTATAAAAATTCTGTTCTAGATGCTAGTTACTAACAAATAGCCCCTCTTGTATTGTAATTGTATGCGTTCTCTGTATTGTAATTTTGTATAGGAAGACTTTTTTTCTTTAAACTCATTAACCAGAACAGGCCATTGCTTTACCAAAATGATTGTTGGACTTTGCTCTTGAATAGAAATTTCATCTTCTGTGTCACTCTCATGTAGCTCTAATTTAATGTCTTAGAGTAAACACAGACTTCCCTGTGAATAGATTTTTGTGCATTTAGAAAAAATGTTAAAAGCAAAGTCCATCACTTTCAGTTAAATTTTATCAAAGAATAAACTTCCAAAGTCTTTTTTCCCTTTCTGTCTCTTTCCAAGCCTTCTTTCATCTTTGTCAGGTGGCAGCTACCACCAGATAGATGTGGAAAAGAAGAAAATTGTTTTCAGCGCAATCCTGCACATTTACACAGATGCACAGCTGTGCTCAGATAGATGCATATGAGATTGTAGCCTAACTCTATTTATCTTATGTGTGTATTAAACTTATATCCTCCCTTTTTTACTGCAAGGATTCCAAGCTAACTTACAAAATCTTCCTCTACTCCATTTTTATCCTCACAACAGTCTTGTGACATAAATTAGACTGAAAATCAGTGACTGGTCCAAAGTCAGCCAGTGAGCTTCATGGCTGAGTGGGACTAGAACCCATCATGTACTCTAGCCAATAATCCACACTGGCTATTTCAATAAACAAATGAAGTTCCCTGCTGTGGGTTCACTACTTGCACACATAGATATATCATTGTTCCTTTGCTAATGATGCATAGATGAAGACAGATGTAGCATTTTTGGAGCAGGGGTGTACGCTTCCTTTTTGATTGTCAAGTTTGCAGCAGAAACTGATTGTGGACAGTACTGTTTCACTAGCACCCATGATACCACCACCAAGTCCTCTCTGCTTCTCCAGTGAAGTGTGGTACACCAAAAAGGGTCACTTTCATTAAGGACAAATGGATACATCAGCAAGCATCTGTGTGATCATTGAAACAAATAAAAGTCTTCCTTTTTATTTGGTAGGGAGGAAATCAAGGAGCCCGTGATCAACTTGCTGTTATGTACAGTTGCCATTCAAATGTGGAAGCTAGGAGGAACTCAGACTCATACAGTGGATGAAGCAGTCACTCAGAACGTTCCTTTTCTGTTGCATCTGTTTTCACCAATGTTGGATCTGCCTAATCAGAAGGCTCATACAGTTTAAAGGAGAGACTGAATTAGTCCACTTTTATGTACTGTTGTTTTTACAACTTTTTAAGTATCTGGAACACTTTCTAATTTTATCTGCAAATCAACTATGTCAACTGTAGAAAATGCTTACAGTGTGCTTCTTCAGAGACACAAAACTGGAACAGATTCAGATCCTCTGTAAGAAAGATGTTCTTTAATTGCATGCTTTTTATCTTCTCAGATCAGACTGATCTTGAGAATTTGGAGTGGCAGACAGCATGTTTCTAGGATGAAGATGTTTTAACAGGCAAACACCTCTGATGTTATGCATCTTGAGCAACTTTGTTTTGTTTGTGGTACTTTACATACAATATGGATGACAACAGCTATGTCCTTGGATTACACAGACCTGCCTTTTAATGTTGGTAGCAGAGGTTCCTTCTGTGTTGTAATGGTTTGAACTGCACAGCTTTTCACTGACTTTAGTACTATGACATCTGGTCATAGTCTATAATTACTATGGTGACATAAGACTTTGAGCACTTCTGGATAAAACTTCTGTGTCATCACACTGCCTTTCCCACAGAATTATGTGTGGGCCCTGATGTCATCATCCATTTGTAATCCTCCTACATTGTCCCATGAAGGTTCACTTTTCTCTTACCAGAAAAAAATTGTCTAAGGAAGAAAAGATAGAATAGTTACACAATGTCTTTTACTTATACTGCTAAGTGCTCTCTTTTTTGGAAGTCCTCTCTTGCAGCTTCTAGGCAGAATGAAAATCAGCCAAAGGAGGAAATAAATATTTCATTTTCTTATGAGCATAATTTGCATAATACTATTAGTTAACAGTTGCTATATTTTCCTCTTTTGCTGTCTTGGTTTTGTTGCTGGAATTATACACAACTAAGTTTTAAAAGCCTTCTACACCTTTGAACTATCCTTCAAACCAACTAAAATTGAATATATTACTGATTGATTAAAAGCATGAACAGCTGAGAGCAAGTAGTATACTTCATAAGGTATTCTGAAATTATTTTAAACTGAGCACATTGTAGACAGAATGAGCTGATTTGCTTGAAATCTCACTATTCTTTTCAAGCAAGAACCCAGGCACCAAAATTCCCAGATGCATGAAAGTGGCTTCATGCTTGTCTTTGTGGTGCATTTAAATGCATCTTGCCTTCTGACAGGAGGGGCAAAGCCAAGGACTATCAAAACTTTGAAGACCTGGCAAAATGACAATTAAGTCTTTGAAACTACATGGTGAATGTGACTCTCAGTATGCAGTTTTGTAATGGGGGGGGAGAGTTCAAAAGAATGCTTGTGCTATTGATGAAATTTTTATGCACCTATGATTGAAAGGGCTATAGCACATATAGAAACACTTGCTCTATAATTTATGCTAGCAAAGTTCAGTTCAGGTGTAGTCAGTCCATTTTGGGCTGTGAGCATTTTTTCTTTCTGAGGAACTCCTTGACACAAAATGTCTGCCATGAGAGTCACAATCTGACCAAAAGAATGAGTACAAGGCAGAGCTGGGGTTCTGAACTCTAGCACACTGAACAACTTGTTTGAATTTTGTTTTCTGCAGCGACAGCCATTTCACTGCAATCTCAACTGTCAGCAAGGAAATGTGTTTTTAAAAAGTGGGAATACTGGGGCATCTGGCTGGGAGTGCATTGGTGCTCACAGGAACTATGCTACCTACCTTGGTATAACGATTCATCATAAGACATGCCACAGGATAGACTGGGGTCACCTTATGTCCTTTGCTAATTAATATTTATACACCTGTTTTTCCTTCCCGGGGAAAAAAGTGAGAATTGCACATATAAATGAATGGCAGACACTTTCAGGGCTTAAACAACATCTAGCTTGCATGCAAATCAATGGAACACTGCTCTACCTGCAACCGAGCATTAGATTGGGCTAGCAAGAGAAGGGGAGCAACTTAGGTATCGGAATTTTGTACAGGGGATTTTTGGTTGGAAATCTAAACGACCTTCAGCCCTATTCCTAATTGCAAGAATGTTACATGCCTCCTGCTCTCTCCTAAGAGCTCTCCTGACCTGCAATATGGGGGAAACAGAATGTTAGTTTCACTCTTTTTTTTAAATCGCATCTCACAAAACACGAGTTAGAGCACAACCTCCTGTATCTCCTGTTACTTATTCTTTCAAGGGGAAGGAAGAACATACATTACTGCTATGGTGTAATCCATAGACGCCTGGACGCATGGGGAATCTTTTATTCCTCCTGCGGAGGATAGGTGAAACAGAAGGCTGAGTTTCCACATTATTTCTAATAAGATAACACCACTCTTATTATATGTATATAACTGTTGTATGACCCTAATTTTTAATTGCTGGGTCAAGAGGGCCTCGGTCCCAGGGAAACCATACAAGAAGAAAGGTAAACGTGGTCCTCCATTCACGGCGAATACAAACAATAGGCTCGCGACGCTCCATAGACTACTGAAGCAATCCTACGGTAAAGTCAGAAAGCTCCTACAACTCCCAGCATGCTCAACGAAACCAGGACGGCGCCTTAAAAGACATTGTAGCAAGCACACTTCCGCTTCCGTTAAGTATTTTCATTTTGGAAACCATAGCAATGCTGGTTTGTGAAGGGAGGTCCTGAACTAATCCCGACAGAGACTGCAGGCAGGCGTAGAGATTTTGTGATGGAGTGTCCGTTATGTCTCCACGCTCCCTCGTCTTACATTGTTCTTGCCACAGTACAATGGCGGCCGTTAACCGACATCAGGAAGCGTCCATCGTCCTTTGAGAACCGGGGTTTAGCATTTCCCTGTTGCAGCCAAACAACAAAAGAACTTTGGGACCCTGAAAGACGAACACATTTTTTCCATCAAAGGTTCCGCCTGAGTAATTTCGTTGGTCTTTAAACCGTCACAAAACACACTTGTTTTCTGATGCTTGAGTCTTTCTAGGGTCACCAGCTCCGTGGAAAGGAATGCACATGCAGTTAAAAAAGTAAAATACAAAACTGGATTCCCAGAAGGCTCTTGGGCCCGGGGCGGGCGGGCTGGTAGGTAGTGCGCATGTGCAGTGGCGGGCTGGTTTGATTGTTGTGAGGCAGCGGAGAGCGGCTGCGCGATGGAGGTGGACGAGGTGCAGCACTGCCCGGGCAGGTAAGTCGAGCGGCCTTTTTTCCTTGCCTGGGAAATGCCCTGCCTCACGTCCACCGTCCCTGGGACGGCGAAGGGGCTTTCTGTCTTGCTGTTTGGTTCCAGGCTGTGGTTCTTTTGAGCCGAGGCACGCCCCGCCCTTTCAAATGAAGACGCCTGCGGCAGCCTTGTCTCCACTTTTCGCAGTCGGAGGGTTGCCTTGTTGGCCAACAGTTTTTCTAAGTCCCGAGCTACTGATATGAGTCCGACCCCACAAACAGCTCATGCCCTGATTAAAGTTGGATCACATCCAATGGTCCGTCTGCGATTTAGGCGCGAATCTTATGCATGTTTAGACGGGAAAAAGGTCCTACAATGTTCAGCAACCCGAGGCTGGGGGAAGACGGGTGCAGAGTAAACGTGCAATTCTGGTTGGCTGAGGAATGCTGAGAGTTGTAGGACTTTGTTTTCTGCCGAAGGTGCGTAGGATTGCGCCTTATTTTTTTGCTTATGCTCCCTCTTCCTTAAATAAAAGAAGGGGGGGGGAGAGAGGGATGAGGCCCCCAAATTCTAAGGAAGACAGGATTCCTTCGAGAACTTATGAAGAAGGTATTGTGATTTCTGTACAGAAGAGGCATTCCATAAAGGACTACTCCTAGTTGCTAATCTGTCCTCCAAGTATTCTGCTTCCTTCTTTAAAGTCTCAAATGCTCTATATGGGATTCTAATGAGGAGGCTGCTTCTTCAGATTCGACAGACTGCTGACTGACTCAAAAGTATTTATTTCTCCTCATACACTTCCACACTCTGCCCATACATTCTCAGTCATCAACTAATCACCTCATTCATCCCCCTCCTTTACCCCTTGCTCCCTTACCCTCCTCTGTAACTTACCAACATTCAAAGAAACATGCACATAACACTTTATCATTGTGGACCTTAAGTTATTTCAGTGGGTATGCATATATAGCTGTCATCTTCTTATGCATAGATACTTTGTAAAGTTTTGTTGACAGCAGTTACTCTGCAGGTCATGCATTTTGGTTAGTTTGATAAAATACGGATTGTGTATTTGTTGTGGGTTTTGGATTGATGCATACACATTTTGTGGGACATGTTACATGTTTGTGGAATGCCATAAGTTTTTGCAATGCTTATAATGTGTGAAGCTGCCCACAAAAACAGACATCAGATTCAGGATGCAGCTTTGGGGCTCTGAGTGTACACAAGGCTTTTCTTGATTTGCCATTGTGCCTTGAACAATTCCATAATGGACAGATATCAGTCAGACTGTTAGTATAGACCTGCTGAATATTTTTCTGTAGCAAAGCTTTATATAACAGTGGAAAATATATTGGGCAGAATACAATTGAGTAATGAAACTTGGTGCAGTGTAAAGGGTGGAAGTCTAAGGCTTAACTAACTTTTCTTTAAACTTTTCAGTGCAGAAGACCTTCCAAGAAAGCTAGCTCAACAGGTAATAAAACTGTTCCCACTGACTTTAAAGCACATGGAAGATTGAATATTTTAATAACAGACTTCAGTCTGAATTTCAAGGAATATTGAAGCTACAGTTTATTGTTGTTGTTGTTATTTAAAACTTATACCCCATTCACCACTTAGATGTCTTGGGATGGCTTACAGTTGTACTCTTTCCCCTGCTTCAGTTGTTATTTTTTAATTGTGCACCTATTTCACCTGGGAGGATAATTTTGTGAGCTTAATTCTGGATTTATCTATATTGTTTGGGTTTGCATATCATGGATCAAACTCAGATTGGGAGATGGGATATTCAGAGTGGTGGCATATGCTGTGGCAAATTGTGGATTAATTAATGCACAATTAGTTACTATTGTGTGCAAATGGTGCCCATGTCTTATCCTTGATCCTTATCTGCCCCTTTGTCTGTTATCAGCTTGGTGCTGTGATACCTACTGAACCTGGTGGGGCTTGCTTCTATGTAAAATGTATGGCACTAATGACTTGACAATTCCATTGAGCGGTCAGAGTTGAGCAGGATGCTAGGCAGAAGATGCAGGCTTATTTGACAGCGGGCTTGGCTTGTCCTATGATCGGGAAGGAAGAATATTGAAGGGAGGCAAGCTGTGTATCTCTCAAGACAGAAGAACTCAGGTTATTTTTTATTTGTCTCTAGTTTACTGCTTTTTTAGGGTGCAGGGGAAGGTTTTATAATATTCATAACATTTAATGAGAAATACCCATCTTCTGTTTTAGGAACCTTCTCAAGGAAACCAGCTTGGCTTAGAAGATGGAAAAAATACTGAGATGTTTGGTAAAGCAGTTAACTCCTTTTAGAATGCTTTGCTTGAGCAATGTATGCCTTGGTGTTCTGCTGCCTCCTGTAGGAAGGACCATGTATTATACAGCTCATTTCCAGTTATTTTACAAAAATAAATCAGAATTCTGTCTGAAGAAAAGTAAATGTTTGGAAGCCTTTTGGAAATAGGCTGATTAAACCTATTTACATGTAGGCATTGGTGTTGTATAATTCTGTTGTCGCTGATCAAGGAAGAAGCAAGGTGTTATGTCCCCAACTCCCCATTGCTCCAGCAGAATGATGTTTGTACTGCAGAACTTCTTGTGATCTCACTGCCCATGGTTTTCATGATTTGCAATTACATTTCTGAGCTGGGAAAATCATTCTTATGTATGAATGCATTCAGTTCATTGCTAATCTCAGAATTATCCAACTTTAATTCAGCACTGTTGCTTTTTGTCATTTCTTGCTTGAAAGGTTTTCACCCTCAGGATTTGGGTTCCCCTTTCTTTTGGAATGAAGGAGAATGAACTGGCTGTCAGGATGATAACCTAATTTGCAATAAATGCCCTCTGCTCCTCTAATATTCCTAGGGAGGCCTTCCAGGACATTGTGTGGGACTGTTTTTAAAAACTTTAAATTTTGTTTTGCCAGATTCCTAGAACTCTGGGTTGATTTTCATGGCTCCTTTATATTTTTTAAATACAGTTCTTCAGTGTGATATGTGAGATTTTCTTTATATTGTAATCACTTATGAGCTATCTTCAGTGCTCTTGATAAGCTGGAAGGTGTTGTATTTTGTGTGCAGATGGGCATGCAAAACATGGAAAATCAAACCATTCCAACAATTAGTAAAAGGTTTTCTGTTTCATCTACTGTTGTTTACTGTTAACTACAACTTGGATGCATCACATATGTCATAATACTACAGTATGAGCATTAAAATTGATAGAATAGATTTTCAGCCACAGTTCTAATGCATTGCTGCCCTTCTTGGTAAATCAGTTGAACTGGTAGAGCTGTGGTGTGCTCTTACTCCACCCTCTTTCTTTTCCTTATGTGTATTAAATATGACTGCATGCTCCACAGCATATGGCCCAGGATGGCTATGAATGTGGTCCAACACAAAATCGTAAACTAGCTTAAAACATTATGAGATTTTTTGGTAGTTTTTTTGTAACTTGATTGCACAGTTCTTGAGCGTGAACTTTGTAGAAGCCAACGTTATGTTGCAGTGTCACATAAAATAAATGTTCATATCCTCTTGCTATTTGTACACATGTATGGCTTCAGTTTTACAGCTGTGTGCATCTTCCAGTGTGTTATCTTCCATGTGCAGACAGTCAAATTGACACCATCAGATGTTACATGTGCTTATGGTGACTTGGCGAGTGAAATGCAGCTATTACTAATAATATTTCAACTTACCATTGCAAACAATAGGTGTTTAATGTTATTTAGAAGACAGGTAAGCATTCTTATTTGATTATTAAAGGTACTTCCATACCTTGGCGGTGCCTCATGCATTGCCCATCGTGCTTTACAATTGGCCTTCTGCCTTGCACTGCGTCGGCAGCCGAGATGTGGAAGGGCCCAAACTTTGCTTTCTATTTTCCTGTCAATTAATTTTCATTATCTATTATTATCAGTTATTTTTTTAATCCCAGCATGGCTTCAACATCTCAAAAGAAAGCAGAACCCAAAACCCCCTCCACAATATTGCAGATGAAGGAAGATTGTTCAATGAAAAGTGGACAGATAACTATTTTTTTGTTAGGCAAATAGTAAGGCACTTTCCTTAATTTGCAGGGAATTTGTGCAAATTTTCAAAGACTAATTTGAAAAGGCATTATATGCAAAAACACGCTGCCAAATTCAGTGTGTATCAAGGGTTGAATCATAAGGACAAAATAAGAGAACTGAAAAAATGTCTGTTTTCTCATTTTTTTTAAAGTTACAACTCAGGCAAATTCTAGTGTAAGCTAGTTATATGGTGGCATTTTAATAGCATTTCACATGCTAGCAAAATCCTACAAGCTAGGCTCCAGTAGTATGTGGACCAAGAACTACCAGAAGTACAGGCACGGTTTTGAAGAGGCAGAGGAACTAGGTCAACATACAATGGATCATGGAGAAAGCTAGGGAGTTCCAGAAAAACATCTACTTCTGCTTCATTGACTACGCTAAAACTTTTGATTGTGTGGATCACAATAAGTTGTGGTAAGTTCCTAAAGAGATGGGAGTACCAGACCATCTTATTTGTCTCTTGAGAAACATGTATGCAGGTCAAGAAGCAACAGTGAGAACTGGACACGGAACTACTGATTGGTTCAAAATTGGGAAAGGATTACGGCAAGGCTGTATATTCTTGTCCTGCCTATTTAACTTATATGCAGAGCACTTCATGAGAAAGGCGGGGCTAGATGAATCACCAGTTGGAATTAAGATTGCCGGGAGAAATAACAACCTCAGGTATGCAGATGATACCACTCTCATGGCAGAAAGTAAAGAGGAACTAAACAGCCTCTTGATGCGGGTGTGTCATGCATGAAGCCCCGACAGAAACAGTGACTCATGAGGAGACCTTGCACTTGACACCCAGTGCCCAAGAGTTGACCCCACAACCCAATGCAGGGACAGCTGAGCCAGCTGCTGCATCTTCCTCTGACCCCCAGCACGTTGAGCAAACGTCTGGACCTTTATCAGAGACAGTCATGAGAAAGAGGAAGCTGCAAGTTCTACTCAGAAGGAGGCAGAGCAAACTGCCTCTTCCCCCTCTGATGCTGATCTCCCTGAGCCAGAAACAGAAGATACAATAGGTGTCGTGGATTTCTCAAAAGCCAAAAACAGACGTATTTTACGCAGATATGAACAGTGGCAAAATTTATTGCGTAAGAGGGAGGAAAGGCGTGACTTGGGAGAATGATCCCACGTGGGCTTGGGAAGAGAAGCCATTAGAGAGTTAACATCTGCTTAGCAAGGATCACTATTAGGGAATTTATCTATAGAGTTGTAAATCTTGTAGACAATTAACATTAAAGGACTTTAGTTTTATTGCTCTAGAATGTGTGGATTGTTTACATACTGGGCTGCACGCCTTGATAGGGTGAAGGAGGAGAGCGCAAAAGTTGGCTTAAAACTCAACATTAAGAAAACTAAGATCATGGCATCTGGTCCTCTCACTTCCTGGCAAGTAGATGGGGAAGAAATGGAGGTAGTGACAGATTTTATTTTCCTGGGCTCCAAGATCACCACAGACGGGGACTGCAGCCAAAAAATTAAAAAACGCACACTCCTTGTGAGGACAACTATGACAAATCTAGACAAATCTTCAGGATCTGGCCTTCTAAAGAGCAGTCAGGGTTGATCTCCTCTAGGACTGACCGGTTGGATTGCCTTGCGGTCCAAGGGACTTGCAGGAGTCTCCTCCAGCACCACATTTCAAAGGCCTCAATCCTTTGGCGCTCAGCCTTCCTTATGGTCCAGCTTTCACAGCCATACATTGCAACTGGGAAAACCATAGCCTTGACTATATGCACTTTTCTTGGCAGGGTGATGTCTCTGCTTTTTAGTATGCTGTCTAGATTTGTCACAGCTTTCCTCCCCAGGAGCAAGCGTCTTAATTTCTTGGCTGCAGTCCCCGTCTGTGGTGATCTTGGAGCCCAGGAAAATAAAATCTGTCACTACCTCCATTTCTTCCCCATCTATTTGCCAGGAAGTGAGAGGACCGGATGCCATGATCTTAGTTTTCTTAATGTTGAGTTTCAAGCCAAATTTGCACTCTCCTTCACCTGCATAAAGAAGCTGTTTAGTTCCTCTTCACTTTCTGCCATGAGAGTGGTATCATCTGCATATCTGAGGTTGTTGATATTTCTCCCAGCAATCTTAATTCCAACTGGTGATTCATCTAGCCCCGCCTTTCTCATGATGTGCTCTGCATACAAGTTAAATAGGCAGGGCGACAGTATACAGCCTTGCTGAACTCCTTTCTCAATTTTGAACCAATCAGTGGTTCTGTGTCCAGTTCTCACTGTTGCTTCTTGACCCACATATAGGTTTCTCAGGAGACAAATAAGATGGTCTGGTACTCTCGTCTCTTTAAGAACTTGCCACAATCTGTTGTGATCCACACAATCAAAGGCTTTAGCATAGTCAATGAAGCAGAAGTAGATGTTTTTCTGGAACTCCCTAGCTTTCTCCATGATCCAGCATATGTTGGCAATTTGATCTCTAGTTTCTCTCCCTCTTTGAAACCCTGCCTGTACTTCTGCTGGTTCTCAGTCCACATACTGCTGGAGCCTAGCTTGTAGGATTTTGAGCATAACTTTGCTAGCATGTGAAATGAGTGCAATGGTGTGGTAGTTTGAACATTCTTTGGCATTGCGCTTCTTTGGGATGGGAATGTAAACTGACCTTTTCCAATCCTGTGGCCACTGTTGAGTTTTCCAAATTTGCTGGCATATTGAGTGTAGCAGTTTTACTGCATAGTCTTTTAAGATTTTGAATAGCTCAGCTGGAATACTGTCACCTCCACTAGCTTTGTTGTTGCTCAGACTTCCTAAGGCCCATTTGATTTCACATTCCAGGATGTCTGGGTCGAGGTCAGTGACCACCCCATCGTGGTTATCAGGGACATTAAGCTCTTTGTTTTATAGTACTTCTGTGTAATCTTGCCACCTCTTCTTAATCTCTTCTGCCGCTGTTAGGTCCCTGCCATTTTGGCCCTTTATCATGCCCATCTTTGCATGAAACGTTCCCTTCATATCTCCAATTTTCTTGAAGAGATCTCTGGTTCTCCTTGTTCTATTGTTTTCTTCTATTTCTTTGCACTGTTCATTTCAGAAGGCATTCTGATCTCTTCTAGCTGTTCTCTGGAATTCTGCATTCAATTGGGTGTATCTTTCTCTTTCTCCCTTGCCTTTTGCTTCCCTTCTTTCCTCAGCTATTTGTAATGCCTCCTCAGACAGCCATTTTGCTTTCTTGCATTTCTTTTTCTTTGAGATGGTTTTAGTTGCTACCTCTTGTACAATGTTGCGAACCTCCGTCCATAATTCTTCAGACACTCTGTCTATCAGATCTAATTCCTTAAATCTATTTGTCACCTCTACTGTATATTCATCAGGAATATGATTTAGGTCATACCTGAGTGGCCTAGTGCTTTTCCCTACTTTCTTCAGTTTAAGCCTAAATTTTGCAATGAGAAGCTCATGATCTGAGCCACAGTCAGCTCCTGTTCTAGATTTTACTGACTGCATAGAGCTTCTCTATCTTTGGCTGCAGGGCACATAGTCAGTCTGATTTCTGTGTTGACCATCTGGTGAATGTCCATGTGTAGAGTTGTCTCTTGGGTTGTTGGAAAAGAGTGTTTGCTATGACCATCGTATTCTCTTGACAAAATTCTACCAGCCTGTGCCCTGCTTCATTTTGTACTCCAAGGCCAAACTTGCCTGTTATTCCGGTTATCTTTTGGCTTCCTACTTTAGCATTCCAGTCCCCCATGACGATAAGGACATCATTTTTGGGTGTTAATTCTAGAAGGTGTTGTAGGCCTTCATAGAACCGGTCAACTTCAGCCTCTTCCGCACCAGTGACTGGGGCATAGACTTGGACTACCGTGATGTTGAATGGTTTGACTTGAATTCGAACTGAGATCATTCTGTCATTTTGGAGACTGTATCCCAGTACTGCTTTTCCTACTCTTTTATTGACTATGAAGGCTACTCCATTTCTTCTGAGGGATTCTTGCCCACAGTAGTATACCTGATGGTCGTCTGAATTAAATTCATCCATTCCTGTCCATTTTAGTTCACTGATTCCTAAGATGTCGATGTTCATTCTTGTCATCTCTTGTTTGACCACATCCAGCTTGCCTTGATTCATGGATCTTACATTCCACGTTCCTATGGAGTATAGATCTTTGCAGCATCGGACTTTGCTTTCACCACCAGATACATCCGCAACTGAGTGTCCTTTTGGCTTTGACCCAGTCGCTTCATTCTTTCTGGCGCTACTAGTACTAGCCCTCCGCTCTTCCCCAGTAGCATATTGGACACCTTCTGACCTGAGGGGCTCATCTTCCGGCATCATATCTTTTTGCCTTTTGGTACTGTCCATGGGGTTTTCATGGCAAAGATGCTGGAGTGGGTTGCCATTTCTTTCTCCAGTGGATCGCGTTTTGTCAGAGCTCTCTGCTATGACCTGTCCGTCTTGGGTGGCCCTGCACGGCATAGCTCATAGCTTCATTGAGCTATGCAAGCCCCTTCGCCACGACAAGGCTGTGATCCATAAAGGAAGTTTGGAGAGTACATCTGCTAATTTTAACTTTTATGCTTTGGCAATAAATGACAGCACTGATGCTACCAATACAACTCAATGTGCCATTATTATTAGAGGTACTGATTATGTATATAATGTCACTGAAGAAATGGCTTCTTTAGTGCCATTAAAAGACACAACTAAATCAAGAGAGTTATACAAAGCAGTAAAAAAAAATTAAAGTGATTTTCTTTGTCCTTTGTCAAGATACCTGGTATAGTTACTGATGGTGCCCTGGTGATGATGGGTAAAAGAGAGGAACTTGTAAAATTAAGAGAAGATGATGCAGTTGTGGCCCAGAACTCATGTTTGATGAAGTAACATTGCATAGAACATCAAGAATTTATGCACAAAAGCTTTAAAAATGGATAATGTAAAGCAAATTGTCATCAAGACTGTGAATTTCATAATGGCCAAGGGATTAAATCATTGCCAATTCCAGGAATTCCTTACAAGTGTTGATGCTTCCAACATCATTTACTTTTTGGAAGTAGATCAAGGCTAAATGTTGAAAAGATGTTATGATTTATGACATCAAGTCATTAATGGTATCAGAAACAAAATTTGGGCCAGGACTTGATGATGAAAACTGGCCTTTTTAGTGGATTTATCCACTCATTAACCATGTATCTTCAAGGTGATAACCAACTTAGCAATAAGATGTCTCAAACCATAGCAGCGTTCCAAATCAAACTGCAATTATGGTAAGCTCAAATTAAGGCAAACAATTTTATACATTTTAACACGTTGGCTAAACACATTCCTATGAGCAGCAAAAATATGCAGCCTTGCTTTTCAATATGATACAAGAATTTGGAAACAGATTTCAAGATTTCTGGGAAAATAATATTTTGGGATATTTGCAACTCCATTTTCAGTAAAAAAATGTGTTACCTGCCAATTTTCAAATGGAATGTATAGAACTGCAATCTAACATTCAACTTTAAGAAAAATGTGATCATGTCTTTTATACTGGACTTTTATAGGTTCTATCTTCCAAGAGACAAATATCCTTCACTTCACAATCATGCCTTATTCATGTCATCACTTTTTTACAGCACCTGTATTTGTGAGCAACTGTTTTCAAGAATGAAGCCCAGTACGAATAAAATTAGAACCAAAATATCTGATGAGCACCTTGAGAATTCACTGAGAATTGCAACTACTTCCATCAAACAAGATATTGATGCTTTAGTTTCAAATACAGTATCAAACATCCCACTAGTTTTATGTTGCCCTCTTTTCTTTTACTTTTATAATAGAACAATGATTGTTGATTTTTTTATTAATTAGATATGTTCATTTTCTATATTAGCGATTGCAAATTTGGGACCTGCTCAATGATTTAAAAGACTCTGAATGGGGCGTTGCATAATTAGGATTATTGTGCAAGGTTCTTTTGCTTATCTGTGGTGGCAGATATCATGAAAATTATACACAGACCTTTGTTTTTTTGCTCATCAGCTTTCGTTAGTGTTTGTATTTTTAATGTGTGGCCCAAGACAATTCTTCTTCCAGTGTGACCCCAGAGAAGCCAAAAGGTTGGACACCTCTGCACTAGAGCCAAATATAAATCCAAAATGTAATTGTTGTACTTCTCTGTATTGCCTTTGTGTAGCTAATGATTCTCTCTTATTTTTATATGTGGTATTCCCCCCATCACGAATACACTCTTTCTATGGATGTAGTCTGCCTTTAACTCTCTTGATTTCTACCATTGCCACCAGGAATTGCTAATTCCAACCTTTTCACTTAACCTTTCCCAAAGTATTGGACCCAAGCTGTTAGGCTCCTTTGCTGGACTGTGTGGCCCTGAGGATGAGATGCTGATAATCAAATAGCCTATGACTCTTTCAACAAAACTTTATTTGTTCAATAAGCAAAATGGTTTCAAGATGTCCTGTAACTTTCGTAAATAAAACAATGTGCAGTAATAATGTGTGACTGAGATATGTCACTCCTTGTCTTCACAGTCCTCACACACAGAACCTCATTTCTATCCTGCACTCAGGTTTCTGTCAGCTCCTCTCTCTCACACACCCTTATAATACTTTCCAATGTGAGGTTCTAACTCTCCCTAGTCACAAATATGTTCTCCAAGTATTCTGCTTCCCCTTTTGGAATCTTAAATGCTTTTCACAGCACTCTGAGATTCTAATGAGGAGGCTGCCTCTTCAGATTTCCTAGACTTCTGATGAACCACAACTGTGTTAACTACTGACAGATCACACTTGCATGTTTGTTGACTGTTTTCTTGCTCTCCTCATGCACTTCCAGGCACACACCTAGTCACCGACCAATCCCTTCACTCCCTCACTGACTCTGGAATGTTCACAGGTACTGGCAAGAAGGAATGCCAACTAGGCCCTAATCTGAAGGACGAGTGTGCTCTGGATTCTCTTAGTCTGAAGAAAGCATCTCTCCAGAATCTCGGTGCTGAAACAGATCATGCTTTGACTTCATTCAGTGTATCATTTGGACAGCTTCCCAGTCCACGAATTGCACGTCGTTCCTTGTATCGCTACAGTCAGAAGCTGGATTCTAATCGCCGGAAGTCACTGCCACCTCTTCAGATGGATATTTCAGGTAGATGTCTCCTCCTTAGCTTTATGACTAAGCTGGAGCCAGGTAGAACGTGGTCAAGAAATCCCTGGTTGCGGCAGCTGGTTGAATTGCTCCAAAACGAAATTGAGGTCTCCAACACAGTGCCTGTGGACACCTCTTTTGCTAGCCATTAGGCTCACCGTCTCTCTTGATGTTTCTTTTGTTAAGATTTATTTATAAAAATCCATATTTTAATTTGGAGGCTGGCTTTCTGAAAAGCAATGGGCTATCCTCCAGTGCTACTCTTAGTAGGGTTAAAAAAATAGTTTTGGTCTTGGAGCTCAGAACCCACCATTGCTCGCAAGTTACTTTTCTTCTAGCTTCCTTCTTTATCTTCTGAGAAAAGGTGTTTTGGGATTGACCATGTTCACCATGGCACACATTTTATGAATGGGCAAGCCCCCACCCCCCACCCCCATGGTGGCTATTTTGCATGAGCAAGGAAAATGCCTTCTAAGGAGGTCAGATCACTTGTTTCCAAATTTGGCTCTTGGTTTTGTGAACTATGACTTTTAGAGAACTAGTTTTGTATTCTTACTGGGCCAAAGTCTGAGACTGTGTTCAAGTTCTTGTCTGACCATTCCTTAGCTCTGAAGTATGTGTTTATTGACCTTAACAGGGTTTGCATATATTGTCTGTCTTTGATGTATTGGAATGATCGTAGCTTTTGGTTTTCTGCTGGGCAAGTGATCTCTGTACATCACACATACAGGCTTTTGTGCCCGCACAAGAGCCTGTTGTCAGGTAGTTTCTCTAGCCAAGCATTCATTTTTTGCGGAAGCCCCTCCTCTTCTTGTTCCTAGATGGTAACTAGAAGTGGTGTTCATGTTTCCCTTGCACGGTTGCACAAAAAGGTCCAGAAAGTGTGCCTCCTGCATGGGCTGGCTTAGACTCAAAGATAACAGGGTGAAAGTCATCAAGGTAAATGTCTGTTTCTATACTAGAGAGGGGTTCAACTTGCAGCCTTTGAGATGTTTTCAACTAGAACTCCTGTGAACCTTGGCTACTGGCTATGCTGGATGGAGCTTATGGGAACTCTGGTTCCGATCAGCCAGAGGGCTTCAGGTTGTTTGTCCAACCTCTATGTGTCCAGAGGAAGAAAGAATTAAGTTGGATATATGAGAAGCACTTGCAGGATAAGCTCCAAGGATTCGCTACTTTAAAAGTGCACCCTTCTGCATGTTAGTTGAAGCAAGTGCTACTGTGTTCAGTGGGCCTTACTCCCAAGAAAAGTGTGTGATAATCAGTCCGAGGCATACTCTGGAACCATGTGGGACATCTGTAGCAGCACCATTAACATAAAGAACAAGCTGTGTCCAAATCTTGAGTTCTTGTGATGGAGAACCAATAGTTAAACCTTAGTAGCTAGGCATGCTATGAATAGTCAACTATTTAATATACACTGCATTGCAACAATGCTAAAATTTGCAAAGAAATATCCAACAAATATCACTGGACTTGAAGCAGGATTGTGCTTAACTTTCAGAACTGAGCAAAGCAATTAGCCTGGACTTGCCAGAGGCTGACAGAATGACTGCACTTCTCCTGTCCAGCTTCCGGGTAAGCCTGCTATCTCTAGAAGTTCCACATTCTGTTGTTGTTATGTGCTGCTGATTTGTCTTGACTTATGCCAACTGTATGAACGAGTGGCCTCCAAAATGCCCTATCCATGATAGTCCTTGCTCAGCTCTTGTAAACGCAAGGCTGTAAGTTTACGGAATCTGAGCTCAGGTAGATTGTATTTGAGAAAGCTGCAAAAGCACTTACAGCCATTATTCTGGGGAGTCACTCTCACTTCCTTCTACTTGTGGGAAGCATCCTCTTTGAAGTTGAAGGTGCACAAGAAAGCAAAACTGGAATGAAGGCAGAAGCATCTTCTGAGGTATCTGATTGGAAGTTCCCATAGATAAGAGGAGGAAGAAATTATTTCAAGCAGGTTCTGCCAGCCACCAAGTGATAGTGGCTGGGGATTAGTATAACCTTCTTGGAGTGGTAGAGCTCCCATCGTTCAAGTTGTAGGAGGAGAAAAGATGCAACAATCAGATTATCCCTTGGGTAAGGGGTAATATCAGCTTCACCCTTCCTGGCAATCCAAGGATGGTTTAAGAGAAAAGGCATCCTGACCTATAAGGTGATCTCTACTCCTTTTTATTGTGCAGAGGCAGGACAGAAACTGGGAGAGGGCAGTTATTCCTTCAAGAGTTGGAGACAAAGATATTATTGCTAAATTGCATAAATCCTGCTGATTGAAGTGGGAAGATCAGAATACTATCCTCCATTGATGGAAAACTGAGTATTATTTTTTGTTTTACTGATTATGCGTAAACCGCTTTGGGGGCCTTTTTGGCTGAAGAATGGAATGAAAATAGTTTACATAAATACAGACTCATTCTTCTTAGTAAAACCAGTGTTCTTTGTAATAACTTTGCAACCAGATCCAGTTCTTTATGGTGCAGGTTAAGGTGCATATGTTGCTTTTGGTGACTGATGTTGTGATGTCACTAGACTTGCTTGGCTAACTGGCTACTTGAGGGGCTCCCAGAGCAATTTTACTTCTGCCCTTGGCAGGGCAACCACATCTTAACTTAACTGGTTTAAATCTTACACAGTACATGCAACTGTGGAGGCAATGTGATGGTGCACGTGTTCTCCAGGGCCACCTCACCCGCAGTGCCTTGCTCTGAAGATTGGGCATGCCAGAGAGCCTCTCAGTGCCACTGGCCACTTTCTTGCAGCAGCAAATAAACGATTCAGACTACTAAATGCTCCCTAACCTGACTCCATCTTTTTCCTCTCCCAGTACTGTGCCCAGAAACTGGAGCACTCCCTAAGGCAGACTGAAGGCTTTAATCCTGAAACCTTTGAACAGAATGGTAGGTTGTCTCCATTTACTTCCACAAGGAAGAGCTGTGGCCTAGCTGAAGGATGAGAGTCAGTTTGGTCAGGGGCCATTTGGACCGCAATCAAGTGTGTTGGGAGATGGCAGTGAGCAGCTGAAAGACACACTAGCAAGTACTTCAGTGTGAACCTTTTCACCCGGTGGTTCTCAGAAGTACCCTGTGCCTTGGCCCTTGCAGAGGATTCTGGGGTATACAGCAGGCATCATATCCAGTTCACTCAAGACACTTTTAAGACAATGTCACTTTATACTGGCCAAGCATTGGTCCATCTGCCTACTACTCTCTGCCCCAATTGGCAGTTGCTCTCTGAGGTCACACCCAGAGGTCTGTCTCAGCTCTGCTACCTCTGAACTGCAAACATTGGGACTTTTTAAATGCAAGATGTGTGGTCAGCTACTGAACTATGGAGCCTGCCATTCCATTATGCTAACTTGGAATGCATCAAGAACATGCCTGACATATTCTTGTGGCTATGTGTCCTAAGGGAAGACCATCAAAAGTTGGCAAACGGCTTTTAGCAAAACCTGTACTTTTCTTATTGGGTACCTCCAGAAGCCTTCTCAGAGTTCAATACTATCACCATGGCACTAGATGCATATAAGACTAGACTGAGGTGTGATAGCAATGATTTTTGCTGATGCTATTCACTGCCCTATGCATGTTATCTGATAGGAATTGGTGTGGGTAGACAGCTGTAGCTGCCTTCTGTCCCTGTCCTGGCCATTGGAGTTTTAATACTGAGGTTGGGCAGCCTTGGTGCTGGGACTCTGAAGAATCCTGTGGCTCACCCAGATGATGTTGGGAGGCCATAGGATTGTGCTCTAAGGCTGGAATGCAGAACACTGAGCCCAGGGATGAAATCCAACAATCCCAGTGTTCCAGTGCTGGCCTCATAACCCAAGTGGTCCCACCTTCTCACCACATCCACTCCCCCCAGTCACTGATCACTTAGTGATTTCCTCATCTTGTACAGCATCCTCCATCATCCATCCTTAAAGACTGAAAATGTTTCTGAAGCTCTAGTTACTGTCACTAAGAGCTCCAGACTAAAACATATTGTTATTTTTTTGCCCTGTCCTTTTTTAACTTACCACTTTGCTTTCATCCCCACCCACAATATGCCCCCAAGAGCTTTTCTGAAAGAAATTGTGGCCCTTAGGCTGAAAGAGGTTTCCCATCCCTGATCTAAGGAGCCCTATGGCCTCCTGGAACACACTGGACAAAGAGTTTCAACATAAGCTTGCTATATCATATAGCATTTCTGATATTTTCCATGGCCTCTCCTTGTCTCTTCCTTCAGTGAACTTGCTTTTGGAAGAGCTGAAGCTCTACACCGAGAAACTGAGACTAGATGGATCTCTGCAAAAATGCTTTGAGGACCCCAAGGGGTAATGACTGCTTCTTGATACTTAAGGTGCTATGGAATCCTTGGTTCCCCGCTCCCTCTCCATATAGTTTGTGTGAATGAGGGTTGATTTTCTTCCTGATCTTCACTTCTACAGATGAAGCTATTACTCAAGGTAGTGAAGCTCCCAATGCTGTACAGCATTTTTAAAAGTTAAGCACAGGTGGGCTTGCTTGCTACTTGAGTGGAAGGTTGTGCTAATGGGAGAGCAGGATACAGCAAAGTCAGGAAGAAAGATGTTACGGGGAGTTGCTCTGCCATAGTTTCCTAACCCAGCAAAGCTTTTTATTTTTAGGTGTTTATCTGATCCTGCATTGAATGCATCCATGGCAGCTTTTAAAGAGATTATGGCCAGGTGAGAAGTAACTAGAGGCCACAGCCTGCCTTCTGTCATAATATTGTTGAATGCCTTAATCATATAATCTTTTAGCACTATATATTGGAACTTCTGGATGACTTGCAGTGAAGTATAAATTCTGTGCGATCTTGCTCATGGAGATTTAAACATAGAAACAGAGCGAGTCAGAAGAGGCCTCTCGGGCCACCTAGTCTGATCCCCAGCTCCAGCTGGCTCCGCTCATGACATGCCCACCATGTGCATGTCCAGTCTATCTTTGAACACCCTCACCGATGTGGCCTCAGCGACCTCTCATGAAAGCCCATTCCACACCCTCGGGGTCCTAACTGTCAGGAAGTGCTTCCTGGCATCTAAATGGAACCTTGGTTCCCTGAGCTTTGCTCCGCTGGAGCGCGTCCTGCCTTCCTCTGCAGGGGAGAACAAGTCTCTACCTGTATGTCACCAACATATCCCTTCTGAGTCTCCTCCAGGATGAAGAGACCCAGTTCCCTCAGTCTTGCCTCATACGGCATCCCCTGCAAACTGGCCACCAACCTTGTGGCCCTACGATGCACTGACTCCAACCTGGCTATATCCTTTCTGTAATGAGGGGCCCAAAACTGAGCACAGTACTCCATTTGTGGGCACACCAGAGTTGTATAGAGTGGTAGTAATACCTCTCTTGATCTAGAAGCCACACTTCTGGCTATGCAACCAAGGCTGGTGTTCGCCCTCTTGACCACCGCATCACACTGCTGACTCATGTTTAGCCTGCAGTCAACCCGAGGTCCCTTTCACAAGTACTGGTTTCCAGCCACTTGTCAGCCTGTACTTATGACACCTATTCCTATGCCCCAAGTGCAAGACATTGCACTTATCCACATTGAACGCCATCCTGTTGTCTCCTGCCCACTTCCATAGTCTGTCCAGATCCTTTTGGATCTGGAGTACCTGCTCCTCAGTTGTGGCCACTACTCCAGTTTTAGTATCATCTGCAAATTTGATCAGAAGACTGTTCACCCCTTCTTCCATGCCATTTATGAAAAGATTAAACAGGATCGGCCCCAGGACAGAGCCTAAGCATCAGATACTAAGCATCAGATACAAAATACTAAGCATCAGAGCAACCTTTGGTCTTTTCTGTTCATTTTATAGGTTTTCTGCAGAAAAGCAAGCTTGGGAGGAACTGCTTCATTCTTACCAGCAAAACGTTGAGGAAATAGCCAGGTTAGAGCATTGGCTGTCTTTCCTATTAACATGTTGGCTGAAGCAGATTACAAAAAAACTAATAAAACTAAAGTAAGAGAAAGGCTATAAAATAACACAATGATAGCAAACTCCTAAAGTTTAAAGGAGAGTCCAAAAAGACCTGAATATGGTGAAGGCTGCACAGTTTTAGGCTGGCCTCAGTACCAGCCAAGCATTGTGGTCATCAGTGCCTCTCTGAGACCCTGTGGAATCAGGGATGCTTCCCCACTCCATTCCCTTCTTCCAAATCAAGCTTGGAAAAGTGCTGGCAGCAGTTGAGTGGCCAAGCAATTCCAGCCTTCCTTCTGACTGGGAGCTGGGCAAGTGGCAAGGATCACTGTCAGCAGGGAATATTTTGGCCCAAGGCTAGGGAGAAGGTGGGATTGAGTAGTAATCACATACTCCCCTTGATGAACTCAACTTCTGAAACCATGGAACCCCAAATGTGAAAGAAAATTCTGAACTTCTTGTTTTGCAGTAGGTACAAAATCTTTGGTTTTATTGCTGCTATAGGAGCTAGAAAATATGAAAAGGGAAAATATTTTGTTAGTCTTGCAGGCAGAAAATCTACTGGGTTGTATCCAATGTTATCATTCTACCAGCTGGAACTACCAAACAATGGCCATTGGGGGGGTTAGCTGTGTTGGTTTTCTTTCTTCTCCCTCAGAACAGGAAGCTCTTTGCTGGTTAGAAATAGTCTGTTTTGCTTTACCAAACGTGTGGACTGCAGTGAGGGAAAATATGTAAAAATGAGGAGACAACGTGTGACTGTCCAGTTGATGATGGATTGCATTTCCCACCAGTTCTAACCACCATAATCAATGAAGGATGGTGGAAGTGGCAGCCGTACGATATCTGACGGGCACACATCCCCATCCCTGTTTTAATGCTTTTTTCATCTTCTGGCCAACTTTAGAATGTTAACTATTTTGCTTTGTGTTGTTTCTATAGACATATTCCATCCAATGGTTTGTCTGTTAATTTCAGTTGTGAGTTCCTAGGAGAGTAGTTTGTGTATTCACACTTGTGGGACCCTTTGATGTTGCTTCATATATGTGATGCCATCCAGCTGTCACCTTCAGGTGTTGGTCTGACTGTAACTCAGTGTGTCTTTGTATATTTAAAGGAAATGTTGATATTCATGACAGCTGGAGTGTACCATGCAATGACTCTCTGTGACTTCTCTTGTAACTCACAAATGAGTAGCTGTGGACAAGTCCTCTGAAATGAGGAAAGTTTATTTGATGTATTTCATGATGTTCTGCTGGAGGGGACTTGCAGAAGCAAGTCTTCTTTCAGCCTGCTGCATAAGCTGATTTAACCCCATGCTCAAACCACTATATTAATGTGGTGCTAGATTAATTGGGTTATATTGTGACCTTTTCTCCAGCTCACAACTTGCTTCCTGATATTGTTGTGCTTGATTGGTGCCAAGTACAGGTTCTTGAAACACACCTTTTTTGTCTTTAAGGCAGCTAGATTTGTGCAGGTTGAAGCAAATGCCAGAGGAGCCTGTCAGCTATCCTGGGTCATCTCAGGCCAATGTACTTCAAACGAAGCCAGATTATAAGAAAATATTGGATCGTCAGGGGGAGGTCTTCTTTTTCATGGAGTGTGTGGTGAGTGATGGAGGGTAAATGTTAACTTGAATTAAAATGCAGCTCCAAGTGGCAGAACTGCAACGAGTTGCTGAGATATGGAAGGAACTTTGTATGAAGAGCAGGAACTGACTTACGCTGGAGTAGAGAAGCAGGATCTCCTTCAGCCCAAGAGCCAAATTGCAATTCAGAGAAGCTTTTGGTGGCTGAGGGCAAAAGGGGCACAGGCTCAAAATTCCAGCCTATAGTAGCTTAATGCTCTTACTGCCAGTGAATGAGCCTCAGGAGAGGCATGTTGACCTTTTAGAATGGGGAGAGGAGTGCACAAATCCTAGGAAATTACCAAATGACCCGTGGCTGAGGAATATGGGGCAGGGCCAATGGAGAGTTATAGGGCTGGATTTGTCCCTCCAGTCTGAGGCTTTGCACCCTTGCTGTAGAGCATCAGAGCAGCTCCTAAAGAACATAATTTTTATTGCAGGGGTGGTGGTTGAAAGGAACTCTTCCTTCCTGAAGGACACAGGACTTCAGGCTCTGGAGCCAAATCCAGCCCTTTGTGGGTCCCCTAGGAGCCTCTGCCCACTTCCCCTGGCCCTCAGAGCAGTAAAAGGTTATAATTTGGCTCCAGGACCAGCCGATTTTAATCCTTTGAGAGCTACAGAGAGATTTGCCCTACAGAGTATGCCCCACAGAAGGCAGGGGTGAAAATGGTCCCCAGACCTCCCATGGTTGCCCCCCCACCCCCCGCCGTGTAGTGATTGGAGCTAAAGTATTTGAAAAAGGATGGGTGGGGTTCAAGGAGTTACAGATACATCTGCATTAGTGGCTGTATTAGAACTTTAACACATTTCTACAATGGCAACTTGTAAACCTCCTTGTAAATGATGTGCCTTCATGGAAGAGAAGGGGAGGATATCAAAGGAACAAATACCCAGGGGAATACCTCTATTTTCTCAAGCCTTTAAAGAATTGCCTTAGTGCTTTTAGAAGTTTGCACTGTTTTCTCCCTGCTGTTGGCTTTCTCTTTTGCCATTTATCATCCTTGTTTTCTATTTTATGTTTTCATATCTGAATGCTGAAGACTCTAGTTAGTGGGCAGCTTGAAAACATAAGGTCACCATCATGCAAAGGAGATCAAGGTGTGTCATAGCATGACATGCAATTATTTGAACATCACAGAAAGCTCAGCAAGTGTATCTTGCATCAGGGTGGGTGGGAAAGAAGAACACAACTCCCCACTAGCAGTAGTCTTGGGAGGAGGAATTGAACACTTGCTCCTGAGTGTCTCTAGCCTGGCACAAAATGAAGATTCACCCCTCCTATTCCCTCTCTGGAGGGTTTTGGGAGAATGGGTCAAGGCTGGCTTCCAAGTCAATTCAAAACTTTGAGCCCCTGAACAGAACCTTAGGAACTGGGCAGGACCCAAACTGAGTAAGGACAAGGACTATCAGTTGGAGCATCTGAATGGTTTTCTACTGCTGCGTATTCATTATTAGCTATTGGGAAGTATATAAATGAATTAAATAACTAAGGCTCTCTGTCCAGAAGTTTTCCTGAACGGTACAGCCTAGCAGTATCTAGATTATATGAATCATGGGAACTGGAGGGGAAGTTGTTGGTCATCTCTAGGGAACAGGGTAGACTACCTCTTTCTTACTGTATGTTCTCAGCTGGATGAATTCCATCAGATGGAGAAAGTTTGTCAATCCTATATGGAAGAAGTTACACAGTATCTTCAGAAGCAATCAGCACAACTTGGTAAGCCAGCTACCATCTACTTAAACTAGAGAATGCAAAATGTAACTTCAGATGCCTGCTTAGAACAGAACAGCAACACTTTCCCAGATTTTTCTTCTCCCCTGCTCCATGTGCTTCCTTCAATTTAAAGGGCCATTTTCCAATGTAAAAAAAGTAAATAACACTCTCCTGCATATGAGTGTTGTAGATGTATCTTTTTGTTGCTTTTATGTGTTTGAAAGTCACTGTACTTCCAGACATAAGGCATGAAATTTGTCTCAATCCTTGGGAGATGCCAAGAGCAGAAAGTCAACTTTTTCCATTCACAATCTTATTCACTTTATTGATCTTCAGTCTCACCTTTGGTTGGTTGTTCTTGCATTTTTAGGATACCTAGTCCATTGGTCAGATCTATGTAATGTTTCCTCAGTGCCCAGGTTGGTAGAACTATATAATAAAAGTTCTCTAAATTTCATTGCTGCTGGAAAAATCCTGGGTTGATTCTTTCTCTTCTGGGGATCTCTAGACAGTTGTGGACATCAGGTGTTTGCATTCCCTGATTTTCAAAGCCTGAGGGCTATTGTTCTTTCATGTGAACTGATGTAATCATCCTTGAAACCCTTCTGCTGTTGGTCTTTTACCATAAGGCTTCACAGCAGAATCTGTTTAAATTTTGTGGAGTGCTCAGTAGCACTTGCAAAATGTGTTCAAGGTGCTGGAAGTGCTTTAGAGGTGACAGTACAATGTTGCCAATTAAGTCCACAAGTATTACTGAAGATCCCCTGCCCCCCATCTGCTCCAGCCCACTTTTTCAGTTTACACTTCCTTTCTTGGTTGCCTGCAAGCAGTCCTCACTCACCCTCTCAGGACTCAGTGGAGTTCTACTTTCATGAGAGCAAGTGAGCAGGGAGGCAATTCTTGCTGGTTCCTTTTTTCCCACTGCAACCCACTGTGCCCCCTGAAAAGCAGTGCCAGAACTTTAGGTGATATTTGCCCTGTACAGCATGAGAGGCAGTGTGGAAGAGCCAAATGCCTCCTTCCTCCATGAGATGTCAATACCTTCTGTTTGTTGGCAGCCATTGCTGTTCTAGGGGGGTGTAAAGAGAAGCATCACAGATATTTGTGAGGTGGAAGATTATTGCCTGACTCTGGGGATTGTGGGTGTGGCAGGGGAGAAAGATTACCAGTTACATAGTTATGGATAACTGCTGCAAAGCATTTGGGGAATATCTATCCAAGTAAGTCTGGAAGGCAAAATATATTATGGAAAAGCTGAAGATTGTGTGTCCAGTTTTGAGACAATCACTGAGGTTTGGGGTAGGGAAGACTGCAGCTCAGTCCATGGAGACTACTTCCAGTCAAAATGGCTTTTATACAGAAACCTAGAGCTCTGCAGATTAAAGATTTTGCCCTAGATATACTAACCATGGTATCTATTTTTTGCTGCATTCAAGTAATACTCATTTAAACCTAAGATCTGGAGGAAACTAAAAAGTCTTGTTTCAATTTCAGCATCAAGGACTTTCCAGAGATTGGAAAAATCACCAGCCCGAAAACTGCTCAGGCCTCTCCAGACAAAGTCATCTGTACCCCCACCTCCAGAGGGATAAAAGTAGTTGCATTCTTGCCACATTTGCAGGCTTTGGATCCAATACCACTACTGCCCAGTTCCATGCAGATTTTCTGCTGTGGTTTCCTTTTTCCTGACATGAACTACACTTCAAGGGCAACAGCATTCTTCCCCATAGCTTCCCAAGCTGGAAGATAAAAATACATGTTCTCTATTCTCTTGGTTAGCTCATGCTTGACATTGAATACTTCCATTTGACCAGTCAAGCAAGTGGCTCCCACTGATCTCATCCTGTATAGCTTCAATAGAGAACACTCATCCTCTGTGGAACAGGCCTGGAGATGACAGTAATTCCTCGGATTCAGAAGGCACAAAATGTTATCTGGTTTTCATTATCCTTTTGACAACCCAAACCTTCATATTAACAGGTCATAACAGCCTACCTTGTTCTATTTACCTTGAACATCTGTGGCAGTGGTGATGGTGGATCACTTCCTGTAGGTATATCATGAGAAGTTTGTGTGTGTGTGTGTGTGTAGGTGTAGTCAAACATTTAGCTACGGATTTAAAAAATCAGTTTGGAACTGTTTTATATTTCTTCCCTCTCTGACTTTTGAAAACCTGATGTGCAAAGTTGTAGGCAGCTAGTGGCAACTTTAAAATTGGGCCTGGTTGCTGAAGATGGCAGGAAGCTGATTTCTTTTTCTATTTATGCTGGTGGAAAGAAAGGATGGGAACAAAAGCACTCCAACAAGAACAGGCTCATTCTTTGCATTTCCTTTCTCCATATTGGCACTCAGTTTGTGGTCACTTTTGTATCCTTGCCTAAGACAAACTGAATCCTATGTGCTTTCTTTTTTGTCTCATACACTTAATTTGATGGGCTCTTGCCATTTAAAAATAAATTTCTTATATGCAGATGTTGTAGAAGTCTGTCTCAGCTGCAATTTATTTGAAGTGTTAATAAGACACCTCAGGTTCTCTAACTGGAAACCACAAAGGCAAATTATCAGTCTGGTGATGGAACAGTTGTTTCCAATGGGGGACACCTGAAAACAGTTTTGAAAGTGTAACAGAATGGAATACCTATTTTTCAGGCATCCAAACCAAGCAAACTCATATGTCACTTAGGCCTAGATGGGAATGATGTAGCAAGATATGTAACTTATGCAGCTTCTGTGTTCTATTATACGTTCTGGTCAACTCTGCTCAAGTCAGACTGATGGATTATGGAAAACTAGATGAGAATAATCCATTGAGCCATCAACTATCTTGAATAATCAAACCTGAAGAATGATCTGTTCTAGATAAGTTGGCTGGGTCTGAATTCCACATGCCTTCTTTGCCACAGCAAACCCTTCAGCCCCCTGAAAATGCTCTATAGAGAGACTTGGACTCTGCTCAATGGGGGGAGCCACAGTATAAAGCCCAAAAATCAGCTGGAAAGAGCTATGGACATAACCTTTCCTGTTGTAGAAGGAAGATCTACAGGGTATTACAAAATCCCATTTTAGAATGCCACCTAGCAGGCTAAATGAGCCAAACAAATTCACATCTCCTGTTGGGCTAAATAAAAATAATGCAAAGATGTCATGTTTGGTACAGTGTGGGGCAATAAATAGGATCTTGTCATGTCAGCTGTCCAAACCAGCCACATTCACATCATGTAGAGTGAATTAGATGATATGGAAATATAGTGCAGGTTGCCAAACCTGAACATAAAAGAACATAAATCTGGATTGGAATAAGGCAGGAAGGAGTAAGCCTTAACAGTTGTACTGAATCTCTTCCATTACTTGTACTGGACAATTAATACTATTGTAGAGAAATGCATAGAATAAGGGACCACCCATCTTACTGTGAACCTGCCTAGGTACTAAAAATATGTAGGAGAGGCTCTTTTGAAGCTTACATTACCTGTAGAGGCCTATTGGACATGCACAAAAGAGCCTTTTCCTTGGTTACTACAACAGCTATGGAATGATCTTCAAAAACTTACAACTGAGCCCCAACTCTCTTTAAGAAGGGTGTGAAGATGCATCCCATCAATTTAGCCTTTGAATATGTGTAATTTTTATTGTCCCAGATTTTATTGTTTTGCGGTCTTGCTGTCTCAAAATTATCCACTGCCTTGATGACTTTTTAGCAGGTAAGGTCTGTGTGGGCCGAAACTAGGTATTAAAAGCAGTGTGTGGGTATGTAAGATCTCCGAGCTAGAAAGTATCACAAAGAATTGGAATTTAGGGTATGTGTTAAGCATCCAGTCTGGAAGGTGATGTTTTGTGGGTCAGAGCAACCATTAGACCAACTAGGTGGCTGTCTGGGGTGCAGACCTCGGAGGGACACAGAACTGACCTGAGGGGCACAGTTTTATGCAGAAAAGTTTCTTGAAAAAAATGTAATTGATCACAACAATGCTATGGAATACAATTAATTATGAAGTCTTATAAAAAAGTTTTCTATATACTGCACCCCATTCACTTGCAAAAGTTCCACTGGCACCAGCCACTGTGGTATGCCTCCTGGGGTTATAAGTTCTCAAACTCTTGTCCTGAGGGAATTGATGACAAAATTTCCAAAAGAGAAGGCATGCAAAATGAGATCTTGATGTGTCTAGATTTTAACATCACAATGGAATGGGTTTCTAAGGGAGGAGGTTGAGGCCCCATCAGTGAGGGTGTTCAAAGAAAGATTGGACAACCACATGTTGGGGATTACATGAGTGGAGCCGGGGGTCAAGACTAGATGGCCCAGGAGACCTGCTTTCCCCCCCTCTGTTTCTATACAGTACTGATCAGATCATGGAGGACCTCACCCAGTGGATGAATTGAAGGAGTTCATCTTACAAGCATTTTTTGATACTGGTGCTAACCAGAATTTTGTCAAGGACAGGTTCCAGAAATATTGCAGCATTGATGGAGGACATTTTGAGCACCTAGGAGACTAAACATGACCCAGTCAGTACTATATACCCACTTCTGGCCCACCCTATGTAACACTATTGCTCTTGTTCAGGTCTGAGCTAGCCTGCAAGAGAGCCCTTGTGATTCACAGAACAGTAGGGCTGGAAGAGGCCAAGGAGGCCATTGGGTCCAACTTGCTGCTGGTGCAGGGCTCCAGGTCACATCATCCCACTCAGATGACTGTCCACTTTTAGAAACATAGAAACATAGTGAGTCAGAAGGGGTCTCCCAGGCCATCTAGTCTGACCTCCAGCACCAGCCAGCTCCGCTCACGACATGCCCACCATGTGGACGTCCAGCCTATCCTTGAACACTCGCACCGATGGGGCCTCAACGACCTCCCGTGGAAGCCCATTCCACACCCTCGGGGTCCTGACTGTCAGGAAGTGCTTCCTGGCATCCAAATGGAACATTGGCTCCCTGAGCTTTGCTCCATTGGAGCACGTCCTGCCTTCCTCTGCAGGGGAGAACAGGTCTCTACCCATCTCCATGTGACATCCCCTCACATACCTGTATGTCGCCAACATATCCCCTCTGAGTCTCCAGGCTGGAGAAACCCAGTTCCCTCAGTCTCGCCTCATACCCCATCCCCTGCAAACCGGCCACCAACCTTGTGGCCCAACGCTGCACTGACTCCAACCTGGTTATATCCTTTCTGTAATGAGGGGCCCAAAACGGAACACAATACTCCCAAGAGTCGTGTAGAGTGGTAGTAATACCTCTCTTGATCTAGAAGCCACACTTCTGGCTATGCAACCAAGGGTGGCGTTTGCCCTCTTGACCACCGCATCACACTGCTGACTCGGGTTTAGCCTGCAGTCAACCAGTACCCCGAGGTCCCTTTCACAAGTGCTGCTCTCCAGCCACTTGTCACCTAACCTGTACTTATGACACCTATTCCTATGCCCCAAGTGCAAGACCTTGCACTTAGCCACATTGAACACCATCCTGTTGTCTCCTGCCCACTTCCATAGTCTGTCCAGATCCTTTTGGATCTGGAGTACCTGCTCCTCAGTTGTGGCCACTGCTCCAGTTTTGCGTCGAATGTCTCTAATGTGTAAGACACCATGACTTCTTTTGGCAACTGGTTTCACTGTTGTATTTCTCTGATAGTTTTCTCTGGTTGTCTATCCTGAATCTGTTGTGAAAGTTTGTTCTGTGTCCTACACTCAAGAGATGGGTGAGAAGAGGTCTTTCCTCTTTGTGACAGCCTTTGATGTAGTTGTGGACGGCTATCATATCCCCTTGTGGTCTTCTTGAGGCTTAACATGACCAACCCAGCATCCTATCATAGGGCTTAGTTTTCAGCCCCTGGATTATCTTTGTTGCTCTCCTAATACCCTTTCTAGTTTTTCTGCATCTTTTTTAAACCTGGGTGCCCAGAACTGATCACAGTATTCCAGGTGAGTGCAGTGATTAGTGCAGAGTGAAGAACTAGTACATCTTGTTCAGGAAGTGATGCTTCTATTTATGCATTCCAAAATAGGGTGTGCCCTTTTTTTACTGCTGCATTGCATTGCTGGCCTATATTTAGCTGTTCCACAACTCAAAGGTCTTTTTCTTCTTCAGTGCTGTTGAGCTAAGTATTCCTCATCTTGTATCGATGCATTTGGGGGGTTTTTTCCTCATAGGTGGAGAACTTGGCATTTGGCCCTGCTTAATTTCATTCTGTTGCTTTCCGCTCAGCGTTCTAGCTTGCGTGGAGAGAGTTTCAGGAGCTCTCTCCTGACATCTACCTTTATTCACCGCTGAAGATGCCATGTGGAGTTGTAGCTCAACACTTCTGGGAGGATGCCACGGTTCAGGCTGATGGTAAGCTAGCATATAATTAAGCCTTTCACAAGTAGGGCCGTTTCGGAGTACAAGAGTTCTTATGACTTTTTTTAAAAGTAGAAACTTTCATGAATCACCTCGACCGGCAGGCTGGACTTCCACGGCATCAGTTTTTAACGCCGCCTCTTTTCCCATCGAAATGCTCCGAAACAAAGAGGAGAGCGCAGGCGCGCTATGTGACTTGCACTTTTCCGGCTTACTGAAACAGCTGAGAGAAAGCAAATTTTTCATTGGCTGCGCCTGCAAAATAAGACAGCCAATCAGAGAAGTTTCATTGTGAGCGAATAGGCGAGGAGCCTAACGTCTTTTTGAAAGGCGGGGCTGAGAGGTTCACTAGTCTCCGCCTCCTCCGTCCTCCTTGCAGTTGTCTTTAGGCCGTCGGCGAGATTTGTGTTGGTTGCGGCTCGTTTTGTTTGCTATTCTAAACGCTTCGCAGGGAGGAAAAGCGGCGAACCGTCCAACGAGCACCATGACTGTCCCACTCGCCGGACTAGGCTGGACTTCTTGCAACATAGCCACCGCTGGCTGGACTCCAGTGAGAGAAAATTCCACCCTTCCCCTGTCACTGGAGCCCCACTCAGGAGGGAGAATCCCTTTCGCAAAGGGCGGGAAGAGGCGCTAGGGGTTCGAAGTCTCACGTTCCTTGAGATGGGGAGGGCGCCCCTAAAGCAAAGCGGGCTTCCTTCGTTGCTGGCTCATCCCACTGCCCTTCCCGCGCTAATTTTGCAGCTTCTACCTCATGGCCGCAGTCTCCTCACTCACTGTCTAGATGTAGGGCTTTAAAGGGGTAAAGCATGAGTTTGGAGTGAAAAAGGAGAGAATAAGGAAAAGTATTAACTCTCCCGTTTCTCTTACATCCGGAGTTGAAATTCTGGAGTGGAAGTTTTCGGATCCAGGAAATTTTTTATTCTGTTCATAGCCCGTCAAAGAATGGCGTTTAAGACAGACAATAAAGTCCAGGTTAAAACAAACAAACAAAAAAATTACGCATTAAACGTTTCAGTACTAGGTAGTTATAAGGAAGAGCGCTTCTGAGCATATGGAGGATAAAATCCTGTAAGAACGAAGGGGGAAACAAGCAGCCCCCTTAGGAGTTTTAGAGCAGAGGGGATGTTCAGTGCATGGATTGTGGTAGTTGAGTGGCTTTAGCAAGCTCCTTGCTTTGTTCTATGAGCTAGGTGCTGCTGCTTCTCTCTCTTTTTGTGGTTCTGTTCTGAATTTCTTTCGCTTCGGTCTGAAAGAACAGAATTGCATGCTCAAGTTCACTGTAATTCGCTAATTTCATTGATTGATCATCTCTGTCAAAGGACATAGAGTGCTAACCAACCTCAAATATCAACTTCCTGTCTGTAGTGATAGAAAAGCAGTTTGAATAAGGATATACTACATTACCTTCAGATCATACTAATATGTGGATTAATTATTTCTAAATTCCCGTTTAAACTGTTTTGCATGCTTAGAGTTGGTGAATGGTTTGGAAAGCACTTGATGTAATGCTCTAATATTAATCGTCATCTCATACTTGGGACCATTGTTTGGGAGGGTAATGGTTGTGAATTTCTTTGAGAAAATGTGGAATATAAATCTGACAAATGCTCGAAAAGATAATGGGCAGGCTTACATGATGTGGGAAACCTGGGGTAGATTAAAAGCTACTGTATGTGGCTGCTTAGCCTGTGCCTCCAGACTTCCTGGCAAGTGATCAGGCACAGTGGAAGGTCCTGAAGGACTTCCTCCCACAGATATCTTAGGGTATGCCACAGAAGTACCAAGGTTTTTCCACTTCTCTGCCCCACTTTTCATTGGGAGTATGGAATGGGTGAGCAGGGATTGTTCAAAGCCCTCACCCAAACTTATATGTAGTCCTTCTGAACTGTGCTCCGGGTAGTCAGTGCTATTGCTGACCTTGGTAGATGTAGCTAACTCAAGCTGCCTTTGTCAAGATCAGCAGCAGTGCTATCCTGCTGTGCTCCTCTCATCTGGTACTGTACTTGGTGAAGGGAACCAAGCCACAGTATGTGTGCCTTCTGTCTCCTGCCTGGCACCGTGGCTGCTCAGCAATGGCACCAGAAAGTGGTGGGGTGCAAGGGGCCATGGCAGATAGCTGTCACTGGTTCTTGCCCATAGCTGCTTGGTTAGACAATTTCTTCCTGTTCGTGCCAAGCAACTCTGCAGTAGCTTAGGCCAGCTGTGGGCTTATTGTGTTTTCTGGGTTTGGATGGCATGATAGGCCCATGTATAGCTACAAAAGCTCAGAACAAACTGTGGCCCCAGGTGGATTATAAACTCAGTTGTAAACCCAAGTGACATACTCTGTCATGGAAACCTAGTCACTATTTGGCCAGTCCTCTAATACATAAGAAGGGTCCTGCTGGATCATAGTAGGGGCCCATTAGGCCAGAATCCTATTTCCCACAATGGCCAGCCAAATGCCTCCAGCACACTGATAAGACCTGTGAAAAGGGATGGAACAAACTCAGTAGCTGGCCAAACTACAAGTTGTTCCCTGGGACATCCTCTCTAAAATAATATCCACATCTGATAAAACATGCTAGAAGTGTTCAAAGTGCTTTTTTTGCAGCAGTCCTTGCAACACTTCTTTAAAGTAGGACACCAATCACCCCATTTTGCAGGCCTGGCTTACCTAAAAAAATACTTCTGAGTTCATGGGTGTACTTTCAACTGGAGCCATCTCAGATCACACTCATAGGCACTCTGTTCATAAGCATGTCACCTGCAGCCTCTGTTTCCCTGTTTGCAAAATACAGCTTCTAAGTCATCTGCCTCACAAGCATTCTAGGGACAAACTAGATAAAACATGTAGTATTTCAAAAGTACTAAAAAGTATTCTTATACTGATGCAAACATATTTTATACAAGTAGTGCAAGCCAGATGCATAATTATCTTCTTCCTACCCACTCAGGAAGGCTGGGAACTTATTGCAGCTGGGCCAAATTCTGAGGTGTGGAAACAGCAGTATTAGTTGTGCTTACAGATGTTGGTAATTTTAATGTACTATGTTATATCCTTGAAATACACACTCAACTGGCATTGTAGATTAGGATCATTGTAATTAGGATCATGAGATCATGTTATTATATAATGCTTGTCTTGAAAAGCAGATTGAACTTAGCTTATTTGTTATTAAACTGTTGATAACCATATCACCACTGATTAGTAATAATTATCTGAAGGACCTCTGTCTTAGTTTCAGTCAGTTACCAGCCTTATATCAGCTCTAGAACATTGCTGCAGGATAGAGGTTTTATTTTGAACTGGTTTGGCTACTGTATGCCCTGACTTGCTCATTCAGTCCTTACTTTGCTGTGTACTGGTGCTCTCATGTAGGTCCAAGACAAGAGATCAAAAACTTTTGACCGGTTTGCTTCTTGCCCTAGCTATTGTTCATACCCTTCATCATTTGCTTGTATCATTGTGCCATTTAATAAAAGATCCCTCAGAATAAGGACTATTTAAGAGGAATATATATATATATTCCTTGAAACATGGAGTGACATTTTGAGGCATTGTGGGTCTTGTAATTTAAAACTTGCTTTTCTCCTTGCTATTCATATGAAAACAAATCAATTCTTATTTTCTAAGTGACATAGAACAATAAAATGCCCTTCCCTGGGTGCCCTCTCTGAAGGAGATTAGGAAGGTGACTACCCGGAAAAGGACCTTCTCTGTGGTGGCACCCCAATTGTGGAATTCACTCCCCAGAAAGGTTTGCCTGATGCCGTCACTTCATTCTTTTTGGTGCCAGGCCAAAACCTTTTTATTTTCTCCATGTTTTAAGACCTGACTGTTTTAATTGGGGTTTTATTATTAGCTGAATTTTAGGATGCTATGTTTTAATTTTTTTCTTACATTTTGTATTGTTAAACTGTCCTGAGATTTTGGTAACAGGACAGTCTACAAAAGTTTTAAATACATAAATAAAACTCAGAGGAGAATTTCCTTTGTGTGAAACCTATTTATTCAAAATCCTATTTGGACATTATGCATGCACATGGATTTCATAACCTGCATTGTCTCAACAGCTACTACAACCCACCTAGAGGTGCTTCCAAGGCCACCTGCTAGTTGCTGAGTTTACATCTGGGAATTGCTTGCACCAGATACTTTGCTATGTGAGAGGAAAATTCAAGAATATCAGTTAATATTAGACTTCAAGGACTGAGAACTTGGAGAATGGCTGTAACTGAGTGTTAGACCACACACTTTGCATGCAAAAAGTCCTAGGTTCCATCCTCAGCATCTCAAGTAAAGACTGAGAGAGATTCCTGCCTGAAACTTTGAGAGCTACTGCCAGCTGGAGCACTACAGAGGGTTAGATGAACAAGTATAAGGTAATTTTCTAAGGTAATTTGTAAACGTCCTCCTTTCTCTGTCCATAGATCGTATCCACTATAGAAGGAACATCTGGCAACTTTGGAAAGGGATTTGCACAGAAGTCTGCATACTACTTATGCTACGCTTTGGTTAAAAACAGTATGGTAAGAAGGCTATGCACGCAAGTTAATTCAGTACGGTAGGGGTATGGACTGTCTTTCAGCCAAATTCCATTTTGGAGAGGCTTTTGGGATGGGGGTACATTCCAGTGGGAGCAGGGGTGAAAGGTGCCAGAATATTTTAGTTTAAAGCTCTTACACTGAGTAAGCTTTAGGAGAGGCTTTTCAGTCCTTTAGAATAGGGAAAAACCCATACAATAGGTGGGAGACCACCAAATAATTCACAGTCAGGGAAAGGGGACAAACTGTGATGCAGGAGGACTGGGTTTGAATGATGGGCCTGAAGTCCTCCAACACTACTTTATGAAGGCTGCTTCTTTTCAGAACCCCTCAGAAGAGGTAATATATGATGTGACAATCCTGCCTGAGAAATCACCTCTACCTTCTGGATACAGTTACATTAAAGAATTTTTGGATCCAAGTGAGTCTGCCTGTTCATTTTTCTGTTTTGTTTTTAAAATCTGTTAACATCCAGTTCCTCAGTGCAAATTGACATTTGGCCCGCTTGTTGGTAACCTGTGGCTTGTAGCTCAGGCCAGTGTGGAACTTTAATAAGTAATGTGTACAATTGATATGTCATAGAAGCCTGTATTGCAGAGTTATATATCTGGTGGTTATTAATTGGGTGGTAAATCATAACAAAGGTAACAAAATGCAATCAATGGATACATGAAACTCAAAAATCCCAGGATTTCTCTGGAGGCAATGATAGATTTGGAAGATGCTGTGAGGGGTCATTTAGTACCTTGTCACTGTGACAGAAGGTTATGTTCCAAAAATTTGTGGTGGGCTGCCATACGATAGCTCCTCTTCGATCCTATTGCCATTCTTTTTTCTCTCTCGAACTCCTTTTGTCATTTTGACATGGAATAACTTTGTGTATCCTTACTTTTTAGAACAATTTTTTGCAACTTAAGGTTTTTTTCTTTTCTCTTCGCGCCCCTGCCCCCAGCCACTTATGTCAAGGACAAGAAAGAACATTTCGGAGATCTTTGTTAATGCTCTCAAATTGCTTCTGTTTTTATAACAAATGTTGACTACTCCTGACCTATTTTTGAATAATCCTTTAAAGAGTCTGGCCCAGACTCCTGTAAACCTCCAAGTTGGAAGAGTCCATAATTTCTCAGCAGTTTGTACAATGCTGATATCTGCCAAATGTATTTATTTAGTTCTATCTACATGGCAATTTGCAGAGAACAGGTTTGACAGGCCTCTTCCTGAAGGCACTTAAACTTTAAAAATAGACATAGGAAAAGAGGAAGTGGTGGGTGGGTGGAGTCAAGGGTAAACTATGGAAGAATATTTCTGTTTGTAAGTGAAGTGAAAGCATAATCTCAGAGTTATTCCATTGTTTTGTAGCAGGATGTTATGGCCAAATGTTACACAGCTGGTTGGCAATAGGCCAAGTTGGATGTGGGACTTGAAGTTGTTTTCAGCTCCTTTTGTAACATTTGTGAACATCTGATTACTCAGAGGTCAAATAACCAGTCACTTTAAAAAAAATTGGTTGATTGACAGATTGCGCATTTACCAAGAATCAAGTGGTTTCATGAGTCATAAAACTGATCAAGCAAGCTAATGTGACCTGATCTTGTGATGTTATGTTTGAATAATTTGCTCCTGCCTTAACTGTGAGAACATTAAGCATGGACCTCTTCGTACAAATGTAGAATGGTAACACTGGGCTGTGGCGGAATCTCTCTTTTCCTGTGAGGCAGTAGCTCTGCATACCATTCAGGTCATTAATATGCCTGTTATATTTTTGTGTTCACAGTTTCTTTACAGTACTTGCACCAACTTGCACACCAGTTTTTACAGTACTTGCACCAACTTCTCATGCACCAAAACTTTTCCTCTACTCATGATCAAACTCCTTTCCTGCCAAATTTTCCCAAAGGCATTTGCTAGCCCAAATACATCCCAATGCCACATCCGTTTTTAGAAATTGATGTACAAGAGCCTTAGCTCCCCAAAGGCTCCTTTCATGGAGTCTCTGGATTACTTGCCTAGCTAGTCCCTTAGATAGCCATTCTCAGCCATCAGACATTACCCATCTTGCAGAGTCTAGATTCTTCTCCATTCCCAGTTCCTTCTTACAATTTCAGGGCTCACTTCAGAGCCCATAACTCACAAATTTGGGCTGATAAGGAGAACACTCTCCCACTGTCCCTCACCTGGTTCCCTTTTATTACTTTGTATCCATGATGCCTTTCCCCTTTAGTTTCTAGAGCCACTAATTCTATACAATCATAAACTTTCCTTTAGCACTCTTCTCCACAGGGCACCTGAGCCCTTCAAGAGGAGATGTGTAGCATCATTTGCACATAATTCCAAGTTGAATAAAAACATAGAAACAAAGTGAGTCAGAAAGGGGTCCTCCCCTGGTCATCTAGTCTGACCCCCTGGTTTCAGCCAACTCTGTTTCTATAATCCACAACATGTGGTTGTCCAAACGGCTTCACTGATAGGCCTCAACCACCTCCCATGAAACCCATCCCATTCTCTAGGGGTTTCTGACCCTCGGAGAGTATCTTCTGACATTTAACCTGAAACCTAGTTCCAGGATGTTTTCTTGGAATGCAGCCTGCCCTTCAGGCATTAGTCCAATTAGTGCTTTGAAACAAGCTTATCACCTTTTCAGAATCCTCTGGAAAAACTAGGATTCTGATTCTTCTAATTACGCAACTCAGAGGTGGCCAATGGTTGTTAAACACACACAAAAACAAACACAAACCCAGGCAGAACCTGTCACAGTGGCATCTGCCCTTTCTTGCTGTTAAGTTATGGCCTGCTCACTCTCGAGCCCAGTGCAATAAATTCTTGCAGGGAGAGGCATCATGCCCCTGCCCACTTCTTTCTCCCTTTTTCTCCACAAAGTGTTCCAGTTTTCCTTCCAGGCCTCACAAGCACCAGCTGCCTGTGGTTTTAGAGATAAATCAGTATTGGTCCTCCTCATTAACTTCGTCTCTACCTTCCCTCCAACACCTTCTACCAAAAATCGCAGTCCGGCTAGGAAATCTCTCCCTGCCAAGTTACAAATTTCCTCCCCCAGTACAAAATCACACCACACAACGGTTGCACCATGCTCATATTTTACCTGAGCAGGTTCAAATATTTTTGCTTCTACCAGATTACCTCCCACTCCTTGAGCCATCAGGAGCCATCCCTTTTCCCAATTTCATTCCATCTGGAATCATATTCATTGTGGAGCAGGTAGCTCCAGACCCTTTCCCAAAATACCATGCCTTTCCCAAATGGTCCCACTTTCAAATTTATCAAAGGTTCCCAGTGGGTCCTCCTAAAAGGATACCCCTGACCTTCCTAATTTTGTCCATATTCATGAGAGAAATCAACCTCTCCTCTCCCCTCAGCTCACTCAGGGTACTCTCATTTAAAGTGCCCCACCTTTCCACATTGATAGCATCCTGCGCTTAATCTTTCATTCATTTGCCCCCTCCTATGTGTGGGCTGAAGTCCCCTTCCTCGACTTCATCCTCTACCTGACTTACTCCGATTTCTTCTTTTGGTTGTAGGGCATAGATTCCTACAGAGGCTGCTTGTAACCAACAATCAGCATAGTCAGATTCTTCTTGAGAGAAAGCGTCCTTATTATTTACATAAATGTTTAGGGCCTGACATAACCATCTCTCATCTGCTTCAAATTGAAGCCAGAATATTGCTGGGGGGCCAAATACTAATTTTTTCTCTACTTTTTCCCGGGGTGTAGGAAAATCCTTCCCAATGTTTCAACATCCGTCCCAGAGGACTGTTGGGAGGATTTTGGGGTAATTTGTCCCATTCTTGCCCTCCTTGGGCTTGGCTTTTGAGCCTGAGGATCCCATGCCTATCTTTCAGATCTCTTAGTCCCTAGTAGGTCAGGAGTGGAACCTGTTCTCGTCCCTAGTGGACTTAACACTCGCTAGTGACCCTCAATAATTTTCCTGAGGCTTCCAGTCAGTCAACCAATGCATCCACTTTGTCCTTCTCCGGCCGTCCTCCTCACGGAGGATAGGAACCGCGGGTCCAGACTCCACACTCGCTTCGTATTCCTTTGTACATCTCAATCTCTCTCAAGCCTCACAAGGGGTTCTCCCTCCTTCCCCAGAGGTTTCCTCCCCACTGTTCACCACCAAGGTAGTACTGGGAGTCCCACTCGCTTCTTACCTTGGTCTGTGCACAGAGTTGCCTGGTGACCGCGGCGTTGGCTCCTACCCGTTGGTCCCACCAACAGAGCCCCTTCCCGGCTGCTTCTCTTTGTCCCCGTATTTCGTCCAAAATTTTAAATAGAGCTGCGCCTAGGTGGTCCCTTCACCTGACCTAGACCGCCGAAATCGGCAGGACATGTCTCCCTGGTGCAGGCTGGAGAAATACCTAGGACGAGCCACTATCCCAGATGAGCCCCCAGTTGTAAGGAATGAAATCCAAGTAAAGACGATACAGGAGGCAAAGTACCAAGCAGCAACAGGTTTAAAACGTTCTGGCCAGACCAGGCACTCACCCCAAAGGTAGTGCACTGGAGGAGCAGTTTACACAGCCTTTTATTCCCTACTTCACACGCAAAGTCCCTGCCTCCTTTCTCCCATTGGCTGGGATACTGGGAATTCACACTCTTCTCTGTCCGCCTTCATCATACTACTCCTTGGTATGTTACCCCCACCTGCTCATACGTCTCATGTTCATGTTAATAACCCTCTGAGTCATAGTAGGAGGCACCACTAATATGCATTAGCTACTTAGGCAGCCATACTTTGGGTTCTAAGTTCAAAAGTTTAATGCCATGTCTACCAATTACATCTTGTAGTCTATTAGTTTGTGTTAATCACAATAACTTTATTAATCATTAAGTGATCTGTATAGCTTTACCTGTTCCAGTCTGTTAATCACAATACCTTTATTAATCACTAAGTGATCCATAGCTTTACCTGTTCTAGTTTGTTAGTCACAGTAATCTTCTACTGCTCACAGGTCATTAATATGCCTTTTATATTTTTGTGTTCATCTTATTGAGGGATGTTCTTTCCATAACTTCCCTTTGACCACAACTGTCCTTAAATGAGCTTATATCCATGTTGCAAACAGCCAGTGTGGTACAATGGTTAAAGTGTTAGATTGGGATTAGAAGTTGTGGAGTCTAGTCTCTGCACAGCCATAAAGCTCACTGGGTGACGTTGGACTAGTCACTGACTCTCAGTGAGGTTAAAAGGGAGAAAAGGATTATGTAAGCAATCCTGAGTTCCTTACAGGAAAAAAGTAGCAGGAAGAGAATAGTGATAATGATAATGTTGGCTGGCTTCCTGTGATTCATTTGGCAAAAGGATGCATGTGCTAGTTTGATTAGTTCAGAACACTTCAGACACCTGCATTTTAGAGCAGGGGAGAAAAAATCTTGTATACCAAAGCAACAGTGTCAATTTGTGGCATTATGTATTACAAATTCCACAGCGAGATTTAGAAATATACTTTGACAGCTGAATGCGGAGTCTAAGGTTAGGGTTAGGGTCATGCTGCAGGTAGTTTGCCACTTTTGCATTAGATCATCAGGTGAATTTGAATGTGGATGCAAACTAGGCTCTGCAGTCTAGCATGATTGAAGTGGGCCTGGGGTATTATGTTGGTAACAGCCCATACATCGAGATACAGAACCTTAGGCCTGGGTTCCAAATTGGCAGTCTCCAGAAAACCATATCTTCCACTCCTTTCACCAGTTCTTAGGTGCTTTTCTGGCTTTTGCGCAGGTTTTCTCTATACTGCAAGGTTGAAATGCTTTCCTTAAGGCCCAATTACTGGCATTCTAAGCACCAGCAGGTCGTGGGGGTTTGTATTTGTATTTTTCTCCTAACCTTTTGCCATTCTGATCCCACTGCTGAGAGCTTCTCTGAAAGAGAATTAAGCCTTTGGGCTGCAAGAGGTTCCATATCCCTGTTATACCTTTCCTTGGCCTCATAACACAACTTTTGTGTAGATGAAGGCAAGATAGTCTTATTATTCTGTTGCCCTTTGAGTGCAAGTTCCTGTTTCTGCCTTCGGCTGCAGAAGTCTCCATCTCCAAGAAGAAGAGGCTGTGTGTCAAGCTGATTCCATTGGGTGCAGCAGAAACTGCTGTGACTGACATCGTGCTCAGCAGCAAGAGCAAAGTGGTCCCACACTACATGCGCATAGGGTGAGGTGCTCTTATCCCTGCCCCTTCTTATGTTGCTACAGCCCTTTTTTGACCGACCTAGTGTGGTTTGTTTTTTGTATTCCTTCTAGGGAAATGAGTGGATTTGCACTTTGGTGTAAAAAGGAGCATGTTCTCAAGCCAAAACCCCTCCCTAGGCCACGCAACTTCAGTCTAGAAATGAAGCAGCTTTCCCTGGAGTCAAAAAAGTAAGTCTTAGAGATTTTCATGTTTATAGATTCTCTCTACCTGTTCTCCCAAGTGTTAAGAGTCCAAGGGTCCATAACACACCCTGGCTTCCTTGTTCCAATAACATGCATTTTTAGATAGTACGGAGTGCAGAAATGACTGGGCAGTAGTAAGAGCTGTTCATCTCCTCTCAGTTGCTTACAGTTTATTCTAGTATTTCAGCAAATGTAGTTCATTGATAGTAGCTGGATTAGGTCATTAAATCCCCATGCCATACTTTTGTCTATCAGTTTGAAGAATGCTTGGAGTTTTAAACAAACTTGTGTGCCAGTTCCTGGTTTCTTCTTTTCTGAAGGAGGCCAATGATCAGTGCCTGCCAGGGTCTCTCAGTCTAGTCCTTGGAGCTGTGGGGACAGAGTCTTAATTGTGACATGATACTTTCTGTAGATTTCTAAGGCTTAGCATGATGGTGAGAATAAGCCCCTCATCTACACCCTAACTCTGGGATGTGTCCACATGCTCAGTGGAAGGTTTGGGAAGTTACTTGTCCTTCTCTAAACCTGGGAAAAGGATGGGGATCTCACTAGAAATAAAAAAGTAGTAGTAGATCTGTGCACGTGTTTAAACATGCAACTCAAATGAGGTTGGAAGAGCTATGAGGAAAGCAGATTCCGAGGACTCAAAATTGCAGCTTTGTCTGGCGCTCAGAATCTGCTGGTAGACTTTGTAAGAGTTCTTGTGAACCACTTACCAATTTGATCCTTTCAGTGCAGACCTTCCCGCAGAAAACCCCACAGCTCCATCTGTTCCCAAAGGACAAGCTGCTCTTAAGCGACATGAGTCCATATATGAAAGTTCAAACGTCTATGGCATCTCAGGTAGGTATCACTAAATTTTAGGTTGAACCAGTAAAATCATGCCTTTCCCATTTACACATGGCTTTGGAATAGTGTCATTCTGAGCTATGTTTACTGTTCCTCAGTCCTTCTCCATTCCTTCAGCTCTGTCCCTGCTTTCATAGGATGCCACTGCGGCCTTACATGTTGTTTCTTGAGGTCTGATGCAGTTGGTTTGTGGTACCCCTTGAACAGTGAGGCACAGTGTAAGACTTTGTCATGTGTCGATGGTGTGGTAACACTGTCCTAATTTTTCCATTAGGTTTACTAAAGATTTTTACATAGCCATCTGTACCAGCATGATGTGGTGGTGAGAGTGTTGGACAGGGCACTTAGGAGAATTGGGTTCTTGTCCCCACCCAGCCATTAAGTTCACTGGGTGACTTTGGACCAAACTTACCTCACATGGTTGTTGTGACAATTACATGGAGCTATGTAAGTTGCCTTTGGTTCCTCGTAAGACAACAAGGTGATATAAATGCAATGTAGTAATAGTAATAGTAGTAAACTTCTTTTTCCTCTTTAGCCATGGATGGTGTTCCTTTCACCCTGCACCCTAGGTTTGAGAACAGCACCACTAGAGGCAGTAACGTAAGTATTCTTCTCACTTACAAGCATGTTGCTGGTATATGTGCTAGAATTTCAGTAGTAATCTAGTCATTCTCATTTAGCAAGGGATGGAACAAGGGAAGGGTTAACTTCTGCTTATGTGGAAGGTAGAGCCAAGCAGGTCAGGCTTGCATCTACCATCTCAGACTTGGTTCTGTCTTCCATACGAGCGTAGGGTTAAGCAGTAGCTCTCAAGGGAAATTTTGGAAGCATTCAGTTTTCCTTGTAGTTTTTTTAGTTTGTTATTCAGATTTCTGACATGTGCTTAGACAAAGTTGCACGTTGCTTCCTGTTTGTTGGGCTCTGTAATTTGCCACATTGCCACTGCTGCTTAAAAAAAGTTTTGTTCAAATAAGGCAGAACTAGAAATAGTTAACCCCATCCTAATTGTTCTTTGATGGGCATACTTGGTTTTCCCTGTACTGGTTTCCCCACATACCATGGTGCTACCCAATCTAAGGAATGTATGCAGATCTGCAAGTCACACACTGTTCCTTATTTCAGCTTTTTTCATCATCCCAGAAAAGGAGGAACATCCAGGTGCAGCTCTTCATATCTGAGTTTTTCAGGACTGGGTAGAGCTAGTGCTCTGGTGAAGTTTGGTACTTCTGCCCCTAAGTGACAGGAAAGCCCATGTGTGGCAGTGTTCATACCCACCATGCCCATGGTGTTGGACCCTCTATGATAGCCAAAGGCCTGTGTGATTCAACAGCATTTTAAAGGTGGTGACTGGGCCCCTTTTGAGATGGATGGTTAATTCAGCTAAAGGATCTTTTTCTCCCAAATCCTTCTGTCAGCTGAAGCAAGACTAGCAGCTGAGACAGGCTGTTCCACTTTTGCTCCAATTGGCCTTTCCTGCCTGCTCTGCTCCTTCACTGACCAGATCACCACTTTGTGTTGAGTCCAGGTTTGTTGCCTTTGTGTTGGGTGAAGCATTGGGCAAAAACCTGGTGTGGAACATGGCAAGACAGTGGGGCTGGCTTATCAGTTACCATTACACATGTACCAGTGGGGTACTTAATTGCCTGTTTGCTTCCTTTGCCTGGTTCAGTGAGATCGATAATAAGGTTTCCTGAAGAGAATAGGAACGAAGTCATGTGGGGAAAGTTTATTTACTTGTGACAATACTGGTGGTGAGGTGAAGAGTTTTTGGAAGTTAAGGTGTGGGGGAATAAATTGGAATATTTGCTTTTTATTTTCCAGGCCTATTTGTTCTTTAAAAACTTCCATATCAAATCTCTTGCTGACATTGATAAAGAGGTAAGTGGGAGTACTTCATGTACATGTTTAACAGTCCTGTACAGAATGCTGGTCCATTTAGTCCAGTGTTTACTGATTGGTGGTGGTTCTTGGGCACAGCATATTTCCAGCACTGTTGTTTGAACTCCACTAGGAAGAAACTTGAGCATAGAACCTTCTACATGCCAAATATGTGCTATGCTTTTCCACTTTTGTGAGTATGATGCTGCTGTCTGTTTATAAAGGCTGTTTTGTTTTGCTTTCAGTATGACTACGGGTTTGTAGCTGAAAAAACTGCAGTTGCCCGACTCCCACCCAGCATCTCCTAGCATCAAGAATTTCTTGCAGAAAGAAGGTGCATTTTGCCATTGAGGCCCTTATGCCAATGGGCAGACAGCTAACTTTGCTGATGTGATGAAAAATCTCTGGTGAAAGGAACAAATTTTCTGGGGGTAGCTGAAAGACTTTAAATTATAATCTTACCTGTTGGAAGTCAGAGTTCCCAGCGCTATATTTTGTTATGAACTAATTTTTTGTACATACTTTCCCCAACATACTGTCATTTTCTATGCAAAGCACTACTTTTTAAAATAGACTTTTGTGGGCAGAGTTATTCCTGTACTTATTTGTGGCTTTTTCGAGTGTCATGTGTTTGAATATGCATTGCCAGCACACAGAAGAGAAACTTTCATGGAGATAGGAAACAAATATTAATTAAAGAAGAAATGATATGTTTGTTCCACCTCATGTCTCCTCTTAAAAGAACTAAGGATTAATTCTCTCCTCAAGACACAGTAGAGGAAAAACGGGGAATTCATTATGCTCAGAAAATGCCAACCATATTTCAAAATGCATTGATTGCCATTTAATTACCAAATCCCATGACCACCTGTCCAGGAGTGTTGGGGCAGTACAAAAGTCAACAGTTGCTGCCATGTTTGGCAGACATGTTAAAGTTAATGTCACCTCTTGCACAGCCTTTGTTGTGATTTCCAGAGTGACACAATGGGAAGTTGCCTGCTGGTTGTTCCGTTGTGTCTTCATCACTTCCACCAGAGGAGGGGATCCACCTCAAGAAGGCACTTTGAGCTTTGTGCTGCCCAAAAGGAACTGCAGGACCCTGTCTATGAGTAGAGCAGTGAAGAAGTTGGCCAGCAGAACTAGAGTGATCACTAGTTTAAACTGAAACAAAAGAACAAGAGCAGGGTGAGTGCATATGTCCTTTGCTTACTTCATTCAGTCCTATTTTGTTGTAAAGTCCTGGAGCGGGGTGAGAATTTTTCCACACTGCCTTGATTTGACAGAAATCCATTTAGTGCAAAGTAGACAATTAATAGTGACAATATTACTACATATGTCATTAGATTACAACATGGTAAATAATAGCAGTCATGCATTGTGGATGGAGAAATCTTCAAGATCAGGTGAAATGTGTTTCTTTCTAGTGCTGAACCTTTGATTTCTGCTCCAAGTAAGGTGAAAGATAATGTTCACATATATGCTAAGGCTTATAGTGATTCCTACCAACAGGTAATGCAAACATACAGTACCAAATTTTTCATTCTGGGAAGCATCAGGAAATAAGTTATAGTAGACAAGTTTTACAGTACCTGTGTAACCTAAGCTCTGTGATGTGACAGATTTTTAACTCCATCAAATACAGAAAATGGACATTGTTTTATTCTGAGACAGAAATTAAAATGTTCTACCCAACAACTGGCAAGCCACACAATCTTAAAAGGCTTTGAGATATTTCGTCTAACCCTCACTCTTGCCTAGAATCCTCTCATCTATACATTGTATAGATCCATTCATTTCTTAATTGTTCCTTATCTCTGACATACTTCTGCACTGTAGGGAGCATGGACACTACTTGAACAGTGACTGATTCTCATGTAAAAACCTCTTGTTGCAAGGGAGTGTATTTTAGCCATGGCCCTTAAGTAGCAGCATGCTTGTTCAAAAAATAGTACAAAATAGAATTAAAAGTGGATTCTAAACCATAGCACGTACACTTTAAGTCATCTGCTTTGCTGGGAAGGATAATTTACTCTAAATAGTAGAGGCCTAAAAAAATTAAATCTATTTGTGGTAGAGAAAGCTGTGGTCTCAGAACATAATACAATATTTCTTCTAAATATTTGAGTAGCTGACAGTTTAATAGTTGCCCCAAACCTGGCAACAAGACAGCCATTTTTTTGTTCTCAGTAAAACCCTACATTAGACAGAAAAAGATGTCTGTAAACTGTATGTAGCCTGTAGATTCTACATGCAAACAGCAGCTAGTTAGGCCTTAAAACACCCCTCAAAAGCTGGGTTAAAATTACAGCAGGTGAGAAAATCCAAACCTTATACATGAACACTCTTGCAGGTTCTCTCACCTTTGTGTGTGAATGAAAAAGTGATACCCATGACTAAAGCCAGCAAGGAGCCTGACTACTCACCTCTGTTGGAATTTCTACTAGTCCAAACTGTTCGCTGAACTCTGGGGAAGAGCCTGTCAAAAGGGCTACAATGGCCAGTCCTGACAGGATGATGCTCCATAGCAGGGGCTTGTTTTCCCGCAGGCTTTCCATGAATGGATGGCCCTGTAACAAAAGAGAAGAATGAAAAGAGCATTCAAGTCAATGCAAGTTCTGAAGTAACAAAGCAGGGCCAAAAGCAAAACTGCAGATATTACATAAGCAAGGCTTAGGCAAAACAGCCCTGATCTTCACTGCAAGAACTGCTGCTTAAATTCAGGTTTGTGACTTGACTGATTGTAACTATCTCTATATTCCCAACCGTACTAGCTTTGAGGATTTACAGAAGGTCCAGTGTCACTAATTTCTTCCAACAATAATTAGAAATACTTAGCTTTTCTTGGGTTTGTTGTCAAGACACCCTTAACACTGAAACTGCCATGGCTGTGCTTCCAATTATCTATTTTGGGCACAATTATGTTCTAATAATTTTTCCTAGTTTAGGGAGGGAAAAACTTTCAAAGATGTGGACTGTAGACCCTGAAACCTGGGCTTTACACTCAAATCAGCAAAGCTTGTTAGCAGTCCCTTTAAGCAGGCACGGTAAGGCACCAGCATGAGGTGGTGGAGCAACAAATTTGCCAGTGCGGAGAATCCACCAGCAGCAGCATGTGCTTCAGAGAGCTCCACCAGCCACTGGTATTTGTCACAGTAAGGATGCTGCTGCCAGCCATCTTGTTACAGGGCTCTCATGAGATCTCAGCACAGGGCTGACACCTTGTGAGAGCTCAGCTATGTGCCAAGATAACACAAAGGTTTGCAGTGACAAGATCAGTCCTCCCTGCTGCTGCACAGTTTGCGCAGACAGCTCCCACATGAGAGCTAAGGAAACAACACTGCCTCTCCAGACTGAAACTGGCATCGAGAAGAGAAGGAGGGTTCCACAATTGTCACTGTAGGCTCTTCTGCTTCAGGCAGTAAACGAGCTTGTGCTGGACCTGTTCCCTCTCATTCTGGATGGCTTGGCCAATCTCGGACCCAGCATCTCTTGCTAATTGCCACCACGCCAGTGATCTGTCTTGCAGCATGAGTCTTGAAATAGTATACAGTGGTAACTCAGCTTATGAATGCCTCAGTTCACGACCAAATCAGGTTGTGAACAGACATTTCAGAAAAATTTTTTCTCAGGTTGCAAACTCCACATCAGGTGGCAATTACGATTGCCCCCGTCTCCCCCCCGAGTGCACCCATAATCGTGCCCATCTTCCCTGTTACTAAAAAAAATATTTACAGAACATATTAACCTTATTTACATTGAACCTTATGGGGAAATTTGACTTGGCTCATGACCAATTTGGGTTACGACCAGAGTTGTTGAACGGATTAAGTTTGTGAGCCAAGGTACCACTGTATTAGGCTCAGCATAACTGGTACACCAAGGAAAGCCATGAAGAAATCATGGTGCACCATACTGAACACATCTTACCTTATAATTAATGGCAAATGTAGCCATCTGCATAGCCATAGACATAATGTAAACAGTGCTGTTCACCAAACTGGGTTCAAATTCTTTGTAGAGATCCACAAAGTCGTCTTTCCTTAAAGACAGAAAAGTCCTTGAGAGTTTGTATCCACAGAATGCAAGCTTTTCATTTTTGCTAACATAAATACACATGAATAAAACATAGCATAAACATGCAAACATTCACTACAGGTTTCCATTTGAAATTCTCAATTTGCATACTTTCTTCTGAATCACTCTACATATGCTTTGCCTATACTCCACTTTGCTGCTGCTTCCTCCATTGCAAGGCATTGTCCATCTTGTTTTTATAATTCTATGCCTAAATCCATGTAGTACTCACTTGGGTTCACTGCGGGCCTGTGCACCTCGATATAGATAAATGAGGCTGACAAAGTGGACCATAAACTGCAACATCACTGTAAGAACTGTGTAGAGATTGAAGATGTTGGGGAGTGGACGCTCCCGGGAGAGTGTCTTCAGAGGCTGGAAACAAGAAGACAGAAGATAGCATCAGAGTTCCACAAGTGGCCCTGGGTTTGGGAGCTTGTAAAGGGAACTAGTCTAGGCTGAGCCAACTGTAGACTGAAAATACAACCCCCATTTGTCATGAACAAAATAAAGGCTGTTGATTCAGCATAACCAAGACAGATAATAGGAAAGTTCTCCTGCTTTGGAGTGGGCCTATTTTTAAAACAGTCTTAAAATGTGCAAGGGTTGGAGCAAAAGATGCAAATGATGAGCATTAGAGACTTTGCTGGTAAGGGGAATAGATGGCCACTTGCAAGTGCTTATTTTGCACAGTCCTGCTAGTCATGTAGCTGGGGTACAACACCATGAAGCACAGAGAACAGAACTTCAGGTGCCTAGCTTCCACATGAAACATACAGCCACAAGCATGGGGCACAATTGTGAAAAAGTATGCTGGTAACCAGGCTATATGGGCAATATACCATATCTGAAACACATAAGGAGTGCAGCTAAGCCCATACTAATTAAGTCAATCAAATTTAGTCTGTCAATACCATCCATAACCCTTGTACAGACAAGATACTCTCTGAGCTTCAGTACCTCCCTCCTCCTTACCTTGGACCTGGAGATGAAAAGGAAGCAGCCGGCCAACAGCAGGCCCTGCAGTGTTGCCTGGAAGTCACTGAACTTCACCCCTTCCAAATAAAGGACACTCTGGCTGTAGGCCAAGATGAGTGCATTCAACGCCAAGATCTTGAACATCTGCAATGTAGTGACCAGGGTACAGCGGCCCTGCTTGATCACATGACAGACTGCAGAAAGAGCAAGAGAGCCTCTGCTTCTTTCTTCATTTTTTACACACACACAACCAAAGCACCAGGAAGGCCACTATGAGGCTTTCATATCCCACCATTTCCTTTTTTAAGGAACTCAGCATGACTTACATCATTCTCCTCCCCCGCTCTCCAGCTTACCCCTGCAACAAAAACCTTATGAGGCAGGTTGGGCTGAGAGTCTGTGAATGGCCCAAAGTCACCCACAGTTGGTTGCACTTCTGGGGATAGATCCAATTAATTTAGAAATGCAATCCTCAGTTTGCATAGAGCACAGTTAAGAAGTTAAGAGTTACTAATGATAATTCCTTCCTGGCCATTTCTCATACACAGAGTCAGACTAACATTCCCCTCCATGTATTGTAGGAAGAAAATAAAACTTACACTGGCTGTTAAGTACATTTGATTTCAAGGTTCCAAAGGAACATCATCACATAAATAGCACAAGGAAGGAGCTCAGCTGGTGCTTTGACAAAGGATGGTTCTATTCATCAGGACCTGCGAGCACATACATCTGTATGGCACAAGGTGCTGGCTGAATGCACACTTCCTTTCACACTTACTGCACTGTATAGAAGAGAGCTTGGAGGTGAAGGGAGCTGCAATGCTGGCATCACCCAGCTTCACAATGGGTACTTGCTCCTCCTCCAGATCCTTCAGCACCTGACTGATCCTCTCCTGTTAGAAAAGAGGGTGGGGGAGAGGAATGCAAGACCCTAGTTTAACATACAGCCAGGCTCTTGATCAAGCCCTCAATAATTACATCCTGTCTGAACAGCAATAAAACAAAGCTGTTCACTGAAAGGACATCAAAAGGAGGGCAGCACACAGCTTTGTCCAAGGGAATGTAAAATGTCCCAGCCACACTGAGTTTTTCTCTTGGTGCCTAGGATTAGGGCACATCAGCTTCCATTCCACCCAGCACTGCAATGGCTGTGGGCACAGAGGAGACTGGGAAGGGAGGAAGGCACCTCTAAAACTTACCCGCTGCATGGCAAGCTGCTCCTCCCGATGCAGCATGACTCTGTGCTTGGCTGCCCGGGACGTGGGCCTCATGTTGCTTCCAACCACCGAAGCGGGCAAAGCAGGTCTCCCATCAGTGGGCCCATCACGAGGCCGCTTCCTGCGCTCAGGGATGCGTTCAGGTGCATTGGCCAGTAAAGCCACCCCTGCAAAGATGGAGCAGATCACGGATGGCACAGAGGACAGCAGGAATGGTCAGACAAACTGCTTGCAGGGGCCGGCACTTGGGGGTTCTGAATTCCTCATCCAAGGGAAACTAGAAGGGGCCTTTTAGAAGGTGCAGTGAGGAAGATGTCAATGGGACCCAAAAACATGCTATCTTGAAAGATTAGCATTGCCCTGTAATACATAAAATTGGTGAATCAACCACTAAACCAGCCTAAAAAATCTGAAAGATTAAGAGAAGATAAGGTGATTATAAGATGAAAAAGTGGTAAGATGAAAAAATGGTAGAGCCATGACATCCTGCCTTTGTTGAGACTTGAAAGCATTATTGTGTGTGTGTGTGTGTGTGAGAGAGAGAGGGAGAGAGAGAGATTGAGATTGAGATTTGGTTAACCCCATATTGATTGGACTTTTAATCTAACTGGCATGTTACATATTTGTACATCTAATAAAAAATTCAGAAGCAAAGGACTAGAACTGTAATTTGTAATGTTCATTCAGGTAGGCTGATGAGTTTAGAAATGTTGCACCAACCAGTTCTTCTTTGTGGTCACTGTATATCACACACATGGGTGCTGTGCCTTTGCAGTGCCTCCATCCGGAAGATTCTCCTAGCCAAGTTTAGACAGGGCTCCCATCATTTTTCCAGTTCACTTTTGGCCACTGTTTTGAGTGCCTTGGTACTTTATGTAACATTCTTTAATAACTCAACCTCATATTTCTTGCCTTTTTCTTCAAAACTTTACCTTACTATTTCCACCCACCAGGACTACTGCCACTTCCTAAGGTTCCAAGTTGGCACTACTCCTTATGAATCCTGAGTCCGACCATTTGGGCTCTCTCCAGCCCCAAAGCAATTTACAAAATGTATGGCAGTGATCCGTGTCCAATTAAGTCTGTGAGATTTCCAGATTTTCCCCAGACTTGGGTGATTGGCTATTAGTCACTCCATCTAGGGAAGACCACCTCTGTTCCGATCTGCTAGAAAGACTTGGACTCTGTATTAAAGAGGAGAAATCTGTTCTTATCCTCTTTGCAGACAATCCTATACATTGGGGCATGACTAGACTCCTCCCAGACATGGATTTACCTGCCACCGGACCATACACGAAAGCTCTGCAAGTCAGCCTGCCACCTCCAGTCTGAACCAATAACCACTGCCCAGTGGACACTTGGACATATGGCATCTACAGTGATAATAATGCAATTCACCAGGCTCAGTATGTTGCCACTCCAGCTGTGGTTTGCCCAGGCAAACTGACCGCAACACGACCCAATTCACAAACTGCTACAGCTTCTCCCATTCTGTCAAATCCACCGTTTGTGGTGGACTGATGAACACAACCTGATTCAAGAACGCTCCTTCATGCCATTGGATCCATCCCTAACTATAACTAAGGACCCTCACTCCAGGGATGGGGAACCCATTGAAAACAATACAGAGCACAGGGTCTATGGACTGGAACAAAAGAGACACATCAACTACCCTGAGCTTATGGCTGTCTTTCCAACACCTCCATGAAGGCAGACATCTACAAGTAGCCTCAGACAACACAATGGTGTTTTACTTGAACAAATGTGCTGGCACCAGGCATGTCTCCCTTGCCTGACACATGATCTGGATATGGGACTGGTGCATCTGGAGAAATATAACACGGAGGGCTGTCCAGTTAGGTACTCAAAACACCACAGTGGATGCCCTCAGCCAAACACCATTCCAGACTCATGGGAACTCAATCAAGACACTATGGAACATCTTCACCATATGGGGCAGACCATCCATAGACCTCCTTGCAGTACAGGAGAATTCTGCATGTGGAGCCTTCTGCTCCAGGGCCAGGATTGGCCAGTGTTCTCGCAGAGATGCCTTTCTTTTTCCATGGATGGTGACACTGTTCCACATGTTGCCCCCATTCCCTTTGATAACAAAACTAAATGCAAAAATCAAACAGGAAAACACAGAGTGCATTCCAATAACCCAATGGTGGCCCAGACAGGCCTGGTTCACAAGCTTCCTCCAGCTGCTGAATTACACTTTTCTTCACCTACCATATTGACTGGACATCATATCCCAGAATCAGGGCGAGGTCCTACACCCAACTGTGAAAACGCTTCATTTCATGGCCTGGAGCATCAACTCATGATGAACTTTTCAGACTTGCACCCTCAATTACAGCTTGTGCTCCAAGCAGCTCTCTGTCCAAACACAAGGCACTCATGGTCTATAAAATGGAGCACATTTAAAGCCTATGCTCAAGAACAGGCCTTCAACCTGTTCCAAGTGCCAATCCATAAAATTCTGGCCTTTCTCTATAGTCTCCAGGCTAATGGACTAAAACCATAATTCATTAAAGTATATTTGTCTTTGATCTTGTTGGTTCAGGGCCCCTTCAACAATTCATCTGTCTTCTCCCATTCTCTCTCCAGACAGTTCATGAAAGGATTGCAAAATCTGAATCCACCTATCCATTCCATCATGCCTGGTTGGAGCCTATCCCTAGTGCTACAAATGCTAACAAAACCGCCTTTCAAACCACCATCCACAATGGACCTTTGCCTCCTCTTCTGGAAGGTTGCATTTCTAGTGGGAATCATGTCTGACCAGCAAATGAGCAAGTTATGCACTCTTTGGATAGACCCTCTGCTCTTTACCTTTAAGGAAGAGAAGGTGGCCCTCCAACCAGACCACACATTTCTTCCAAAAGGCCCTTCACAGTTTCATCTGAATCAAGACATTGTCCTACCAGCCTTCTTTCTGACTTCATCAACTCCCGTAGGCTCAGCACTACACATGCTGGATGTTCAAAAGGTACTAGCCTCTTACAGGTTGTGTTTCAGATGATAATGCCATTCCAAGAGACTGTGTGTAGCCTACACTGAACCGATCGGTCCTCAAAGGCTGGCACACTGCATCATAGAGACAATCAAATTGGCTTACCAGCTGGCATTCCTACAGCTACTAGACCAAGCCAAAGCACATTCAACAAGAGCTATGGTGACATCTATGGCATTCCATGCCAGGAGCCCCTTACAAGACTTCGGAAAGGCAACTATCTGGTCTACACCTTCAACATTCGTAAAATACTAAGAGCTGGATGTTAGAGCAAGACAGGACTGCTCCTTCAGACATGCTGTGCTCTCTTCCATTCTCTAATGAAGACACCTCCCACTACTGTATTCAATAAGCTTGCTAAACACCCATATGTGTGATGCACAGAGACCAGGAAGAAGAAAGTAAGGTTGCTTACCTGTAACTGACATTCTTTGAGTGGTCACCTGTGCATTCACACAACCCGCCAACTGGCCCCATGTTGGTGACCTATGATTGCAGAAAGTTTCCATTTCTCTCCCTTCCACAGGTCTACCATAATTTACAAAAGCGGCCTAGACCTGGGTCATGTTCTGGCCCAATTCCCAGTTCCAAGACCAAAATGTTGGTTTCCACTGAACTGGAAAAATGGTGAAAGCCCCTGCTATATAAATGGTGAAAGCCCCCCTCCCCCATATAAGGGAGAAGGGGCAAGGCTCCCACTGAAAATTCTAGGCTTAGCTAGGAGAATCTTCCTGAATGGAGGCACTGCAGAGGCATAGCACTCATATGTATAAATGCACAGATGACCGCTCAAAGAGTATCAGTTACAGGTAAGCAACCTTACTTTCTGATTAAGTGGGCAACACAGTCTTACACTTAAAAGCATTTTAATATAAAAGATAAACTAAACATTGCAAAAGGCAAGCACCATCTTCTGAAAGGTGTTCTTTCCTGTGTAAGAGGTAACCTGCCTGCTGACAGTACATGCAGCATTTAAAAATCAAGTAAGTTTCTTTAGAAAAAGAAACTACTCATTGCCTATTAAGCAACTGAAACTCAAAGTGAATAGACTAAGCTGTCTTTAAGCAGCGTGTCAGTCTTGCAAAGAACAGTCTACTTTCTTTGGTTTTACATCGGGGCAGGCAATGTGGCCTTCCAGATATTGCTGGACTACAATTCCCATCAGACCCAGCCAGCACACCCTGTGAGAAGAGATATTTATTCCCTCATGTGAGAGGGTCCAATTTGGTGTTTGCCATCCATCCTTTATGTGAGCCTGTCCATCAACTTGAATGATCAGGCTCGTAGCTTGGGAGTGCTCCTGGATCCTACGCTGTCCATGGATCTTTAGGAGGCTGTGGTGGTGAGGAGGGCATCTGTACCATGAAGTTTAGCATGCCAGCTGTGAGCATTTGCTCCTCAATCAGTCTGATCAGGCAACAGTCATTCATGCTTTGGTTACTTCTCTCTGTAGGGCCGCCCTGACAGCTCATCTGGAATCACCAATTGGTGCAAAACATGGCAGCTGGGCCATGTACCACTCACCAGTGCACAATAATGTGCTTGCACCACTGCAATACTGAATGATTACTGTCAACTCAATTCATGGTGCTTTTAGCCTTTAAAATTCCAAATGTGCACTCCTGGTATGAGCCTGCTCAGTTCTAAGATCAGCAGAAGATGCCCTTCTGAAGACACTTACAAGAAGGGCCTATTTATTGGGCACATGGAAAAAGGGCTGCTCCTTTTTGACAAAGTTAAAACTCACCCACATCAGCGTGCTTCAGAGCCCCCACATCATTGGTCCCATCCCCACACATCAACGTCACATAGCCAAGTCCCTTCAGTGTGGTGATCACAAACTCCTGCAATGAAAAAATAGTCATGAAAGGGGGTGGCAACCCTCTGTGGAAAGCCATGCCATCTTCCCATTGCTAATAGAAATACCCAGGGGTTAAAGTAACGAGGCAGCAGCTATTTCAAACTGGCAGTCACGGAAAGATGAGCAGTGACAAAGGACTCCTTAGCCTCATGGTTCTGAGAAGTCTAGTTGAAGGGGAAAAGGGGATTCAGTTCTGTAGCAGGAGGCATTAAGAATACTGGAGAGAACATGGCATGGATTTAGTAGGACCCTGCCAACAACTGCATCAAACTGCCCCTCTCTGCATGCCCTTTTCCCATTCTCTCAGTGTAGCACTGCAAGCACATAGCAGAACCCCACACAAAAGGAGGACTCTTCTCAACTCCCACGTAGAGAAAGGGCTGTGTGGTTTGCACCAGTTAGGCACACAATGGCAAGTTGCAGAAGGATGTCCAGTGCACCTCTGTACCCATGAAAAAATCTTTACAGATGTATCCTTAGCTTCAAGTTAGCACTGTGTGCAAAGAAGGGGCTCTTGGCAGGCCCACTTGTCCTCGGGTCTTGTGGCCATGGCTCTGCATGGTTCTGGATTTTGTAGCTGTTACAGCAGGTAGAAGCGATTAAAAATGTACGACATCTCCCACTACATCAGCTTCTGTTTGCATGAGAAAGTGCGCACCTTTGAGTAACACCAAGTTAATCTTTATAAATCACTTGGAGAGCTTTGGGCATTGAGGAGGGGGGCAGTATAAAAATAAACTGAAAATAAGCAAAAGCTCAAACAGCCTTAAGCCAACAGCCTTAAGCCAAAATACAGTGTTGCTTCTGTTACATTTATTATCTCTGCAGCTGCCTCCAAGGAACTCAGGGAATTATGTGTGTGCTTCCCCCTATTTAATCCTCACAGTTAACCTCCATGTGAAGTAGATTTGGCTTAAAGTGACTGGCACAAGGCCAGCCCATAAACTTCATGGTGGGTTAGTGATGTGAACTTGAGGCTTCCCTCTCCACCATTTCTTTCAAAAGACCTTGTGACAGTCCAGGGTTCTAAGTTGTCAGTTTATTCCACTAAGCCACAGAACAGGATACGGATCCATGTGGCCTCTCAGATGTTGCTGGACTACAATTTCAGACGTCCTGACCACTGGCCATGCTGGCTGGGGCTGAAAGCAGTTATGTCAAATGATATCTAGACAGTCACATGTTCCCTATCCTTGTGCCACACAGCATCTGTGTGCCTGTGTGTATGTCTGGGATTCCTTTGCTAGAAAAGGAAGGCTCCTGTCTGTATTGGCAGAGGAACAACTGGAATGCACAGGTGCCAAGGGGTCTTACAGATGTTGAAATGGCAGGAGAACCTCTTACCTTTTGCTTGGGTGCAACACGTGCAAAGACCTGCACGTGTGGAATGAGCCCAAGCAGCAGCTGTGGGTCCACAGCTTGCAGCTGAGAGAGGCCCTCCCCGGTGATACACAGGTTGTGATTTCTGGTCAGCTCCTGCAGTGACTGTGGGGCAGCTGGAAGAGTGATGGTCCCACTGATGGACTGCCACTGCCAGTTCGAACCTGGAACAGAGATCCCAGATTAGAAGGGAAGCAATGAGGAGGGCCTGCTTGTTCTGTACCTTCCACGCCCCCATTTGTTCCTTCAGTACAGTTGGAAGTATGGGATTTGCTATCATGCACTGCAGTGCTGGCTGCCAAGCTGGACAGCTTCAAAAGGAGAACCGACAAAATCACAGAGCATCAGGCTATTATTTATTTATTTAGCTTTATATCCCACCTTTTCCTCTTAAAGAAATCAACATGACTTACACCATTCTTCCTGCCACTCTCAATCTTATCCCCAGAAGAACCCTGTGAAGGACTGAGATTCTGTAACTGGCCCAGAGTTACCCGGTGAGCTCCAGGACTGGGGAGTAGAACCCAGATCACCTGAAATCCAGTCCACACTCTTAACCACTACACCACACTGGCTCTCACTCGTAGTTATGACTGGCTACTAGTCCTGATGGCTTTACATCACCTCCAGTATCAGAGGCAGCATGCCTTTATTTACAAGTTTTTGAGGAACAGGAGTGTGAGGATGCTACTGCACTCATGGCCTACTTGTGGGTTCCTCACAGGTAGCTAGCTGGCCACTGTGGGAACTAAAAGCTGGACTAAACAGACCTCTGGTGTGATCTAGCAAGGCTCTTCTCAGGGCAGCAGTATCCGCCTTCCCTCCCTCCTGGTGCAACTTTACCTTTTTTACTAGGTGGCTGCAGAATGAGGGTCTGCTCCTTTTGGGTGAAGTGCAATTCTTGGGCAACGTGGCAAGCAGTCAGAGGGTTGTCACCTGTTATCATCACTACCTGAGGAGGAAAAGATGCGGGCCAATGTGACAATGCTTCAGTGCAGGAACTGGAGATGCCATGCATCCACGCTGCAGTGACTGAGCACAATGGTTCTGGATGTCTGCTTTAGAAATGCTTCTTGCAACTGCATTTTGAACACCAGGCATGCAGATTAGCACAAAAGCTACACTGAACTGCAAACTGTGTTCTCTCCTGAATGTATGCCATTCCCCTGTGCAGTGTTAGAAACATGTTTTCGAAGAGAGAAATAAATTCTCTTTCTTGAACTTTGATCAGCACACATTTCTCCATTAAGGCAATTCTTCCATCACCAGCAATACTGTGAGTTCAGCTACACATGGGCCTTCCTAACATGCCTCCAACACTTCATCCCATCAAATAGAACCAATCATCTAGGGAGGTTGTGGGCTCTCCCATACTGGGGTCATTCAAGCAGCAATTGGACAGCCATCTGTCCGGGGTGCAGTCTTGCACTGAGTCAGGAGTTGGACTTGACGGCCTTGATGGCCCCTTCTGACTCTACTATTCTATGCTTTTCTTTCCTTTTCTTTTTAAAGCATGGCTCTGATCTATCCCCAGAGCTGCAGCAAGGATACCTATACTGCAGGAATACCTATACTGCAGGATACCTATACTGCAGGAAATACCTATACTGCAGGAAAGAAAACCTGCTGCTTCTCCATCCCCACCCCAGAAGAGATGTACATTACAAGGAAGGGAGTTCTGAGATGCTCATAGCTAAATGAAGTCCCCCATGTTCTTCTTAGCAGGTACCTTTGAACATCAGGTGCTAAGAAACAACAGGAAAAGGGCTATTGCCTCCAGGAAGTCCACAGGTGGGCGGAAAGGCATCTGGCTGGCCAAAACGGGATAGTGGACTGGCCAGACCTTCAGGGCAATTCTTACCTTTCTTCAGCAGTTCTTCTCTACGAAGCTTACTGCATTTATTTACCTATACGTGACTATTAGTGTAAACAGGTTTTCTTCTGCAAACACAGGTGCATGCCTGGAGAAGGCCCCTCAGCTAGAGGACTGGCAATGAGTGTGAAGGGGAACTCCCTCCATCCCACACACTTGCTCTTTATCACAGCTGTGCTTGGTTTATGTTACGGCCACTACAAGCCAAGTTTTATGCTCAAAGCTGCAGCAAAAGGGAAGTAAAGACTCCAGGCAAGTGGGAAAAGGGAATTAGAAAAGCAGGTGGCATTAGGAAGGTTGGCTCATCCGCTTGCCTAGGACTCCCATGTCTGGATCTTCCGCAGCCTCTCAGTCAAAGCATCCCTCTGTTTCACTCACATGATGCGAGGCATTCAGGATCTCACGGATGACTGGCTTGGAGTCCACTTTGAGAGGACAGGATACCACAATGAAGCCCACAAAGCGCAGGTCACACTCCAGTGCCTCCCGCTTCATCTCTCGTGCCTTTGGACGAGAAAAAGGTATGTTTGAAGAGCAAGTGCAGATCACAGGTAAACCAGGTTTGGGAGAGCTGAGGCCAGGGAACGTGGACTAATTGCATTCCCCACTTGTCTCACCTTCCTCAAGGCACCGAGCTGTGATTGAAGGAAAAGCCCAGCCTTCTTCCCAGGGCAGCCAGTTCTCCCAAATTGGCCAGCTAACCTTCTTCCACATTACTCTTCTTTGTCCTTCTCTGCATTCACTGCAGAGCTCACCAGCCTTGTGCTTGCAGTGCACCACCTCTATGGTACCTCCTCTCATGCAATCACCTTCTCCACTGCACAAAAAGCTAATTCACTGCCAATCAACCCTTTCACTTCCTTGCTGCTCCCATCTTTCCGCCTTTTATCCTGGTAGCTCATTGGGCCCTGCTCAGTTTTTTCCTCTCAAGGCATCAAGAGCAAGTCCCCCTTCCAAAGCAGTTACCTGTGCACCATCACCTTGCCTTCCTTTGTCAGTATGTGAGCATTCCCTTGCCACTGCCCACCATTCAACCCCACCCCCTGCAAGCATGAACAACGTTGCCTTTGGGCTCAGGGCAGCACCAGAACACTCCCTAAGTGGTCTTTGGGCAAGGCTGTGTATTACCCTCCCCATCTGAAAAACAGCCCTGCTCTGCTTATTCAGTCCTCTGAGGCTTATGCTTAGCTTGCAAAAAGAGAGACTTTGAGTCATATCTGAGTTAAAAGGTGCTACTAGCTGGCTTTACCTTTTTATTCCTGGTATGACTAACTCTCCCAGCATCTCTCCTTTCTGGCTGTTCGGGAAGACCAGTCACCAAGGAGAAAGACCTGGAGCCATACTGAGAAGCTGGCTGCCTGCCCTGCCAGGTGGTGTGCTGGGCTGCATAGGTGTTGGGAGGGAAAAGGAGAAGAAGCTGGAGCTCTTTGTACCCTTCTCCCCCATTGTAGGGGTGGGCACGTCAGCCATTACCCATAAATATAAAAACCTCCTTCACACCTTCTTCCCTGTCTGCTCTGAGAAGAGCACAGCCAAGTCAGAGGAGTCATGGGTCTGGCATACACAGGCTTCTGGTGAAGCATGTCGAATGTGCCACCTGCACTGCCTGAGGGTGGAGGTGGAGGAGGGGAGCCAAAGCCTACCTGCTGATGAGTGAGGTGTCCCAATTCCTTGTAGCCAAGCGCCAAGACCCTGGCTCCCTCCCGAGAGATCTCTGTGTGGATACTGTTGTAGCTGCTTGGGCACTGAGAAAACTACACAAAGAAAAGAGGGGAGAGATGGACAGTCAGAACAAAACTCAGAAGGAAAAGGAAGCAACACAAAGTGTGCCTTGCTGCCAACCACTGTCCACCACAAAAGCTGCCTTGCTTTTTGTAATCCCAGCTCCTAGAGCCTCTTTTCAGTCATTTGCTTACCCTCAAAAGCTAGGCCTGACAGCCTGCTTGAGTCTTCATCTGTTGTTGTTCTGTGCTGTCAACTTATCTCTAACTTATGGCAATCCTATGAATGAAAGCCCTCCAAAATGCCCTATCCACAACAGCCTTGTTCAGCTCTTGTTTCTGATGACCATCACAGATTTGGTCTTCCTTGTCTTTTTCTGCCTTCTACTTCACCTAGCAGAATTGTCTTTTCCCAGGAGTTTTGCAGAGATAATGCAGAGTCTTTGCTTGGCCGAGGTAATGGAATGGATGAGGGCCAATAAACTGAAACTCAATCCAGACAAGATGGAGGTCCTGTTGGTTGGCGGATCGGGCTTCGGACTGGGTGGATTTGACCTGGTCCTGAATGGTGCAACACTCCCTCTTAGGGACAAGGTCCACAGCTTAGGAGTACTCCTCGACCCGGAGCTTTCTTTGGAAGCTCAGGTGACAGCGGTGGCGAGGAGCGCCTTCCTTCAGCTTCAGCTGATTAATCAGCTGCACCCCTACCTGGAGTACGACTGCCTGGCGACGGTGACACATGCGCTGGTGACTTCCCGCCTAGACTTCTGTAATGCGCTTTACGTGGGGCTTCCCCTGAAGACGGTCTGAACACTTCAACTGGTGCAAAATAGAGCTGCCAGGTTGCTGATGGGGACGGGGCGTTATGTTCACATGACTCCAGTCCTCCGTCAGCTTCACTGGCTTCCCATTGAAGCCCGGGCCCAATTCAAGGTGTTGGTTATGACCTATAAAGCCCTAAACGGCTTGGGTCCTGGCTACCTGAACAAGCGCTTATGTCCGTATATGCCCGACCGCCCCTTGAGATCTGCGGGAGAGTCCCTTCTCCGGGAACCCTCCATGAAAGAAATTAGGAGAGTAAGTACTTGGAGGAGGGCTTTCTCTGCGGTGGCACCCAACCTATGGAATTCACTCCCCAAAGAGGTCCGCCTGGCACCATCGTTACTGGTTTTTCGGCGCCAGGTAAAGACCATTTTATTTAAACATCATTTTAATTGTTAAAATATATGATCTGGCCAGGGCAACTTCTTCTTCCTTCTCTTTTCTCCTCCTATATTCTTTATTTACTTATTTTATACTGTTAATTTTAATTTTATATTATTGTATCTCAGTGTATTTTTTGTATTTTTGTATTTAGTGGTAATTTATTATGTTCTATTGTATTTCAATGTATCTTATTGTGTTGTAAGCCGCCCCGAGGCTTCGGCAAGGGGCAGCATAGAAATGTAATAATAATAATAATAATAATAATAATAATAATAATAATATTAATAATAAACAACTGCTGGCCCTGGGCCATATCCAGGTTCACACCGTGTTCCCATCCAGCTCATGGTCCCCTCTTTGGCTTCACTCCCCGCTCTTCCTCAGCCTGCCCTTTCAGTGCAGAGTAGGAACAAAGGGAACCTCCTTCTCCCTGCCTAGTGTGGAAACCAAGTGAGGTGATGGAGAGGGATGGTGTGATCTGTTCTCTGGCCCCCTGTTGTGTTTCCAGACCAAGGATGGAGAAGAAACCTCTTTCACCTCACTCAACATAGAAGCTGAGCTAAAACAAAACATGGGCCCATGGTACTTTCTTTGATAAATATAATTTGCAGCTCGTCTCCTTGGTGTTCCAGGCTGCTCTGTACCCTCTTGCCTGATTTAGACACTAACAGTCAGAAAGTCTTTGGCATTCCTCAATAAAGTTGCTGTGTGACACAGAGACAGGGTGGTCTTGCCCACTCGTGGATGCACCTATGCCCCTCAGAAGTATCTAATCCTTGGCAAGTTACTTCCTGGGAAGGGAAGGTTCTCTGCCCCAGTTTTAATCTCAGACAAATGGGCATTTAAAAAACAAGTATCACGGAAGATGGACTGCAAGCATTCTGATGAATTTGCTCATTTACTAGCTGGAATACTTCTGAACATTCTGATATCGCAGCAGCACAGCCAGAGGTTGGTTGGTCGGTCAACTGGTCGGTCATTCATTCATTTATTTAGGATATTTGTATGCTGTCCTTTGCAAGAGCCTCAGGATGGCTTACACAAATAATTAATTTATGTTAGATATTTGTATTTTAATGACCCATTAATTCAAAGCATTTATAAATGATTTGATTAGCATAATGCTCTCAAAATGGTTTTACACAAAAAACTGTTGGAGACTTTAGCATCACAACTCAGATACCAAATAGTTCCATGTTATCAGTGTAGCATCATGCACACATGATGCAATTAATTGCCAGCTTCTCATCCTCCTCCTGACACAAAAAAATAGTTGTACTGAAGATCAGTTTGAATATCAATTCACAGCTATGCATCAGTTTCAGTGTCATATAAGCATTTGGCAAGGCTAGTCCCCAACACCCTCTGGGCTGAACCTTGAATTGTGAGAGCACTGCACAAAAAGGAGGAGGAACCAGAATTACCAGGTGCTGGGCTATGAGAATGTGTGTGCTTACATGCACAGTGCTTTCATAAGCTTTCTGCCTTAAGAACAAGAGTGAAGAATGGCTGGTGGATGGCTTTAAAAAAGACTACACAGCTTCATGCAGGGTAGGTCTCTCAGCAGCCACAGATCGTGATAGCTAAACCAGAGCACAATGTTCACAGGTGCTATGTTTTTTGATCCACAGAGGCTCAGGGTGGCCATCAGTATAAGCCATCTTTATCTTGCTCTGCTTCCCAGAGACATCTCATTGGGCAGTGCTGGCTGCAGCACTGCATTAGCTGGACTACATTCTGATCTGGCTGTATTCACTGTCCAGCAAGGAGTCTGTTTAATCCTCCTTAAAAGCTACAATGTCAAATTGCCCAATATTGTTTTGCAAACAGAGCGAAGATCCTACAAGTATTTGAAAATGGGATAAACAGAAGTGCTCTCTATATTATCTGATCACAGTTAATATGGAACTATTTGTGCATGTGAAATGTAGATTCTATGTGCATTAGGAAAAATGATTTTTTTCCTAAAAGGGCTCTCACTACTAGGCCAGCATCTTTTCCATATGTCCAGTGTTGCTCAGATTCTCATACATTGGCACCTGTCATTTTCACAGCAGGGTGAAACTGGCGATAAAAGATAAACCAAGCAATTTAAGACAGACAGACAGACACAACACTGAACCTCCTTGTGCTCACCATTCCATGCAGCATCTCTGGGGCCCCCTTCACAGTTGCAATGTAACAGAGATCAGTGGAGCCGACCTTCTCATAGGAAGCCAAGACCGACATTCTTTTCAGGGCACTGGCAAAATGAAAGCGCTGGTGAATTTTCAGTCCCTGAGTTTTAATACTTCGGGGGAAAACTTTCTCATCTGGAAACAAAGAGATCGGGAAATCCTGAAAGGGTATAACAGCACCACAAGCAGCAATCTTCCCCTTGGGGCATTCTCCTGATCAGCATGGTGGGAGCACTTGTTCCCCGTTCTTCAGCCAAGGGGCATACCAGGTCCTCTCTCTGTGTGTGCAAAGAGGCTTCTGGAATGGCAGAAGCTACCAGAGTCAGACTGGTGCCTGTACAGACACTGAACCATGACTTGTTCTGAGAGTTGCTCTTGGAGATGAGCAGACCTTTTCAAAAAGAATCATCATGGGAAACAATATTAAAATGAACCAGTTTCCACGAGATGACTGTGAGCATCATGTGGATCACATGAACAACTGAACTTGAATGATCAGTTGTTTGGAAGCAGATCGTGGGCAATACCTGCATGAACTCTGCTCAGGGCAGAATGGACATGACCATTTCCTTTGCGAATGGCACCCCAGAAAAGCACCCTCTCACACCTCTGCTTAAAAGGCCAGAAGCAGCAGTTCCAGATCACAGCTGCTAAGTGAGCCTACCTTTGGTCAGAGTCCACTCCACAGCAGTGAGCATGGCTTTCTCCAGTGGGTCACCCACCAGTGACCCATCATCCAGCTGCATCAGGGAGTGACAGGTGGCAATGACCCGGTGTGTTTCAATGGGAATGTCGGACACTGGAGTCACATCTTTCCCATCTCTGTGGAGGAAGCATAAGGACATGCTGACATCCCTAATTCAGCTTAGTTTGCTTTAACTGCTGGTATCATTGTCAGAAAGGCATGGACAAGAAAGAAGCAGACTATTATTGCAGTGAACATATGCCTTTACTTGTCATCATCAGGAAATGAGCTTTTAAAAAGGGTTTGGAGAGGCTGTATTCAGACATGGGCTTTCCAGACCTCTAAATAGGGTGTGTGGAACCTGTAGCCTTCCAGATGTTGTTGTACTCTGACTCCCATCAACCTCCAGCAGTATGGCCAATAGTCAGGAATGATGGGAGTTGTCTAAAAACATCTGGAGGGCTATAGATTCCCCACATGCTCTCTGATATCATTTGGAATATCAGGAACAAGCAATGACTGTTTCTTCCTCTTCTTGCTCACATACTTTAATGTCTTCTCAAGTCAGAGTTTGCCCTGACTCTGGAGAGGTAGAGGAAATCCCATGATAAATTAGACTGAACTCGGTTTATAGATCATTACAGAGTCCATTCTGTGGCAATGAAGAGGGCAACATGCCAGTATTTTGCCTCCTCCATTGTGTCTTCGCAGTGCCATCTGACCAAGCTTTTCTGGGTGGTTTGAGGGCTGTTACTACTGGGCCCATTGGAAGAAATTATTGAACCCTCAGTAGCACATGTTGACAAATTTGCTGAGCACTTCAAAGATAAAACTGCTCAGATCCACTGTGAATTGGACTCTGCAACTCAGCCAGATCCTGTAAGGGATATATTCAGTGTGGCATTCTTTGGTCCTGTTTTATTGGATGAATTTCACCTTTGGAATAGGCTCCCCAGAGAGGTGTGCTTGCCACCATTGCTGTTATCATTCTGGTACCAGGCAAAGATACATCTCTTCTCCAGCTGTTTTAATAACTGATTCTAATGCTTTTGTGTAATATTTTAATTTTGATGTCTTATGTTTTTACATTTTGACTATGCTAATATGTTTTGAATATGTTGATTTAGTGTTACTGATTTTAGAAACACTGTGTGGTTTTAATTGTTGTGAGTGGCATAGAGAGCCCAGATTTTGGCTGTTGTAGTGGCATATAAATTGAAATAATAAAAAATAAAGAACGATAATAAATATATCAATTGAAATAACAATAAATGATAAACAATAAATTGATATTGATGCAGAAAACTGTTTTTTTTGGTTTAAAGCCAGAGAGGAGATGAATGCCCTCTGTGAGTGTTTTTGTTTCAGAATACAAGCAAAGGAAGGGAGGCTGTAGTTCAGGGGTCCTCAAACTTTCTCACCAGGGTGCCAGTTGAAAGGTGCCGGTGCTGGGTGCAGGCTGGAAAGGTGGCGCTGGTGGGGTATGCGGGCTGGTGTAGGAGCGGAGCGCGCGGGCATGGCAAGGCACGGGTGGGCACATGTGGGGAGGGGAGGCAAGGAGAGGCGCGGGTGGGCGTGCACCATGATGCAGCAGCTTGCTCACTTGGAGATCATTTTCTCCAAGCGAGTCCAAAATGATCTCCTTGAGAGCAAGCCGCTGCCGCCTGGTGAGGCAGGTTCACGTGGTGTGTGCATGGCATGCGTGCGGAGCATCAAAAACTTCTGAGGCGGGCCAGATAAATGGCCATGGTGGGCCGGATCTGGCCCCCAGGCCGTAGTTTGAGGACCCATGCTGTAGCTGAATCAGAAGGCTCAAGATGGTTCTGAACATCCTTCTTTCCCCAGCGCCATGTATTTTCTCACCCGAGACCTACCTAAGCCCAGCCACGCCCCTCACCACCAGGTTGTCGCTGGTGAGTGTGCCCGTTTTGTCAAAGCAGCAGATCTGGACCTTGCCTGCAAAGGGGATGCGGAATGGTTCTGTGCAATAAACATCTGCAAGAAGACAAAGAAAAAGGTGTGTGCGCATTCAGGGACATCTATCCCCAGCTATCATACCTATCCTACCCCACACATTTATTGTGGCTACCTATTTTGAAAGACCTTCTCCTCAGAGGACAACACACACCCCTCTCTCTTAACACAATGGGAGAGAAAATGTGCATGAGCGCAAGCAGGTGGGTAAACAGACACAGGAGGTATTACAAAAGCTGATTTTCTCATGTCTGACATGTAATTACAGGGTGTTTCTCTCACCTACCAAAGGGCAAATGTAAGACACTTGTTTGAAAAAGCGTGATGGGGCATTTATATCCAATGTTTTTATCAGGTTCAATATCTTAGTGTAAATGTTTTAGCTACTTACACTGTGCTTAATGTTTATTCTGTCTGTCTGTCTGTCTGTCTGTCTAAAATATTTATACCCCATCCTATACGCAAAAACATCTCAGGACGGCTTACAGAAATCAAAACAAACAATACACTATACATAGTGTATATGTTGCATGCTAAAAGCACAAGCCATGGGTTCTGTGGTGGTTTACAAGCTCATTTGTCACCCATCCTCACTAGGTTCAGAGAGCTTGCCATGCTGTGAGTGGCATACACAGTGGCTTCTGCCATCATGCAAACCCACTCCCATTTTTATGATCTTGCATTTGTGATATGCAATTTTTGTGAACTGACCAGTGCGCTTTGAGCTTTTGGGTGGTATAGAAATGAATACGGAATATCTAGCTGAAATAAATAAAGGATATGTTAGTATTTCAGCAATATGTTTGTAAAATGCATAGTGATATTGCTTATTTTATTTTAAATTGAGCATCCTGGCTCTGAGCCCAGATTGTGGCACAAGTCCTCCTGAAGACCACAGCCAGCAGCAGCTCTGATTGCCCAGCAAGCAAATAGTAGAAGGAATTGGGCAGTAAAGCCAGTGGCACCAAGAACACTGACTTTATGAATCAACTGGCTTTGTTACTGGGATGTAGTTCTTTGATCAAAGAGCCCTGGGGGAAAGCAGAGCCTATGTAACTTATTGGTACATATTTTAAACCCACCAGGCTTAGGGTCAAGGCCTCCTTTGTGGTTTGCTGAACCATTCAAGCAAGAAATATGGGGACAGGGAGGAAGATGTGGGGGGAGTGTGGACCACCTTCTCTCATGATCTGAGATCTATGGGAAATTGGGAGGGAATCAACAAAGCAGGGCTTTGTTGCTGGTTGTGAATCCGATAAAGCCATAAAAGCCCTTGTAATCTAGTCAATTGGTACCTAAGCAGTACTGTATGGAGAGCTTTAAGTCACAGTGTTCAAATGTTGCTGGTCAGTGTCCTACAATTTAAAAAAGCTAGCAATCTCTTCCAAATGTAAGAGGCAGGGTCAATTAAAGGAAGGACATGTCCCAGAAATGGAAAAACAATGTCACCAGAGTGATACCCAATGACTGCAAAGTGCTACAAGGTCATTTTCTTAGTACTTACACAATTTGGCAAGAGCAATGAGTGAGGTGTTGACGGCCAAAGAGAGCTCAATGGGGAGTTCAGGGGGAACAACTGAGGTGAGGATTAAGGTGCATTCCAGGAAGAGCTTGTAACGGTTCCTGTTGGGATCCTTGGTGCCTTGGAAAGAGGAGAATGGGTCATCAGCTGCTGCACAAACCACCAGTAAGATGGACTTGGGAGCCAGAATTCCCCAACGAGACAAAGCACACTAATGTTCCCAAAAGAACAGTATATCATGAAAACAAGGCTGGAGCCCCTGTGAGCTCAAAGCTGCCACTCCTGAAATTCTGCATCATTTGCTGTTCCAGCTCTCTCCCCCTCCAGTCAGACTTTAAGGGGGGCACATATTACTGTTGCTTCTCTCTGCACAGGGTGCAAATGGATCCTGATGCAGAGGCTTTTTATAGTTTAAAGCTCTTCCTGCCAGTACCGAAGTTTAGGAGAGGCATTTCAACTTTTGAGAGTGGGAGAAAAACTTCAAAGCCCAGGAAAGCACCAGCCAATCACCGGATGGAGAAGAATAAGTGGGACCAAGGAAAGGGGGCACAGCTCCCAGGAACCACATTCTTGATTTACTTTAGGAGTATATGGGGCATGTAATACTGAACAGGAGGGAGAAAACTGTAGGAGGGCAACAGAACCGTCTTCTTTGGTGAGATAGAAGAGAGATTTCCCCAAGTAGCTTTTTAGGAAGCATTACAAGTAATCATGTTCCTTGATACAGGCACCCATCTTGAAATATTTGCCTTATTTTGGGTCTTTATACCTGTTTCTGATCTCCTTGGAGCTGCTGGGACATATCAGAACAGGAAAGGACAACCTATGTGAGAACCAACCCCAAGTCAGCTACACCAATGGCACAGCTCTTCTGTGAAGCACCAACCCATGACCGACTGAGATGATTCCCACTTCAAGAAGTCCACCATTGAGGCTCCAAAACATCAAGGGTTACCTTCAATCCATACATACGCTGCAGCAGCAATGGCAAAGACAAGCAGGAATAGGATGAAGATGAAGGTCTCCAAGTTGTTGGCTGTCACCCGCTTCACTCCGAACAGGATTGTACGCAGAAGCTTCCCCTGAAAGGGAAGAGTGGTCACATGGGAGACAGTTATCTCCTACCACCCCAGAGGAAGTGAGAAGAGCATGGAAAACATAAGCAAATGTGATTACTTGCCTGCAGGCTTTAACAGGACTGCAAGTTCCATTCTGCTCTTCTACAAGGAGAAGAACTTTGCTTTCCAGGGCATGTGAGAAGATTTTCTAATTACAGTGAACAATCATCCATTCTGATTTACTTCAGAGCAGGGTTGGGCAACATGCAATCCATGGCTTTCATCACCCCATACAATTCATGGCACTGATAGTCAACACAGGGACCTCACTGCCAAAAATCGGCTGCTAATGGCTGGTTCATTTTGCTGCCACTACCGAAATTGAGAGTGGAAAAAGTACTGCTTGGGGAGGTTGGGGTGGTACCCAGGGGCCTGCAAAACTGTCCATTGCTGCTGGAAAGTTATAAGGTTTATCAGAAGCAAGGCAACAATGGGGGTCTGAACCACTGGATAATTAAGGGCTCCTGAAAGTGGGGTTACATTTACCACATTGATAATTTAATTAACCATACAAGCCTCTGGTTCCTGGATCTTAAAATGGGACTAATTCATCTAAATGGGAAATGAATATGAACACATGCTCCTGCTGTCTCCTATAAGGGCAGTGGCTCTTCACTTGCTTCTTACCTGAGATGTATTGAAGCCTGTTCTCAGAACATAGGCCACACATCCATTATCAACGGCTGTGAGAGGAGGAAGGGAAAGGTATTACACAGTATTTGCATGTAGAAAGCTTCAGATCATCCTGCCCAGCCAAGGAAATCCTGGGGGGGCGGGCTTCAATGAATGCTAACACTTCAATATTAAATCCTGCATGGGCACCATCAAATGTAGAATGGCAAAGGCTGACGCAGGAAGCTGCAAGATGCAGAAACCAGCCTAGGCTGCATAGTGCAGAACATGTGCCTGCATGAGCTGATCCTGGGAGACACTCTTTGACCTCTCAGGGTGAGGCCCAGTTTTTCTTGTTCTGTGTTTTGATCAGCTGCTCCTTATCTACAATATTTGCAAGAATTATCATTCTGGACCTTCCCTGTATTTTTCTTTAAGGAAAATTACACAACTGTTTTTTTTTTCTTTTTGAAATGACCTCCCTTCTGCACCATGCCATATTATGCCTTATTATGGTCACTGCTCAAAAGAAAGAAATATACCTATGCAGCTGCCCCAAGTTTTTTTTTAAACAAACTAATCTAAACTTGGTTCTTTTGCTTGGATACACCCCTTCACCCCACTGCCTTCCAGATGAGGTGACTTCTGTCAGTCACCCACACAGTTCCTGTTCAAGTTACTGAGTCCTTTCAGTTTTACTGCACTATCCATTTTACTACAAACAATGCCCTGCATATTCACTTGAACTGTATGCAAACTTTATGTAATGGGTACAGTCCATTGCAAAAAGTGGCTTCTGGTACCAAGGGAAGTCTGCCATATATGCAGGGAAATGCTGGTTTCACATTCTTCTCCTATCAAGGGAATCTCAGTGCAGAGGTCAGAAGAGCTATTTTAGGCATCCAGTCTCGGCAGCACTCAGCCTTCTCTGTTTCAGAAGCTGACTGTGCATACCAAGCTTACATTAGCAATCAGGCCATGGCTAAAGAAATCAGGAAATGAGAAACTACCCACATTTTAGGGCTTCCCCACCACCTTTCTGGCCTTGCCAGGCAGGCACTTACATTTCAGGCCTGTGGTGGCTTTCTGTGGAGGGATGTGCTGCACAACTTTTGTTCCCCCAAAGATGATGTGCAACCTGGAATCCAACTGCATGTCCAGAATGTGTTCTGGATCCAGCTCCTCAATTGGCTCCTGCAAGAGAAAGCTGCACTAGGGCACCACACATAGAAGGTTAATGGATGCCCTAATTAATCTGCCAATAATAGACAAGGGAGCAAGCACCTGAACCTCAAGGAGAGACTCTGTTTTTGTCTGTATCCTTGCCCAAACAACAGAAAGCACCAGACTCAGTGTTTTTGGCATGAGGAGATCTATAATCTAGGGACCAAAGAGTTCATCATTCCCAATGTTTCAAAGTCTGGGGCTGATCTTCTGCAGGTATAGGGTGCACATCAGGCAGACAGTTCAGGATTGCTTTCTTGTTTGAAATTGGAATTGATCCAGAGGATGGGGAAAGAAATCAGTCAAGTGCCAGCTACATAGGCTGCACAAAATGAGGGGAGGTGGTCATCCCCATAAATAAGGGTACCTTGATCTGAATTATTAGAGATGGCACAGCTTAGCAAAGGGAATTCAGAGAACTCAGCCAGTGGCTGAGAACAATGTCCAGCTCTCCCGGAGAGGTAGTAAAACTGTGCCTGAGCTGGACCATTCTGAGTACAGGGCCAGGGCTGAGCTAGAGCTCTTATCCCAGAGAATGGGTTTCCTATGAAGTGACTGTTTCATTTAGGGGATGCTACGGAGGAAGATTCCAACATATAAGCCCCCATGTGCAATCTGGAGTGGTCTCACCCAGTCACAGACTTGCTGCTTTAGTCAGAAGTGGGCCTTAGATGCCACAAAAAGCAATGCTTTAAGTGTATTACACATAAACCTCTCCACCAAAGGTCAACAGAACAAAGACATTCTTGTTTCAGCTATAAAAATGCCTCTGGCATAAAAGCAGCTCATGTCTGTCTCCTCCCTTATAGAATGAGAGAAAAGAACATAATGGAGGAATTGAGGAGCAGATGGAGAAGGCTGGGCAACCTGCAGACCACCATATATTGAACTGCAACTTCCACGATGCCTCACCACTGGCTATGTTGGCAAGGGGTGATGGGAGATGCAGTCATAGAAACATAGAAACAGAGCGAGTCAGAAGGGGCCTCCTGGGCCATCTAGTCTGACCTCCGGCACCAGCCGGCTCCGCTCATGACATGCCCACCATGTGGACGGCCAGCCTATCCTTGAACACCCGCACCGATGGGGCCTCAACGACCTCTCATGGAAGCCCATTCCACACCCACTGTCAGGAAATGCTTCCTGGCATCCAAATGGAACCTTGGCTCCCTGAGCTTTGCTCCGTTGGAGCGTGTCCTGCCTTCCTCTGCAGGGGAGAACAGGTCTCTACCCATTTCCATGCGACATCCCCTCACATACCTGTATGTCGCCAACATATCCCCTCTGAGTCTCCTCTTCTCCAGGCTGAAGAGACCCAGTTCCCTCAGTCTTGCCTCATACGGCATCCCCTGCAAACTGGCCACCAACCTTGTGGCCCTATGCTGCACTGACTCCAACCTGGCTATATCCTTTCTGTAATGAGGGGCCCAAAACTGAACACAATACTCCAATTGTGGGCGCACCAGAGTCGTGTAGAGTGGTAGTAACACCTCTCTTGATCTAGAAGACACACTTCTGGCTATGCAACCAAGGGTGGCATTCGCCCTCTTGACCACCGCATCACACTGCTGACTCATGTTTAGCCTGCAGTCAACCAGTACCCCGAGGTCCCTTTCACAAGTGCTACTCTCCAGCCACTTGTCACCTAACATGTACTTATGACACCTATTCCTATGCCCCAAGTGCAAGGCCGTGCACTTATCCACACTGAACGCCATCCTGTTGTCTCCTGCCCACTTCCATAGTCTGTCCAGATCCTTTTGGATCTGGAGTACCTGCTCCTCAGTTGTGGCCACTGCTCCAGTTTTAGTGTCATTTGAGAATTTGATCAGCAGATTGTTCACCCCTTCTCCCATGTCGTTAATGAAAAGATTAAACAGGATCAGCCCCAGGACAGAGCCCTGGGGGACCCCGCTTGTTACTGGCTGCCATCCCGATGACTCCCCGCTAATGGTTACCTTCTGCTTTCGGTCAGTCAACCATGCCCTAATCCACTGGATAGTGCTTTGGTGTATCCCAAAACTCCTCAGTTTCTCCACCAGGATATCATGAGGCACTTTGTCAAAGGCCTTGCTGAAATCCAGGTATACCACATCCACTGCATCCCCTCCATCTAGCCATCTCGAAACCTTGTCATAGAATTCCATAAGGTTTGTCTGGCAGGACCTGTTTTAGCGGAAGCCGTGTTGTGTGGCTGGCAGCCTCCCTTCTCTATCTAACATCACTAGATCTTTCTCTATTATGAGCCTTTCCATTGTTTTTCCTACAATGGACTAAGGCTAACCAGTCTATAATTCCCCATGTCCCTTCTACTACCCTTTTTGAAAATTGGGACCACTGATGCCACCCTCCAGTCCTCTGGAACTTCACCCGTTCTCCACGAGGTCTCAAAAATGGAGGCCAGCGGGCGTGAAAGAACCCCTGCCAACTCTCTAAGTACTCTCAGGTGTAACCCATCAGGGC